ACAATGCAAACAACGCTTTCATTTTGTTTTGCTAGTGCAAATGCAAATATAGCACCTAAAAGGGTATATTATATATATCATTACAAGCTTGACATTGTAACAATAGCAGAACCTTTTTGCTATTTGTGCTGTATAGAGCCCTTTTCAAGGTTCTATATAGAATGTACATATATATATATATATATATATATATATATATATATATATATATATATAAAATCATCTACAGCACATTCACAATCTGAAGAACCCTTTCACGATGCAAAGAAACCTTTAATCATACAAAAGAACCATTTTCTTTACTAAAGAACCCTTGAAGAGCTATTTTTAAATGCACCACATTTAAACCAAGCAGTGAGATTGACAACTGCTCCACCCATGTTCTCAGAAAAAAAGTGTGATGTGTTGGGTTGTGGTGATGTCAGGAACTCACACATGGGTGTGCAGCGCTATAGAGGAGGATGTTGTGGGCAGTAACAGATTTTGGGACCTAGTGAAGTCACTAAGTCAAAGCTGCCCCGGTCAAGGCGTTTATGTTCCTCTTAACTTGGGCTGGTAATGAGTGATAGATATAGAACTTAGAACTTTTAAATATAGTATCCCAACATTGTATATTCCAGTCGTTTCATCATGTATTCCAGTGTTTGATCATATAATCATGAACATACAGTCAAGTCTATAAGTATTTGGACAGTGACACAATTTGCATTGACACGTCTTTGGACTGTATATTAAAATGCATATTCAACACTTGAAATCAACTCCTTTTTCTCCTTAATTGGTCACAAATTAACAAGGGAACAAAACACACCTGGCCATGAAACTGCTTATCAGTCAACTGTCCGATTACCTTTGAGTCTGTGAAAATGCAAAGTAACAATTAACGCAATATTTTTCTCAAACCAAGTCTAGTGGTGGTGTCCAGATGCAAAGTGACAAAAATAGTTTCTGTCCAAACACTTATGGATCTGACTACATATATTTAGTTTAGACAAAAGCAGATTCTTAAGTAGAGTATGTTTTATAGTTTTGGGCTGCGTACTTCATATACACACTGATCCTAGCCCCACCTTGATTCATTTTGGTCAACAACGATGCAAATACAAATCAAGTCCAAATATTGTTTTCCTTTCTAGGAACTTTATTTGTTAAAATCAGTGGCTTATCATACCAAGGTAAAAATATCAATGTGTATGAAATTTGGCAGGCATATTCTTTTGAGACCAAACATTTATAATAAAAACTTTGATCTTTGATCTTGGGGTCCATAAGGTGCTTGGACCCCGACAATCGCCACTCGTAGATGGCTGTTTAGCTCCCATAGCAGTTTCAACAGTCCACAGAAATCCAAACTATATGGTCAGTGGAGCTGATAAGATGGACAGTGAGTGTAGAAACAAGGCTATTCAGTGTGTATTAAGTGAAATGCAGATTAGGTTAATATTCTAAAAAACTAAAGTCTAATTTTTCCCACTTATCAGTGAATAATTTAGCTGTTGATATGAACTGCAAGAGGTACAGTGACTCAGACAAAGAGAGGAAGAGGAAAAACACACAAACTCATGCAGATAAACAAACCCATGGCCTGGAACAGCTGTATGACGCATATGTGGCCCCCCAGTTTGCAGGGCCTTCTCTTTGGTAAACAGCAATGGAGCACACAAAAACCACATGCATAGGCAGAGAAACATCCCGCTTCCCTTTCTATCAAAGCGATTGTTTCTCGGTAGAGGTGAACATGTCGGCGTCCCTACAGAGCCCTGTTCAGAGGCGTGTTATGACTAAGCTTTCAGATGGTGCTAAAATAAGTTTGTGCAACCAGTGTGAAAACATTAAGTTCCAGCTTGCTGTTAGAGCAAGAGAGAACATCTGGAGAGAACCGTTTCAGCGCTCTTCATACAACAGGTCATCCAGGCTCAGAGTCTCAGTCATAAACTAAACTGAATGACTTACAAACCCCCATTTCTTTACTTTCTTCTTCATTTACTGAGGTTCTCTCTCCACTGGGTTAGGAAACACTGACCTACACTCGTTCTCCAAGGGTTCTTTATTAAACATAATGGTTCTACTTAGAACCATCAGTTCTTAAACGCATGCTTAAATGGTGAAATGTTATGTTGTATATGGTTCTATATGGCAATATATCACATAATGTATTTCAGATAAACAAGATATCAAATCATAACTGCATTTTCACAGAGTATCAATACCTATTTGATCATATTTAAAATGAAGATACTGGAAATTGATTTTAAAAGGTATCAGACAGCAAACAGTGCATTAGACACTGAGTGTGTTTACATGCACTTAATAATCCGGTAACTGCAGAAAATCAGATTTCGTCAGTAATCCGATCAACACGTTTACATGTACTTGAGTGATCAGATAACGGGGAAATTCCAGGTCTACATGAATCAGACAGTAATCTGATTTCTGATTTACAACCAGCCAAGAAACTTCATGACCGCTTTTTTTTTTAGAACATTGCGCCACTTTACCTGAAAATATGAACATACATCATCTAGAAGATGAAGAATATTTAAATCCTTCATTTTGCCAAGAATGTATTTGGTTTCATTGTCGCTCCAAAAGTGTTTTGCTGCATTTTGAGGCGACGCTGCTCACTTATTTCCAGTCTGTTTTCACTCATGCGCAGACTGAGTTTACATGCACTGAGAAATCTGATTACTGAGCTAAAATCCAGCCTCTTTATCAGATTCCTTAATTAGATTTCTAGATCGGAGTGTGGTGTTTACATGACCATTTGAATAATCAGATAACTGCAGAAATCTGATAATGATTGGATTATCGAGTGCATGTAAACACACTCAGTATTTGAACACACTGTATTTGATGAACACGTTTACATACATTTATTTTTCTATAGCATATTTCAGTGTATAATATTTCCCCCAAACACTTCAAAATGTATTTTAAAATATATTTGGTTAATATGGCAATATATTCTGAAATATATTTTAGTGTTTGGAATGTATTTTAGCATAGATCACAATGTATTTGATATGTATTTCAAATATATAAAAATATATGTCCATATATTTTTTTTCCATGTGGGGCAAAAGGCTGGAACACATTCTGAAAGAAACCTGTTCAGCTCCTAGCGCACGATCAGAGCTCCCCTAGGAGCTTTAGCTCACACTTACAGTAACAAGAAACACATACACGCTGAATTTCCTCAGCAGTTTGCTTGGGTTGACCTTCTGACACATATGTACACACACACACACACACACACACACAAACTTAACTCATTCAGGGCCCGTTTGGACAGATTTGCTCTTCATGTTATGTTAGACGTTGTAGGTATGTTAAAAAAATCCCGGTTCTACATCATTTTGCAGAAACGGTCGTGTGCTGAGAAATTTAAAATATGGGTGCTTGCACAAATTTAGTGAAATCCAAACTCCAGCAGCACTGTTGTGTCTGATCCACTCGCACCAGCACAACACAAACTAACATACCACCACCACATCAGTGTCACTGCTGAGAATGACCCACCACCCAAATAATGCCTGCTCTGTGGGGGTCCTGACCACTGAAGAACAGAGTAACAGTACGCAGAGAAACAGATGGACTACAGTCTGTAACTGTAGAACTACAGAGTGAAACTATATGGTCAGTGGAGCTGATAGAATGGACAATGAGTGTAGATACAAGGTGGTTTTAATGCTATGGCTGATCAGCGTATGGCTTTTATAAGGTTCTCCTGCAGCATTTACCAAAACGTTACTCAGCTGATAGACAGATAGGGGGCAGTGCTGCCTAAGAGATGGTGGGAGCAGCAGTGAACTGAAGCAGGTCACTTCATTCAAAAGTTCCTGAATAATACAGCAGAAGAACTACATGAAGAGAACTGAACAGTTAGACTTACAACAGCAGAGTGTTTTCCATGTGCCTTATTAAGATTCATTCTGAACATATTCTAAATGTATTCTGAGGATATTCATTTTATACCTATTGATTTATCTAGAACCATAGACTACATAGGAATATGTCAATGGACAGTTATACAGTTACACTACATTGCCACTGCATTCGACGCTTTGCATTGCGCTTGGTGATGCTCAGCCATGGAAACCCATTCCATGAAGCTCTCTATGCTGTTCTTGAGCTGATCCGAAGGCCACATGAAGTTTGGAGGTCTGTAGGGATTGACTCTGCAGAAAGTTGGTGACCTCTGTGCACTATGTGCCTCAGCATCCGCTGACCCCGCTCTGTCATTTTACGTGGCCGACCACTTTGTGGCTGAGTTGCTGTCGTTCCCAATCGCTTCCACTTTGTTATAATACCATTGACAGTTGACTGTGGAATATTTAGTAGAGAGGAAATTTCACGACAGGACTTGTTGCACAGGTGGCATCCTATCACGGTACCATGCTGGAACTCACTGAGCTCCTGAGAGCGACCCATTCTTTAACTAATGTCTGTAGAAGCAGTCTGCAGGCCTAGGTGCTTGATTTTACATACCTGTGGCCATGGAAGTGATTGGAACACCTGAATTCAATGATTTGAAAGGGTGAGTGAATACTTTTGGCAATATAGTGTATATTTCTCAGTTGACAATCAAATCTGTCAGTAAATCACTGTATCTGCTGATTTGTTTCAGATTCTACCATCATCTACATTCCATATAAACTCAGAGGACACGTGTGGGTTCACTGGTGGTTTTGGACAGTAAATAAAATGTCCATATTTGTGTTGTAGTCTGAAATAGATGTCTACAACAGAAGAAATCTGAGTCTTTACAATCAACCATTTCACACCAAACCACTCCGAATGATCCCAAAATCTCTTTGAAAAGCCTTTGAAAGTAGCTGAAGTTGAACGGCTGTCTGAATACCAGTGTACATTTCACAAGTCCTCACAACTATGGCAATACACACGCAGTACACACAGTGAATGACCGGCTTGGGTGACCGTGTTGGAGAATAATTAAACCCTCCATTAAAAGTTAACAGTCAGTCCAGGCCTCAGCTCAGGAGACCGTAACTCTGGAGACAAAACCAAAACACTGGCTGCTAAAGCTCCACCGCCGTCCTTCTCTAAAGGATGAAATGGGATTAATGTGAAGAACTTTACTAATATATTAATACCACATTACTTACTGCTCACTTTCCCTCCCATGAGAGGCCATGTGGCGGCATCCCTGTGAGGATTTCAGGGTTTCAGGAGTGCAGTATTTCTCCCGCCATAAAGCAGAGGTGGGTGGAGATGTCATAGGTAATAGCATGTAGGCTAATCCTGATAGAAAAAACAGCACTGACCAGTATGACCGGTCACCAGCAAAACCAGCACATGTTGTATTTTGGATGCTTGTATGCTAGTCAACCAGCATGACCATGCTAGGCGAACAGCTAAGGCAGCATAGACCAGCTTAGATTAGCATGGAATTAATGCCGGTCTGTGCTGTTTTTTTCAGCAGGGAGCTGCAACTGACAAAAAAAGGTATAATATGACTGTAATTTTGTTCCAGTACTGTACTCAGCTTGAAATTATTAGTAAGAAGGTGTACAACAGCTAAACTCATGTTCGTTAGCATATCATTATCAATTAGCTTAGCGTCTTATCACTTGCTGTTCCTAAAAGATTCGAAATTCTGAATAGAAGGACTCAAATATCACTTTTAGCCTACAATGTTTATCTAAATGATAAGTAACTATTACTACTGAGAGGTTGTTCTATGTTTTGAGGGTATGCTAACTGAGGGCTAGCAGATAACATAATTGCTCACTGAAATTGAATGCTATTTTAAATGTCCTCAGTTAGCTTGTGTTATTTGTCCAAATTTCTACATAAAATAGTGGTTGAGATGTAAACAAAGTCATTCAGAGTGGTTTTAAGTAAAATGGTTGATTGTAGAGACTCAGATGTCTTTACAGTGGTGGTGATAGGAACCAGGAGTCACCATGACTACAACACAAATATAGACAGTTTATTTACTGTCCAGAACCACCAGTGAGTTTTCATGTGGAACGTTCATGATTATAAAATAGTGGAAAATCTGAAAAATAAGTTTTCTTGGGGAATGTTTGCCTCAAACATGTACTCATCCGCAATTAATACCTTTTTAAAATATGTTTTAGGCCAAAACTCATAAAATTTGCATTAAACAACGTCAGGTAGCATATAAACACTTAATGTAACAAGTTTGTTTGAGGAAGACTTTAGCGGCATTAAACTCTTCAGATGTCTGGTTCCTATCACCACCAGTGTCAACAAATCTGATTGAGTGAGTGTCTTTAGAACTGAGCATTTCGCACCAACTTTGTTTACATCTGAACCATTTAATTTTGCAGACATGTTGAAAAATCCCCTTAAAATTATATATTTTTTATGTTGTCAGGTGAACTGCTGCTCATTCTCTCCGGACTGTCAGATCCTCCTCACCTGCTCGGATGACGGTGGGCTTTATCTGTGGAGAGCAGCGACCGGGAAACTCCTGGCTAAAGTGCACGGACATGCAGGTTCGGGCTTGGCGAGTCGTTACAGTCTCTGTTACCGTTCACTGTGGACTAACTGTTTCTGTAACGTTATCTCGTATTTCAGGGCCAGTGAAATGCTGTGCTTTCTCCAAGGACGGCCGTTTCTTCGCGAGCGCGTCTCACGACCGTTCCGTTGGAGTCTGGTGCACTTCAACCGTTGAGCGTGTGCACATACTGACAGGTTTGTGTGAATTTTGAATACAATATCATTATCATTGTTATGCAAGTATTCGTTATAGAAGTGGGTGATATGGCAAAAATGTAATATCACGATACTTCAAAAAAGCTGTCACGATATTCAACATGTTTACATGCACTTGGGTAATCAGATAATAGGGAAACTCCAGGTCTACATGAGTCAGACAGTAATCGGATTTCTGCTTTACAACCAGCCAATAAACTCACAGAAAAAGACGTGACATAAAACTTTTTTTTAAAACATTGAGCCACTTTAGCTGAAAATATGAACATAAATCTTCTAGAAGATGAAGGATAATTATTCATTCATTCATTCATTCATTTTATCAAGCATGTAGTTGGTTTATGCGTCACTCCAAAAGTGTTTTGCTGCGTCTCGCGGCGACGCTGCTCGCTTATTTCCGGTACAGAAGTCTCTTTCTCACATGTGCAGACTGAGAAATCCGAAAGAAATCAGAGTAAGAGTTCACATGCACTGAGAAATCTGATTACTCAGCTAAAATCCAGCTCTCTTTATCGGATTTCTTAATCAATTTCTAGACCTTACTCCTATCTAAGAAATCCGAGTGTGCTGTTTACATGACCATTTGAATAATCAGATAATTGCAGAAATCTGATTATGATCTGATTACTGAGTGCATGTAAACGCACTCATTGTAGCCTAGCTACTGGCTCATGCTGCCATAGAAGCTCATGGGAAGCGCAAGCCCTCCAGAAAAGGGACTTGTAGTTTATATTGTTGTCTGTTGGTTTCAAGATGTGATGTGTGTTACCTGTATTAGTGTGTGTCAGGCACTGGGCCTGGGTAGTCGTGTCGAGTGTCTATATGAAGCAGTGTTCGTGATGTGTTATGTACCTTTCTGCCCAGTGTTAAATAAAAGAGCACTTCTCGCAGGAAAATCATGGCCTCCCCTTTATCCAACTGCCACAGTGTTTGTTTTTTTTACGTCTGATAAATCGGAAAGACAAAGTAATGCCATGAAAAAAAAACAATCAAAAGCTATGAACACAATGATTTATACAAATTGTGCCCTCTTTGCAATCAAACATGCAGTTGGGAGGAGTGTTTAAATACTGATAATATCCACAAAGGCATATTGTGGCATATTGTGATGTAATTTGTCATGATAATGATCAATATTGTCATATTGCCAAGCCCTAATTTATTATAAGGAGTGCTGCACAGCTTTCCGGGCTCTGTACAAATGTAGCATATGCATATATGGGCAGGTGGGTTGCCAGATTGCTTCTGTAGTTTCCACACTAAAAAAAGGTGGTTGAATTTATAAACTAAGTTAAAGAATTTTACAAACTTTTTGCATTCCCTTGCAAGAGTTCTGCATTCCTTAATGCAAAATCATTGTGAGAGAATGCAAAACTATTGGACGGAAACGCAAAACATTTGCATATTTCAGTCCAGCTACAGAACCTAATCTCAGTTAGTGAGTTTTTTCTGTCTGAAATTTAAAGACTTGAAAAACTGAATCATTTTAAATGACGCATAACATTTTTAGCCATGTAGCTCCCTCCACCTCCATTTATTGAGGACTCTCTCATGGCCTCCCACTAGCACTTTGCCATAGCAAGTGGCCAAGCTTCCCTTACGTCTCGTTGACTAGTTTGTTTTTAATCATTATGAGATCATCATCATAATAGTGGAAGATATATTATATCTAACCACCGATCTGTGTGTTTGTGAGAGTGCATTAAATCGAGTCTAAATATTCAGGCCACACAAGGAGTGTTGAGACAGTGAGCTTCAGTGTGGACGGCAAGTGGCTCGTGTCAGGGGGGTGGGACAACACGGCCCTACTCTGGGACACTGAGGTGAGTGGTGACCAATCACGTTTCACAGCACAGAACAGGTGAGGTCTAGCCAATCGGACGCCATACAGTGGGGAACAGGTGTGTACTAGCCAACTGAGTGTTTGCAAAATAATGACTGACACACTTCTCAGCCAATCACAACCATCTCTAGGCACTACTTCCTCTGTCAAAAAGTCCACAGAACAAACCTGCAGTGAGAGCGGTGGTGGCAGTAAATTGGTCAGAATTATTATAGACTTTAAAGGATGTGACTGAGGAACATTTACTTCAAACACACATTATCCTGGTTATCTGGAGGGTGTATTTATTTCATACCTGAAGCTGAAAAGTTTATTCGAAAATCAGTAATGTTTCAGAATAACACTGGATGATGCATTCATTAAAGTGTTGTTATTGTTTTAACTGAGAATGTATTGTGTTTCATTGCGCAGACTGGGCTGAAGATGAGGGAGCTACTGGGTCACAGTGCTGCTGTTCAGAGCAGCGCGTTCTCCACTGACTCACAGCTTCTGGTGCGGCTCTTTTCTTTTTGTACGCGTGAGTGTTCGGCCTCCAAAACTCCACTCATAGCTTCACTTGACTGATGCACACAGCAGCTGCCCTGTTAGCTGTGGTGTGAATGTTACACTGAAGTGCTATCTTAGTGTAGCAGCCCTCTCTGGTACCAGTGGAGTAATTACTGATGTAGTAATTACTGAACTTTAAAATACCCAGTGGTGGACAGTAACTAAGTAAATGTAATGAGTTACTGTACTTAAGTAGTTTTTTGTGTATCTGTACTTTACTGAAGTTTTTCCATTTTGGGCAACTTTTTACTTTCACTCCACTACATTTCAAAGTCAAATATCTCACTTTTTACTCCACTACATTATGAGAAATCTGTCGTTCCTTTTGTTTTATGTGTGTATAAAAACAGAACGTCAAAACGAAAGAAGCGTGAAGGAAGAACACCAATCAGGGCACAGCGCGCACTTTGTTTTGAGCTTGTTTTGACCTGTTGGTCATACCGACCCAGTGCAGCACACGGTTCAACATCAGTGCAGCAGTGTAAAAGTTTGGGAGAGTCTATTCAACATAAATGATGAACTAACCTAACTTTGTGTAAACAGACCACAATATAGAAATATGTACACATATGCAGTTGTGACTGACGTGTCTTTATTCTGAATTTATACAAACACATTCATTTTATAGTAAATTAGTTTAGGCTAGTTTATGTTTATGAACAGAGACCTACAGATGCAGTTTAGTAAAGGAAACTCATTTGTGAATCTGAGTTTCAGTTTTTATTAAACTTAAATTTGTAACTAAGTTCAAATAAATCTTAAACTGAAACTTTGCTTGTTTGTAAAAAGTGATTTCAGAGCCACTCAGTTCTACCTGATGGAAACTGTTTGCCTTCAGTGTTTTGTGCTTATGATAATTTTAATAGACATCAGCGTCACTAATTAATGACTCTATTAAAAGACTGGTTTACCAAGAGCGACACTGGAGTATTTTCACCTAAAATGAGTTAATGAAGCGAGTCTTGTTACAAAAATGATAATAGGACATTAAAGTCATAATTAATCTTTAATACTTTTACTTTCGATACTTAAGTGCATTTGAAGGTAAATACTTTTGTACTTTTACTCAAGTGGAGGTCTAAAGGGAGGAACTTCTACTTTTACTGGAGTAATATTTTACCTTGGGTATCTCTACTTTAACTCAAGTACGTGGTTTGTGTACACCACTGAAAATACCAGTGTTGTTTTCTGAATAATACAACATTGTTTTTTTTTACATTTTTGTAAAAGTATATACATTTTTGAAAAAATGCTTATGATCACAGGCTGTGAATGTGCTATGATGGTGAATATCCCTTAGAATGAAATAGGCCTTTTCTTGTCACTGCGCCTTTAAGACTGATATGTGTAACCTAGCTCTGTTCTGATTGGCTGTCCTGTATTGGGCCTCATTCAAAAAGCAGTCCGAGCTAAAACACTCCTTATAACTTCGGTGTGAACGTGCGGGGCTGAGCTGCTGCAAGCTGAATAGGTGAATATATGTGAATGTGTTAGTTTGTTTGTTTGTAACATCACAGAAACAGTAAATTTACAACAGGCTTGTTTCGCAGCTTAGTTTCCATGCATGGACAGTCTGGACTGGGGGTAATCTAAGGGATATGTCTTGATAGAATGTGCTTGTATGATGATCTATTATGTTTATTTGTGTGGGTGTTGTGCTGCCTGCAGGCCACAGGCTCCTGGGACCACTCAGTTAAACTGTGGGGTCTCAATGGTGATAAGGAGGTTGTAACATTGGATGGGCATCAGGGAAACGTGGCCTGCCTCTGCTTCTCCACCACCGGGATGCTGGTGAGGTTCAAACCCCATATTCTTCTGGTCAAAAATGTTTTTTGGTCAGAGTTTGTGTCGATACTTAAAGGGTCGTGTTGTAGTTAGAGCTGTTATGATCTCATCTTCACATTCTGGGTGTGGAATAAAACACTGCACAGTCAAATGTTCATGATCTGTTGTAACTACACAGTGTGCACAGTATCAAACAACATTTCCCAGCTGCCCATGGTGCAGTTGTGTGAGCTGGTTAGGGTTTGGGATTTATGGTATATGTAGTCTATCAGGTAACACTAGAGAACACATTCACAGGGCCTTGCGACGTGCAAAATGCCTCAGTTGCAATGATTTGGGATTTTACAGTTTGCCTGCTGAACAATAAAGTCCTCCCAAAAGACCTTTCTGTGTTTATGAGCTGAAGCGCCCCCTGCTGTTTCTACTGTTTTTAGCCTACATACCATTTTTTGCCTGTTTTTTTTCTGATTAAATCACATATTGAGTAACACTCAGTCTTACTTTTATATAGTATATATAAAGTATTTAGTTTTGTGTTTTGAAATGAGTGCCAATAGCACCCCCTTGAGTGCTAATAGTGCCCCAGAATTGTCATTACTGTGGAGGAAATGACTCTGAAAATGTACATTTAATGAACAAAATGAACATTAGAATAATGTACAATAATGATTGTGTTTGGCTTCTGTTTTTTAATAAAGTGACATTTTTAGTGAGATTTACACTGTTCAGAAGCAATTTATGTCATTTTAATGTCAGTGCTAAAAAAAAAAGTCTACCTCACTTGCAACTTTATAGCACCAGCACTACATTTTTTTTATTGTATTTTTTTTAAGGGGAGACATTTAAAAGCATGCAATGACAACACATCATTCCATGCACATGTTAATTTCCAAATATATATCCTTTCTTATATCTTATAACCCATACCTCTCCCCCTTTTTGTGCTCTTTAAAAGTATTTTTTTCCCTCTTTTTAACATTCTCAAAAGAAACACATTGAAACTTGATGCCTGGGGGTTAATGGATAAATAAATAAATAAGTCAGGTAAAATGGGAGTGCTCACTCACACTGTACCTCAACAAACTCTGGCCTTACAGACTTCATACAGTTGACCCATTTTAACTGTAATTTTACAAATTGTGCCACCTTCAGTCTAAAAGTATTTTTTCCAATAATATATATTTCATTGACCAGGTTTATCCAGTCATCCACTGTGAGGGAGGTCAGAAGACAGTCTCTTCCTTCTTATAGCTTTTTTACTTGAAATATTAGAATGTCTTATAAATATTTGTCCGATCTTGTTGCATCACAATTTAGCAGCACTAGGAAAAGTGTGTCAAAAAAAAAATTGTGTACTGCCCAGTCAGTCCACATGGCACATTGCTAGTTAATAGCTATCAAACACACACAGAAAAAGCTGCATTATTGATTACTGGCCACAAACAGGGCTGGATTAATGACTGACCCTAGTTATAGTTAGCACGAGCGCAAGGTCTTCCGTGTTTTGTCCGTTTGTGTTTTTTCAGGCGTCCGGGTCGTGGGATGGAACCGTGCGCGTGTGGTCACCACAGAGGCGCGTGTGCGTGTTCGTGTTGGGCGGGGGTGAGCGTGCGTGGGTCAGGTGTGTGGTCTTCTCCAGAGATGGACTGGTGTTAGCGTCCACAGCTGAGGGGGACACGGTGAGAGAGCACGCTCAGAAACAGGCAGACAGAGAACAGAGTCAGTGGTTCACTACACTGAATGTTTATCTCTCTCACAGGTGAAAATCTGGGACATGGCGAACGGCAGGTGTATTAAGTGTTTACAGGTGAGTCAAATGTCAACAAGTGGTGGGCACAGTGGCGTGAGTACACTGCAGTGTTCACCACTATTAAAGGAGACACACAGCTTATGCACAAGTCATTGTGCTTTATTAAACGGCTGTAGTCGGCCACAGCCACGCCGTACAGCAGCAAGGCATTCGGCTAACGGCTGACGCTACACTCAGCTCATGTCTGCACTTTCTCACCTCCAGCTCTGACTGACACCCAGTGAAACACATATAATGTAATTGCAATGGATTATGGAACCATTTTGTTCCCTAACTAAAGATACTTTAGACGTACCTTGAGGGAACCCCAGGACTCTTAGTTAAACAACAGGAGTAGTCAGTCAGGTTTGGTGTGAAATGGTTGATTGTAGAGACTCTGATGTCTTTACAGTGGTGGTGATGGGAACCAGGGGTCACCATGACTACAACACAAATACAGACATTTTATTTACTGTACAAAACCACCAGTGAACCTACACTAGTCTTCTGAGTTTATATGGAATGTTGATGATGGGAAAATGTAGAAAATCTGAAATAAGTTTTCTTTGAGGACTGTTTCCCTCCACCATGAATGGCATTTAAAAATATACACCGATCAGGCATTTCAAAATCTTTATTTTTTTTGTGATGAGTTCATTCTTTTCTTGGTGTCCTAATTGTAGAGCCCATTTTCTCTTAGGGTTCTTTTACAGGAGGGCACAGGTTTTGGTTCTGTGTTCATCCAGAGAAAGAGAAGCAACAGTTCACATACATATATACATACATAAGTCAGCCATAACATTAAAACCATCTTGTTTCTCCGCTCATTGTCCATTTTAGCAGCTCCACTTACTATATAGGTGCACTTTGTAGTTCTACAGTTACAGACTGTAGCAAATCTGTTTCTCTGAATACTTTGTTAGCCCCCTTTTACCCTGTTCTTCAGTGGTCAGGACCCCCATGGACCCTCACAGAGCAGGTACTATTTGGGTGGTGGATCATTCTCAGCACTGCAGTAACACTGCAATTGCCAATAACACACATTGACTGTCTATTAACATATAACAAATTCACTTTGAGATTGGGGCTTCACTTTACATGCATGTTGCAGGGACAGAACATGAGCACATATACATATCCACACATTCTATACGTCCATTTACATATTCACATATACCCGGGGGGAAGGAGAAAAAAAACACCCCTAACTAAGGTAAACAATAACAGGTTTCCATCTTCTTATAAAAATAGGTACTTTTAACTGTAGCTGGGCTGTCATGTGTTCCATCATATAAACATGCTTGACTTTTTGTAACCACTGTACAATCATTGGGGGGTTAGGCGTCATCCAATTAACCGTAATTAATTTTCTTGCCACCATCAACAAAACATGCATTATGTAACACTGGTCATTGGTAAACATGTGTTCTAGTAACACTTCCATCGAGAACAGTAATGGGTCCATGGGAATATGAACTTCTAGAATTTTCTCCAACTTCTCTTTAATATTCTTCCAGAATGTCTTTATTTTTAGACAGTCCCAGAACACGAGTATGATCACCGACCATACCCACACTTTCTCCAGCATTTATTAGTAGATTTTTTTTTAAAAAACACATGCAACCAGTGGGGTCCTGAAAGACCTCATTTAACCTTCCAATCAAATTCTTTCCATAGCTGGCTCCCAACCCCCGCTGCGACATCTGGAACAGACATTTTCCCAAACTTCATCCTCCACTACTGTATTCAGTTCCAATTCCCATTGTCCTTTGAAATGTGAAGTGTTGTCTTGACAGTCAATCATTCGTTTTTTATAGATATGAGATTTGTTTTTTTGTTGATGCACTGTGTTCAGACAAATGTATAAAATGGGTTTCTATATTGGTTGGTTGTCTTTTAATAATATCCCAGTTTGTGGTTTTTGTAATATAATGTCTAATTTGTAAATATCTAAATAAGTCACTTCATGGTAGAGCACACTTGTCTTGGAGTTGTGAGAAAGATTTAAATATATTCCCAGCTGGTTAATTGTTTTCAGCCCCTTCTCAGCCCATCTTTTATATGCATTATCCCATATGGAAGGCATCGCCCGAGACAAAACTATAGCTCCCTTTAACTGTTTTTGGACTGAAGCCCACACCTTCAATGTGCATTTAATCCATACATTACTTATTTAAATTTTTTTCCAAGATTGTTGATTTAAGAATGGGAGAGTAGATAATGGTATTCCCGATATAGAGTTTTGTTCAATGGAGACCCATCCATTCTCTAAACCATTGACCATCCATGCCACCACTGCTCGAAGCTGGGCTGCCCAATAGTAGAGTTTAAGGTTGGGTAAACTCAAACCCCTTTCTCTTTTGAGGACATTAACACTTTCAGTTGGATTCTTGGTCTCCTGTTTTGCCAAATAAATGCTGATATCCATTTTCCTAGCAATTTGAATGTAGACTATGGTATTAAAACAGGTAGAGATTGAAATAAAAAGAGTAGTCTTGGTAAAATATTCATTTGAAATTCCCCTTTAAATGAACAAAAAAACACAATGCAGTCTTTCAAATGTTCAGAAAATAATATGTAGCAAAAACGCAGCCTATATAAATGGGTTTATCAGGGTGTTTCTCACTCAAAGTGATGAGTAAACTTTAAAATATACACTCATTCGTCATTACGCATAATAATCATGCCTGTACATTTTTAATTTACCTCCCTGTAAGTGTAATGCAGTAATTTAGCACTATGTGTGCATGTGCTATAGGGCCACAAGGACTCCGCGTATGGGTGCGTATTCAGCCCCAGCGGTGCGCTCCTCACCACTGGCTCTGACCAGCTGGACCTGGGAGAAGAGGAGGATGAAGATAGCGAAGAACAGGAGAAGAGGAGCAAGAGAAGAAGCAGCCTGGAGGAAGACAACAGGTCAAACGCAGAGAGGAAAGACCAGGCCTCTCATGCCAATGATCCTTTCTGTGGACCATCAGGAGCTCCATAATGAAGTCTGGATGTAACACTGCGATGGACGTCAGTAGGATGAGTTTCATTGGTTGGGCGCTCCATCCACCACGCGGTCAACCCTGCCCAGGCTTAATATGCAAAAGTTTGTCATGTTGATTTTTTAAGTGTAACTTAATACATACTTTACTTCTGCACATTTTAGTACACAATTACTGTTTATTTGCTGAATTTAACATATTGGAGTAAAATATAAACACAAAATGTGGCCTGTGCAAAAGTTATGGCACATTTTGAATTTGTTTCTTGTTAGACTCAGCAAATAATTAGAAATTGTGCTGAAAAAATACCACGTTAGTGTGTTCTCTGTAAAGGACGTGTTATTTTCACTCAGAACTTCAACATGGAATTTAACAGCGGTGTTCAAACTTTTGTTTACAACTGTATCTATGCCGTTATTTGGTTTGTTAGGTGAAAATAATGAACATATATTTCTGCTTTTCAACTGAACATCAATGTATGATTACCGCAAATGAAGAAGTTGGAGAAAAACTGTTTGTGTCTCAGCTTTTTGGCTCATAACTATTTTATGTGGAGGTTTGCTAGTATACAATTTTAAACAGCAAACATTTGAGCAGGCAATGTAACCTGAATGACTTTCCTCTTCTTTCACTGAATCTGAATTTTGTTTTTTCAGTATAAAGCTACATTTGATGAACCTTAGTTTCCCAAAATTTCTGCATAGTTCAGTCATTCAAATTTGACTCTTTACAGTGGTGGTGATAGGAACCAGGGGTCACCATGACTACAACACAGATATAGACATTTTATTTACTATCAAAAACCACCAGTGAACCTACACGAGTCTTTAATAGAAGTAATACTTATAATAGTACAATGGTGGTCAATTTTTAGCAAAATAGGTTTACAGCAGCCTACAAATATCCTTCCACCATGAAAAACCCAACTGAGGCCAAAACCTACAGCAAAATAGTGTCTCAGTCATCAGGCAGTGAAGTCATAACCACTTCATGTAGTAACTTTGTCAGGGAGCTTTTAGAGGTGGACGTCTGGTTCCTATCACCACCACTGTGAACAGTTCGGACTCGGTAAGTTTCTCCAGAACAGCGTGTTTCATACCAAACCACTCTGAATGACTCCGCTTACACGTTTAACAACTATTTAGCTGTGCAGAAATTTTTTGTTCTTATTAAAACTGTTTGTACATAAGTGCTCTAATTTCTGCAAACCTCCAAAGACCTTTAAAAGTGACAATCATGATTCCTCACCATCACTGTAGTAAATTCCAACTTTTTTTTTAGGACTAGTTATGAGCGAGTTAATACAGCCGTTTCCAGCAAACCTCTTCCAAAAAAAGAGCACAGGGTTCTATTTAAAACTACCCAGAATTGAAATAATTTCTGTAAGCAATCATCTTGCAGACTTACCTAAAGAAACCCAGTGTCTAAACATGCATATGTGCGTCAGCACCTACTTATTGGTTTATGTTTTAATCCAATACATTGTTGGTTCTAACTACAGGAAATGCATCTAAACAGACTGTGGTAATTAATCATACGATACACAGCAAACAGATTAGGCTGAAAATCGCCGGTGTTCCTTTACGCTCGTTTCCTCTGACAGACAGACACGGAGGAGTGCGTTTTGTCCAAAGGTGGGGTGTTTTATTCAAGTGGAAAAACAGCAGTACAGCCTTATGCCTTGACGGCGAATTTGCGGACTGAATACAGGCGGGATTTCCTCTGCATCTTTTTGGTCATGAGGCTCTCCTCGTGCTTGGTCAGCTGTCGGCGGATAGCGCGAGTCTTCTTGGGCCTCAGGTCCAGGGGCTTGTACTTCTTTCCCTGAAAAACAGAAGGCGAGAAAGGTCAGCAAGGTGCGCCGGGTTTGCCTGACAAGTTAGGATGCACAGTCTTCTATATTGGAAGATCAAAGCGCCAGAACTGTAGAACTGAATCAGACTACACTTGATTCAATTCGATACCTTGAATCAGGTGTACCTGAACGGAAGTATTGTGCCCTGTATTTATTAGTGTAATCACAAGTTTTATGAAACATTATTTATTTTAAACAGGTATATTAAAGCAAGGGAAACCATCTTGTCCAGTTCTAAGTTCTATAACCCTCCAAAAGCATTCAACAACCCGGAAATGCAGACTTGATGCACAAATGAAAAATCTGACCGAACTGCAAATGAATGTAGGCTGCCCACAGCAGATGTGTGTCACAGAGGGACTCTGCAGCGAGCAGCCCGGATTACTGTAGCAAGAGAATATTCACACCATCTCCACAGACACAGGAGCAGCGCTGGGTGATCATCTTGCTCAAACATGACGCCTCCATCAGCAGGTGTGTCACCTTCTGATCTATAATAAATGTGCGCCTAAACTTCTTGAACCCACAAGAAAAAGACCCTGTTTTAGCAGTAATTCAACTTCTGAGAGACAAGGGCTAAATGGGTTGAGCTCCCCTTGCCCCACAGGGTCTAATGGCCAATCTAAATGCCTGGACTCTGGCCCCATGGCCTTCGGTCTCACAGATTTTGGACCTACGTTCTGTGACAATCACTGAAACGCTCAAGAAGCTGGATGTGTGAGGCTGCACTGCTGCAAGTGTATTTATGAAAATAAATGCTAACGAGGGGGTCCTTCAGCTCCAGCTACTCCTCACAGGGTCTTCAGAAGCATCTACGCAAGCATGATGTGTCAGATCATCAGGAGAAAGACTGGACATCCCTGTTCTCAAACCTGGACTCCAATAAATGTTATGCTTAAGTAAGCAGACCGTGTAAAAGTATATTGACTGAACTGTGAGGCCATAGAATTATACCCACAGAAAGCAGGGTTGAAAACCAGGATTCCCAGCCTCAGAATACAGCTGGTCCTGTACACTTTCCCAAAAAGGACCAACACTAACAACCTGAGTTTAGATTAAACTACAAAACAAAACGCAACCCACCCACTTCAAGCTTGATCCCCTGTCTTCTGAACATAGTAATTTTGGAGAGAGATCACCAAACTCACCTTGTAGAACTTCCTCAGGTTCTCTTTCTGTGTCTGGTTGATGACGGTAAGAACTCTGGCAATGGACTTGCGCACCACACGGCTAGAAAGAGGAGAGAGAAAAGAACATGTACAAGTCATTAAAAAGTCAGCCAGGGCAACTGAGCAACAGCAAACTCACCAAAACATAAGCAGTCACAGGCTTACTTAGCTTAGGTAAAGCTAAACAGCGCCGTATAAACACTTGCATTTTGTTCTGGTCAAAAATTTGTTTGTCCAATGAAAAAATTACTAGAGATGCACAGACATGACTTGGGGACCGACGCAGATATCGTATATTTCATGTGCCTGTCTGCTGTTGCAAAAACATTTACAAAATTTAGATATTAACTAAATACACCTGGATTTGTATTACACAGAAATACCACTTATGTTGGGTTACAAATGCAGTAATATGATGTGCATATTTCAATGTGGTAACCCAGAATCGCCTAAACCTTCTGCTCTTCAATACATCAAATACACTAGGCTCTTAATTCTGCAGTGCTCCACACACAGGTTAGTGTTTCCTGTGCTCTGACCAATTCCAAGTCCACCGACTGGGTTACTCAAACACTGTGAGGCACACGGCCCACTCATCACTCACATCTTGGAGAGCTTGGAGGCAGCACCACCAGTGACTTTGGCGACGCGGAGCTGGGACAGTTCCACCTTCAGGTCATCCAGCTGCTTCAGCAGCTCCTCCTTCTTCTTACCGCGCAGATCTCTGGCCTTGATCTTTGCCTGAAAGCACAAAAGAAATCATGCCTGGTCACTTTAGGCCGTGATCACAACCAGAACGTTAGTTGAGAGCACAGCACATCACGTTATGAAAGTTATGAGACAATTAACATCACTGGCCTCGTTTGTGACCCTGATTATGAGCCTCTCAGCAAAACGTTTTCTATCACGTGCTTTAAGCTTTTGCTGGTGTTTGTATAAAGGAAGACATCTGATCCAAGTCATTATAACCAGAATCAAACACACCATCACATCAAGTGGTCACCAATGTGTTTATATCTCGATTTTACACATTGACCATATCGTGCAGCCTTACTGACAATACTTAACGTCAATTCACCACATATTAAACAGCCTCAGGAGCCAGTAAGAACAAAGTGCTCGCTTCAAACGACACATTAACACTTACAGTTAATGTCTCCGTCCTTTAACTAAGGTCCTGAACATAATTTCTCAAGAAAAGTGTCAAAAACTGACGAAGCTCAACATCGGAAACGTTCGGCTTTCTCCGCTGAATCTTCGGCTCATGGTGTTTGCAATGCTTTAGCACCGCTGCCTATCAGTTAACCTCATTAGCTCGCCTTAAAACCCCGGGAAAACGCCAGCTTTCTCCAGAATCAGAGATTCGTGAAGATCCTGGTCATTTTACCCATCTGTTGATTCATTTCTTTAACGGGGACGTTTTTTTTACACGTTTCTAAAACAGCCGAGCTCCGAGCAGCTCCGGCTACAGGCGGCGCATTTAAACATCACATTACAGCAAAACTCCACCATCATATCTCGAAATACTGAACTCAGACACTTCAGATGAGATTGATCTACGTTTAGAGCCCCGTTCGGGCTGTTTAACCGTCGAGAAACGCCGGGATGGCGTTTGATTCTCCGGCTGAAATTAAACTGCTCACCATTTCTCTCGATGGCCGCCACAGGAAAGGAAGGAGCGGAGGGGGCGCGCGGACATCTACCGGGTCACGGTGGAATGTTCCACTCAGTTATGGAAAGGGCGGGGGGAGGTGGGAGAGACCAACAGGAGGGAGGAGGGGGGGTGGTTTAGTCTAAATTAAACACCTGTAACGCTTTAAAAAGGATTTTAGCAATGAAAAGTACCGTTGTTGTAATGATTTAGTGTAGATGAAGTTGATGAGAAAATCAAATGAGCAAAATCTTGAAACGGTGCTATCTGTCTGTCTATCTATTTAGCTTTCTGCCTGTCTATCTGTCTATCTGCCTAGCTATCTATTTAGCTTTCTGCCTGTCTATCTGTCTAGCTATCTATTTAGCTTTCTGCCTGTCTATCTGTCTAGCTTTCTATTTAGCTTTCTGTCTGTCTATCTGCCTAGCTATCTATTTAGCTTTCTGCCTGTCTATCTGTCTAGCTATCTATTTAGCTCTCTGTCTGTCTATCTGTCTAGCTATCTGTTTAGCTTTCTGCCTGTCTATCTGTCTAGCTATCTATTTAGCTCTCTGCCTGTCTATCTGCCTGTCTATCTGTCTATCTGCCTAGCTATTTATTTAGCTTTCTGCCTGTCTATCTGCCTAGCTATCTATTTAGCTTTCTGCCTGTCTATCTGTCTAGCTATCTATTTAGCTTTCTGTCTGTCTATCTGTCTAGCTATCTATTTAGCTTTCTGCCTGTCTATCTGTCTAGCTATCTATTTAGCTTTCTGCCTGTCTATCTGTCTAGCTATCTATTTAGCTTTCTGTCTGTCGATCCATCAGTTTTTGTGTGTTTCACTTCTGAACTTTATTGGTTATCAGTTTTTGTATGTCTACATTTTCTGGTTTTCACTGTGGAAAGTTTCCCCTGTTTATCTGTGAAGAAACCTCTAAAAGTATCAGTACCGGTGCTACATGGGGATGTCAGCTGTGCTATTACGTCAGATCATCAGAGAATGAGAGGTGAGAAATAGGTTCCCCTTTAATTTGCTCTGGTAACGGACCAAAAGAAAAGGAGTGGTGTCACCCATCCCTACATCCTAATGTGAGCAAATGATTCAAACCAAGACTAATGCACAAAACAAAATAAGGGTCCTTTACATAAAAAATATTTCATAGGTTCGTTGCTCCCACTGAAGCAAAAAGCTGTTAGATTAATTCCGTGAGTGTGAAACATGGACGAAGGTAAAAAAAAAATAAATAAATTAAATTTGTTTTAATGAAATATTTGCACAACAAGAGCGACTTTAGCCATCACACTACTGTGTTATGAGTGCGGATCAGAGCACGTTCATAAAATTCTTTAAAAAAAAAGTACAGCCAGGAACAATAAACAAATAAGTAAACAAAAACAGAAAATAGACACAACGAAAAGGCTAAAACACATTACAAAACCATCAGAAACAAAAATAAAACAATTAGTGGTTTCTGTGGGTTTTTCAACAGGGGTACGTTAAAAAACTAAAGTTTGTTTTAGCCTAAAGCTTAATATCATGCTCAGGTTAGGCCTGCGTGTTATATGTCTACATAACCCGTTAGCTTACCCAGACAACATCAGCTGTAGTTTGTGCTATATTTACCCTGTGAATCTCTATCTGCGTTCAGACCAAAGTTGTTTTAGCCTAAAGCTTAAAATATAATGTTAGTCCAGCGCAAATTTACTGGAAACCCACCCAAAACGACTGACATTCTCTGTTTGGGTCCTGAATACAATAACATGACTGAGGAGAGCAGCAGCGTTTCCTGTCTGAACAGTCTGGCCTGTAATGTTCCTCTCCCATACTTTGAACTGTACTGATTCTCCACATACGGAACAAAGCTATCCTATCAGTTCAACACGGAACACGTCTTTTAGGAAGGTTCCGTGTTTTACGGGACGGTTGGCCTATCTGCCTATTGTGGCCACTTAGCTAGCTATGCTAGCTGAAAGCTCATTGCTAACACTAATACTGCCCACAAACATGTTAGCCTTCACTGTTTTTACCAGCTGGACAATAAAAAAGCAGCTTTCTGTGCCACATAAGCCAGTGATTTTTACAATGTTGTTGTTTTAAATAGAACTTTTATATGCAGTGTGAATTTATTAATGTATTTATTAGCACTGAGTTCCTTTACATTCAGATACAGACACTAAACCGTTCATCCACTTCAGCTTAGTAACGTTATCTGGCTCAGTATGTCAACAATATTCATCAAATTCGCAATATCAATTCTCGCCATCACAGCAGGAGCTAGACAGCTATTAGCATTGAGTGAAAGGTGCTAAATAAGGATGATTATTAGTGTTATAATTATTATTATAACTATTATTAATCAGACAAAGTACAGAAACCACTCAAACACAGCTCAATGGTTCTAGATACATTTTTATTAGTTCATTTCAGTGATAAATCTCATTCATCCCGCATCCATTCATTCAGGGTCTTTTTCATTTCCTTCTCCACAGTCGTCTCCAGAAGCTCCTCTTTCCTGAGCTCTTTTCCTCCTGCAGCTCCTTCTTCCCCTCTTTCTCTTCTCCTCTGCTTTCCTTTCTTTCTCCTCTGCTTTCCTTTCTTTCTCCCTTTCACGCTGCAAGTTCCTCACCCTCTTCTCCTCCTCTTTTATCTGCTTTTTCAGCTCCTTATTCTTCTTTTCCTGCTCCTTCCTTTCTTTCTCCTCTGCTTTCCTTTCTTTCTCCCTCCCACGCTCCAAGTTCCTCACCCTCTTCTCCTCTTTCATCTGCTTTTTCAGCTCCTTGCTCTTCTTTTCCTGCTCCTTCTTCCTTTCTTTCTCCTCTGCTTTCCTTTCTTTCTCCCTCTCATGCTCCAAGTTCCTCACCCTCTTCTCCTCCTCTTTTATCTGCTTTTTCAGCTCATTGCCCTCCTTTTTTGCTCCTTTTCTTTCTTATCTCCTCTCTTTTCTAACCTTTTGTCCCTTTCACTCTCCAGATCTCTCACCTTCTGCTCCATCATGGCCTTGTAGCCGCACACGGCCTCCATGAAGTCCTGTGCTGTCCTCATCATCTCCTCCTTCTCTGCTCTCCACCTCTCTCGTTCCTCCTGCATCTCCTTCTCCATCCTGGACAGTCCGTCTCTCAGCTGGAGGTTTTCACCTTCCAGATCTCTCACCTTCTGCTCCATCATGTACCTGTTGCCGGACATTTCCTTCATGTGTTCCTCCGTTCTCCTCATTATCTCCTTCTTTTCTGCTCTCCATGTCTCTCGTTCCTCCTGCATCTCCAACTCCATCCTGAACAGTCTGTCTTTCATCTTACGGTTTTCTCCCTCAAGGTCCTGCCAGTTTATCAGGGGGTCGACGTCTGCTCCTCGTCTGGCCTCCTCGTGCTCCTTTCCCCGCGCTGCTGTCGGCTCCTCCACCGGTGCCAGCAGCTCGCTGTGTTGCAGTGTCCCCACCTCCAGAGCTCCAGGTCTAATTAATTTATGTGAAATAATAAAAATAAATGATCTGAATCCCGAATCTGTGATTTCTAGTTTATTTTTATTCAATTGAATCACCACACTGCCTTCAGATTCTGCGGGTACTGTAGTAATCAGAGCCTACCCATCGAGCGGTCCTACTGAGCATGCGCATATCATTACTATAGCGTAGTAATTTAATGTTTCAAACGTTTTGTTTTGTCTTTAACGTTAATTCAGTACAGACTCCGATTAATATTATTATTTACTCCCTGATGAGGTGATTCACAATATCCTAATTATTCCTTTAATCATGGTAACCTTTAACGTCACTGATAGGAAATTTAGGCTATCAAATTATCCTACCTATAGATTTCACTGCTGGTAGCATTTTCTGATAGGATAATTTAGGCCATCAAAACGTCCTACCACTGATGAAGGACTAGAGGATGACCGACACAAACTGTGCAGCAGCAGATGAGCTGTCGTCTCTGACTTTACATCTACAAGGTGGACTGACAAGGTAGGAGTGTCTAATAGAGTGGACAGTGAGTGGACACAGTGTTTAAAAACTCCAGCAGCACTGCTGTGTCTCATCCACTCGTACCAGCACAACACATACTAACACACCACCACCACGTCAGTGTCACTGCTGAGAATGATCCACCACCCAAATAGTACCTGCTCTGTGAGGGTCCATGGGGGTAAAAGGGGGCTAACAAAGTATGCAGAGAAACAGATGGACTACAGTCTGTAACTGTAGAACTACAAAGTGCACCTATATAGTAAGTGGAGCTGATAAAATGGACAATGAGCGTAGAAACAAGAAGGTGGTCATCATGTTATGCCTGATCAGTGTATGTCTACATAACCCATTAGTTTACTCAGGCCACATCAGCTGAGGTTCATATAATATTTACCCTGTGAATCTTTATATACGTTCAGACCAAAGTTGTTTTAGCCTAAAGCTTAAAATATAATGTTAGCCCAACATAAATGTAGGAAACCCACATAAAACGACTGAATGTTGATTAACATTGCGCTGAATGGCACTGGCGTGTCACTGGAGTGAAACTGTAGACAGATATTATTGTGGGGGGCGTATATATATATATATATATATATATATATATATATATATATATATATATATATATATATATAAAAAATTGAGGGGGTTAGTCGACACATGAAGCCCCGCCCCTCTTCCTTCGGTTGACACAGTAAAGCCCCGCCCCTCCCTCCGCCACAGCACGGTTCATCATGGCGCTGGCGAGAAGCGTTTACAACCTGCTTTTCAAAAGGACGTCGACTTTCGCCGTCACTATCATGGTGGGAGCCGTGGTGTTCGAGCGGGTGTTCGACCAGGGCGGAGACGCGCTGTTTGAGAGTTTAAATCGAGGGGTGAGTCTGTTTTTCTGGCGGTTTTGACTGAAGGCCGTGACCCATGTAGCTAAGGCTAAAGCTAAGGGCTGACCTTACTGCAGCGCCTCAGAGGACTCAGAGGACGCGGCTAGCCGGCGTTAGCCTTCATCGGGCGCTTAAACAAGGCGGTTTTTTAGGTGTAGTTATAAAAAAAAATAACATTTCCAATGAATATTGTGATTGAGAACCCATGTGTCTGCATTTGTCTTGTATAAATCGAGATACAGGACGTCCTGTCGCTGATTAGCTGGCAGTTCTAACCTAGCTAGCTCTGCTGCTAACAGTTGGCTAGCGTACCGGCCTGTGTTACTAACCGGTTAGAGACGTTTCATCAGAATGTATACATCTACACTGATCGTCCACAACATGAAAGCATTTTGTTTCTACGCTCATTGTCCACTTTATCAGCTCCACCTACCATATAGGGGCACTTTGTAGTTCCACACTTAACTAGCTTTCACATTGTAGTCCACCTGATTCTGCAGACCTTGTTAGCCCCCTTTCACATTGTTAGGACCACCACAGAGAGGGTACTATTTGGGTGGTGGGTCATTCTCAGCAGTAACACTGACGTGGTGGTGGTGGTGTGTTAGTGTGTGTTGTGCTGGTGCGAGTGGATCAGACACAGCAGTGCTGCTGGAGTTTTTAAACATTGTGTCCACTCACTGTCCACTCTGTTAGACACTCCTACCTTGTCGGTCCACCTTGTAGATGTAAAGTCAGAGACGATAGCTCATCAGTTTGTGTTGGTCATCCTCTAGTCCTTCATCAGTGGTCACAGGATGCTGTTGGCTGGATGATTTTGGTTCTCAGTCCAGCAGCGACACTGAGGTGTTTAAAAACTCCAGCAGCACTGCTGTGTCTGATCCACTCAGACCAGCGCAACACACACTAACACACCACCACCATGTCAGTGTTACTGCAGTGCTGAGAATGATCCACCACCCAAATAGTACCTGCTCTGTAAGGGTCCATGGGGGTCCTGACCACTGCAGAACAGGGTAAAAGGGGGCTAACAAAGTATGCAGAGAAACAGATGGACTACAGTCTGTAACTGTAGAACTACAAAGTGCTCCTATATAGTAAGTGGAGCTGATAAAATGGACAATGAGCGTAGAAACAAGATGGTTTTAATGTTATGGCTGACTTATGTATGTATATATGTATGTGAACTGTTGCTTCTCTTTCTCTGGATGAAAACAGAACCAAAACCCGTGCCCTCCCGTAAAAGAACCCTGAATCACATTATCCCCCAGAATGGGGGATAATGTGATCTCAGTGATTTTGACCGTGGCATAATTATTGGTGCCAGGTCATCTATAACTGATGATCTGGGGTTTTCATGCACAACAGTCACTAGAGCAGCGGTCACCTGCCCTCTCTATGGAGATCTACTTTCCTATAGAGTTCATTTCCAACCTGACATACTGCCCCTTCCACCAATGCATCTGATCCAGCCAATCAAGGACTTCTGAAGTTAATTAGGTGTCATTGATTGCAGTTGCATCTACACCCTACAGGAAAGTACATCTGCAGGAGCAGGGTTGGTGACTTCTCCTCTAGAGTTTACTCAGAATGATGCAATAAAGAAAAAACATCCAGTTCTGCTGTTCAGAGAGGTCAGTGGAGAATGGCCAGACTAGTTCCAGCTAACAGAAAGGCTACAGTAACTCAGATAACCACTCTCAACAAGTATAGTGAGCAGAAAAGCATCTCAGAGTGCACAACACATCGAACCATGAAGCGCACCTGAAAAATCTGCAGGAGTTGTGTGATGCAGTCATGGAACAGAATCTCAAAGGAATGTTTCCACCATCTTGTGGAGTCCATGCGATAAAGAATAGAGGCTGTTTTTGAAAGCAAATGAGGCCCTACCCAGTAATAGTGTAGTGATCTTAATAAAGTGCTCAGTCAGTGTATCCCTCACATTAGGTTCATTAATGGCCAGATGTCCAGCGCGTCACTGGCTCCCTGAAAGTTTTGATGGTTGCCGTTGTTTATCAAGCTAAAAGTCCCAGCTGTGTAGTTGTCTGATTGTAATTGCTGCCTAATAGAACTCAGTCATTGTCTTACTAATGTCTACTACTGTTGCTATTCTTTTAGAAACTGTGGAAACATATTAAACACAACTACGAGAAGGAGGAGTGACCGGTGTGGTTTGATGCAGCTTCTTGGCCGGAGGGTCCAGCCACCGTCCCATTCCCGAGATCATCCGCCGGCTTGGACATCGTCCTGGTGTTGATTCTTCTTCAGACACTGCATGGGGATCTGGAGAGACTGGCTATGAACATCATGGAATACCGAAACCATCAAGATGCCCCTCCTTAATGTTGTGTGTTATGCCTCATATTCACAGTTTGTAAATGTACATTTAAAAGTTGTTAATAAATCCATTAAATAACAGTTGCTTGTGATTTATTTTGCTGTTTAACTGTAGGCCTGTAATTGGGGGTGAAAGTAACAAGAGACCCTCAGTCTCAGGCCTGTCAGACGTGTTCACTCCAAGAATTTAAGCTTGTGTAACCTATAGATGTTATTTCCTTTGTACAAGAAGCTCGGCCTTATGCGTGGGTCTTCAAAGGATGGCAATCAGACTTGTTTTCCATGTTCTTAACCCAGCTGGATATCTCGGGCATAACATGATGACCACCTCCTGGTTTCTACGCTCATTGTCCATTTTATCAGCTCCACTTACTATATAGGTGCACTTTGTAGTTCTACAGTTACAGACTGTAGTCCATCTGTTTCTCTGCATACTTTGTTAGCCCCCTTTTACCCTGTTCTTCAGTGGTCAGGACCCCCATGGACCCTCACAGAGCAGGTACTATGTGGGTGGTGGATCATTCTCAGCAGTAACACTGACGTGATGTTGGTGTGTTAGTGTGTGTTGTGCTGGTGTGAGTGGATCAGACACAGCAGTGCTGCTGGAGTTTTTAAACACTGTGTCCACTCACTGTCCACTATTAGACACTCCTACCTTGTCAGTCCACCTTTTAGATGTAAAGTAAGACGACAGCTCATCTGCTGCTGCACAGTTTGTAATGGTCATCCTCTAGTCCTTCATCAGTGGTCACAGGACGCTGTTGGCTGGATATTTTTGGTTGCTGGACTATTCTCTGTGCAGCAGTGACACTGAGGTGTTTAAAAACTCCAGCAGCATTGCTGTGTCTGATCCACTCAGACCAGCACAACACACACTAACACACCACCACCACGTCAGTGTTACTGCACTGAAGAACAGGGTAACAAAGTATGCAGAGAAACAGATGGACTACAGTCTGTAACTGTAGAACTACAAAGTGCACCTATATAGTAAGTGGAGCTGATCAAATGGACAATGAGCGTATTTATACACCTCCAAATCCAAATTATGATTGCTTTCTGAATAATATATGAACGTGGCCTATGTTGTAATTTTGTATTCACTGTAATTCTCTTTAAGGCATTCATTTTTATCTGTAGATCCAACAGGAGTCACATGCAACACAGTCTTTTTAATGCTAATTTAGACCACGTTCACATGTTATCAGAATTTCAGCAAGTAGTAAATATTGCTGCAATGGAAAAACATCTCAGTGGAGGGTTAAAGTGAGTCTAGAGCAGTAAGGTTGGCTGTGTTGGCTAGTTTCCCAGACACAGATTAGGCCTAAACTTAGACTAGGTGTGACTTTTAATGGTGAACCACCACTGGTGTTGCAATTTAGTCCATGACTAGCTTTTTTTCCATGTCCACCAAACCAGCCCAACATGTAGCAGGTAGCCGTCAACCTTAGCAGACACATCTTTGCCATTTATTTTGTGTCTTTTTGAAGGATGGGCTTGTTTAAACCTGGCCTACAAATTCATTTTGTGACTTAAGTAAATCAGAATCACATGAGAATTATTTTAAGGTTTAATAAAGTCAAATAAGTCAATGTAAGAAGAAAGAAGGGGATAAAATACTAGATTATATGTAAACAAATGATAAAACTAACTGGGTCCTTACTGTAAAGATGCTCGTTATTTTGACAGCAATAAGAGTGTAATTAGATATATTCACCGCTGGGTGTCACTAGAAACCAATTAGTGACACCCAGTAGGGAATATGTTCAAAATACACTATATTTCCAAAAGTATTCACTCACCCATTCGAATCATTGAATTCAGGTGTTCCAATCACTTCCATGGCCACAGGTGTATAAAACCAAGCACCTAGGCCTGCAGACTGCTTCTACAAACATTAGTGTAAGAATGGGTCGCTCTCAGTAGCTCAGTGAATTCCAGCGTGGTGCCGTGATCGGATGCCACCTGTGCAACAAGTCCAGTCGTGAAATTTCCTCACTACTAAATATTCCACAGTCAACTGTCAGTGGTATTATAACAAAGTGGAAGCGAATGGGAACGACAGCAACTCAGCCACGAAGTGGTCGGTCGCGTAAAATGGCAGAGCGGGGTGAGCGGATGCTGAGGTGCATAGTGCGCAGAGGTCGCCAACTTTCTGCAGAGTCACAGACGTCCAAACTTCATGTGGCCTTCAGATTAGCTCAAGAACAGCACAGAGAGCTTCATGGAATGGGTTTCCATGGCCGAGCAGCTGCATCCAAGCCTTACATCACCAAGTGCAATGCAAAGCGTCGAATGCAGTGGTGTAAAGCGCCGCCACTGGACTCTAGAGCAGTGGAGACGTGTTCTCTGGAGTGACCAATCACGCTTCTCCGTCTGGCAATCCGATGGACGAGTCTGGGTTTGGCGGTTGCCAGGAGAACGGTACTTGTCTGACTGAATTGTGCCAAGTGTAAAGTTTGGTGGGGGGGGAGTCATGGTGTGGGGTTGTTTTTCAGGAGTTGGGCTCGGCCCCTTAGTTCCAGTGAAAGGAACTCTTAATGCTTCAGCAGACCAAGAGATTTTGGACAATTTCATGCTGCCAACTTTGTGGGAACAGTTTTGGGGAGTTTGGCCCCTTCCTGTTCCACCATGCCTGCGCACCAGTGCACAAAGCAAGGTCCATAAAGACATGGATGAGCGAGTTTGGTGTGGAAGAACTTGACTGGCCTGCACAGAGTCCTGACCTCAACCTGATAGAACACCTTTGGGATGAATTAGAGCGGAGACTGTGAGCCAGGCCTTCTCGTCCAACATCAGTGTCTGACCTCACAAATGAGCTTCTAGAAGAATGGTCAGAAATTCCCATAAACACTCCTAACCCTTGTGGAAAGCCTTCCCAGAAGAGTTGAAGCTGTTATAGCTGCAAAGTGTGGGTCGACATCATATTAAACCCTATGGATTAAGAATGAGATGTCACTCAAGTTCATATGCGTGTGAAGGCAGACGAGCGAATACTTTTGGCAAGATAGTGTATATCAATATAAAATAATACAATTAAAATCAGAATCACATGAGAATTGTTTTAATGTTTAATAAATAAGTCAATATAAGAAGAAAAAAAGGAGAATGCTAGAAATATGTAGAACAAATAATAAAACTAACTGGGCCCATACTGTAAAGATGCTTGATAATTTGACAGTGTAATTAGACATATTGACCACTTATTGACCACATATTGGGTGTCACTAGAAACCAATTACTACTTTAAAAGCTGCCCTTATATCAAATTGAGCATATTTTATAACTACGCTGTAATTATAATAAATAATAATAATTGAGAATGAATAATTTAGCTGTAAAGGTCTCAGGATGGTCTTTGCTGATGTTTAGCTTGTTCTAAACAGAACCAGAGCTAACTCTTCAGCTAAGGCCTAGTTAAGATTGGATGGTATGCCAATGAGAGGGCATGGGCTCGCTCTCGAAGATCATTAATGTCACAATGCACGTCAAATAAGATGCCAAAACAACTCCACACAGACATCATCGACATATTTATGCGATAATATTGCCTTTTTTGGACATTTATGGCTGCATTGTTAGACTGACTCTAGTGTAAATAGTGTATGAATAGATTAAGGATTTCAAGGCGACTACGTGTTTAAAAACAACCATTCGTTCGTTAAAATAGTTCAAATTGCTAACATTTTTGGAGTGACCTTTTTTCGTGCCCCTGGTCAGTCACTCAGAGCACCTGTGTGGTAGTTCTGGCCACGAGTGTCTGATGCGGGGGAGCCCAGATGTGGTCCTGGTGATTTCTGGGTTCCAACACTTGATTTATTTCAGGTTTTGTTGGGTGATTCAAGCAGAAACTCACAAACGGTGCTGAACCCCAGCCCTTCAGGACCCAAGTTGCATTTGTGTGGATGCTGCTTATCCCTGAAAATCCTGCATTGAAGCTGATGACAAATGTATTATCTGATTACAGTCTTATCTTTTAGCCTTCGCTATGTTGTCTGTGCATTCCAGTAACTGTAAACTTTGCCCTCTTGAGGCCTAAACAGCATGTCATGGTTTTGGAATAAAGTGAACATTTCCTCACCCTGAAACGTTCACATAGTCAGCGCTTTGGCTCCTTTTCCTCTTGAGGGCTTATATCTCTTGTTTGCGTTCAGCTCTGGTAGAAAAGGCGTTGTACTGGTTAGAGTCTGGCCTTTTCAGTGCTACAGCACTCAGGCTGCAGTTCTTCAGTTCTGGAAGGATGTCTGGATGAATACACATCAAATTAGCACAGTTCTTTTTTAAAAATATGTTTTGTTAATTTTCAAGAAAGGGGAAACATTAAAAAGGAATTCCACCAATTTTCAAGAAAATCTGCAAATAAATGGCTAAAAGTGCAGTGTGTAAGATTTAGTGGCATCTAGTGGTGAGGTTGCAGATTGCATCCCACTCAATAACCCGTTCCTCACCCCTACCTTTTCGCTACGAGCATGCTAATGTCTCGGTAGCTAGCTAGCTAACTTTCCCGTTCCACCTTAAATAGTGCAGCAGTTCTGACTCCTGAAGCACCAGAATGTAACTGCTGCACCATTTAAGGTGGAACGGGAAAATTTGAACAAGAATCTGGTGAATATCTGACTTCAGCTTCACATCACTGAAGAATTAGGGGTGGGCGATAATAAATAATTGCCCCCCTCTTTGAAGGCGTATGATGCCCTAAATGTAACTAAAGCCCAGCAGTGAGGAGCTGAACTCTACCCTTCTCTGCTGTCACTGCAGACTGGCAGGGTCGCCTACAGAGCAGCGCTAGTAGCTGTTAATGAAGTGATGCTCTTTTTATTTGAGGGTCCCATTTCAGAGGGAAGATTTCAACCACTACCCCTTGGAACTGAGTTACATGGGGTAGTGGTTGAAAGGGTGACACTCCAAACAAGGGGTAGGGGTAAAAAGAAGAAATGAGATTGGGCCTTAAAGTGTCAGAACTGTTCACAGTGGTGGTGATAGGAACCAGACGTCCACCTCTAAAAGCTCCTCACGGAAGGTTACAACATGAAACGGTTAAGAATTTAGCTGAAACCTTAGAACACTAGCTAGAATGAGCAGGGCTAAACTGCTCTAGGTGGACTCTACATGTAAATGGGTCTGTTTTTGTGACGTCACAAGAACAGTACATTTTAAACGGCCTGTTTTTTCACCTTAGTTTCCACACATGGACTGTATGTATAGGGGCGTGAATGGTACACTCTGAAACTTAAATAATATTTACATACTACATCAAACTCTCATTTAAAGCAAGCAGGGGGAATTCATTTTCCCATAGGTGGGTCCTTTAGATTCTGAGGATTTTAAAAAGTTTTACTGCCATTATTTTACTGGCTCCGATGTTTTAAACCATCTATTTCATTAGCAAAAGAAACTCTTCACGGCTGGTGCAGTGAAAGTAACAGTGGCATAGCTCTCATACGACTTTAGCTCAGGCTATAAACGCACAGCTAAATTAAACCCATTATAATAGTTATGTAATAGTTTTCAGGATTAATTATACATTTAACACATTCGGCTGCACAGGAAACACTGCTGCTCTTGTTGTTCTAACACTAGGCTCTGCTCCAGGGAAGGAACTGTGCTCATTAAACGGTGGAGCAACAGATACTGAATCACAGGGAGAAGCATCAGACAAGAGTTTCAATGGCCTGCATTGTTGTCAAGTCATTGTCTTGCATGAAGAGTTAGGCTGACCATTCGCATCCTCAGCAATAAGGCTTACCACACTGAATTTGAAATGAAGATTGTTGAGCCACACCTGCTTACATCCAGTGCACTGAAGATGAAGGCTAATAATGTATGACTGTAAGTTCTAATGTAATCATGACTTTACTCACATTAAAGTGAGGCACGTATGCAATGTAGGCCACACACAGCATGGGCAAAAGTGGCGTTCTTGAACAACTTCAAGTATATAAAAAATAAACGTGAATAAAAATAAGACTTTTAATAAACTTTGACACAGCATATAAACATTGAAAGTTTCGAAATGTACCGGTCACTCTCTAAACGAAAACTAAGCTGCAAACGCCTTTACATATATTATGATATTCAGCCTACAGCCGTTTAGCCCCGCCCACTCAGGCTGAAGTTATAAGGGGTGTTTCAGCTCGGTCTGGTCTTTGAACGAGGCACAGCCAATCAGAACAGAGCTCATTTACATATATCAGGCAGTAACAAAAACAGTCCGTTTAATTCTAAAGGCCGCCACACACTGGACACGCAGCGACGCATCATACAACGTCCAAACATTTTAAACTGCTGTTTTTAATAGAGGGACACACACCGGTGTGATTAACGATGCTGAAAGCTGTAGTTCAGTAAATGTATAGCTGGGATTCAGAAACGACTTAACAGCACTTCATAAAAATAGAGTGTAAAAATGAACTTTTTCCTGATTTTTTCGGGTCTTGCTGAGTTTTTGGCCTTGCGGGATAAAGAGAGGTTGGAAAATTAGTCCGGAAACTGCACAAATGTCATAAATGAACCTCAGGTGGAAAAAATAAAAATAAAAATAAAAAATGAAAAATAGAGGATATAGGCCCTTCAAGATTCTTAGAGGGTCGCATTCACAGTTTATATTTTCTTAAGATCCTTTCTAGGTTTGTTTTTTCTCAGAAAAGCATTTGTAAATTTGACCCCGGATCAAGAGAGGGACTGAAGAGGGAGCTCACACTGTAACAGGGCTGAACGATTTGGGGAAAGAATCTGATTGCGATTTTTCTGACTAATATTGCGACTGTGATTTAAACTGAGGTTACTTTCTATAAATTAAGGTTCAAGCCAAGGAGACCAGAATATCCACTTTTTTGGCTCTGTACTTGACCCTTGAATGTGGTGTACCAGTCAGCCAGTAAATTGTGGTTGTGATGTCACAACACATGAAAGTTTGGTTGCCTCTGATTGGTCTAACTTATCTACAGAGAGTTTACAAGCCGGAGAGGCCATGAGGTAGTTTTAATTTTCTGGATTGTTATCTTGAGTTAACAAGTAAATTGTCTTGTGATCTCAAGATATCAAAAGTTGTTATCTTGAGATAACGAGTTAAGTATCTTGTGATCTCAAGATAACAAAGTTCATAACCAGTTAACTATCTTGTGATCTCAAGATAACAGTTATCTTGAGATGAGTTAGGTATCTTGTGATCTCAACATAACAACTTTGTTATCTTGAGATAAGTATATTGTTATCTTCAGATATGTATATTGTGATCTTGAGATAACCAGTAAAGTATCTTGTGATCTCAAGATAACAAAGTTGGTTCTAAAGTTGTTATCTTGAGATAACCAGTTAAATATCTTGTGATCTCAAGATAACAAAGGTGTAAACTCAGTACCACAAGATAATTAACTTGTTATCTCAAGATAACAATCCAGAAATTTATAGCAACAGCTCGTGGCCTCTCCGGACTTCCGTAAGCTCTGTGTTATTAGGTTAAACTTCTCCACTAAAGCCGTCTTTAGGGCCGCAGGTCCTCTGGAATCTAGAAGAATCTTTAGGGCTGCTGACTCAGGATCAGACACTCAGGAACCTCAACAAACGTACCAAACTCAGAAAATCCGATCTGAGATCAGCATAGAACGAAAACAGCACCAAATACACGTGCTAGCCGCCCATCAAAGGCGACGCCAAGCGCGTCAGAGATCATCCGCCAATCCCCATTTCGCAACACGGTAAATATTTGCATATATTGGAAAGCGTCAGAGCTCGACCGCCAATGCCTTTGCGCGTCACGGAATATATTTGCGTATATTTGCATACGATCACCGACTTCTATGAATGAGAGTCGCGAAGCTTCTTCCCGCCCAGACGGACAGACTGACAGACTCTCCCGGAGCGGCTCTTCTCGGTATTTACCTCAGAACTCCCCTCAGAGTCCCGGTGTCCCGGTCAGGATGTCCTACTCCAGAGTTTTACCGGCTCTCGCCCGCCTGAAGCCCGACAGGCTGATCCGTATGAGACGGTCCCGCTCGACGGTGGCCTCGAGCCGAGCCCAGGAGAAGAACGAGGAGGCGCAGCTGGAGCCCGGGTGCACGCTCGTGGAGAAGCCGTGCGATGTGGACCTGATAGCCGCCCACCCGGACAGGACCACCAAGATCTGCGTGGACTTCGACAACACGCGCGAGGCGTACAAGAGCAAAGACACGCTGGAGCTGCTCCGCAGCCTGCTGGTCTTCAGGCTCTGCGCCTTCGACTTTCTCGTCGACAGGAACAAGGAGGCAAGTGCGGCTCGGTTTCGGGCTTACGAGGCTGAAGTCGGCTTCTTGTTTGAGTTTACCCCTTCCACCTTAAATGGTCTAGCAATTAACTACACACTTTTTGTTCGAGTTTTCCCGTTCCACCTTAAAATGATGCAACAGATACATTCTTCTTATTCGATTTTTCCCGTTCCACCTTAAATGGTCTAGCAATTGCACACTTTTTGTTCGAGTTTCCCGTTCCACCTTAAAATGATGCAACAGATACATTCTTCTTATTCGATTTTTCCCGTTCCACCTTAAATGGTCTAGCAATTACACACTTTTTGTTCGAGTTTTCCCGTTCCACCTTAAAATGATGCAACAGATACATTCTTCTCAGTCGAGTTTTCCCGTTCCATCTTAAATGGTGCAGCAGTTACATTCTTATTCGATTTTTCCCGTTCCACCTTAAATGGTCTAGCAATTACACACTTTTTGTTCGAGTTTCCCGTTCCACCTTAAATGGTGCAGCAGTTACATTCTTCTCATTCGAGTTTCCCGTTCTACCTTAAATAGTCTAGCAATTACACACTTTTTGTTCGAGTTTCCCGTTCCACCTTAAATGGTGCAGCAGTTACATTGTTCTCGTTCGAATTTATTCGTTCCACCTTAAATGGTGCAGCAGTTACATTCTTCTCATTCGAGTTTTCCCGTTCCACCTTAAACGGTTACATTCTTGTTCGAATTTATCTGTTCCACCTTAAATGGTGCAGCAGTTACATTCATCTGGTTCGAATCTTCTGCTGTACTATTTAAGGTGGATCGGAAAAAAATTCCATATCCTACATACTGTATGTATTTTGTTTTTGTTTCCCTTTAGGTTCTTTCGTAAAGTTTGTGTGGGTTCCTATGGACCATTCCACCAAACTGCGGTTCCACAATAATAAAAAAATTAAGTATTTATATCTTAGATATTTACAAGGGTTACATTATGATGTATTTATCCCCAAATCATTGATAGAGATAGTAATAGGCTGAATATAAGGTGCGTACATATTTATACTTCCCTTTGAAGGTGTTTGTCCCAAACCCTAAATGTAGTGATGTTATAACTGAAGTATTGGGGGAGGAGCATGGCTGAAACCCCTCCTTCTTCCAGTCGAACGCCCTATAAATTCACATCCTCACCTTTCGTTCCCGTGACGAAGCGTCCGCAATCCTCACCGCCTCCCCAACTCCTCCCTGTTCCTCAGTCCTACATCAGTCCTACTACAGCTATGAGGGGTTCTGGCCTTCTAGCTACAGACAGAAGCTGCCCAGAACTCCAGCCCAAGTTCTCAGAGTTCTCCCCCCTCCCTCACAGGGGTGGGGTCTTCCCTCATACTACCACCACCATGTTGAAGGCGCGGTCTGATCTCACAAACTTCTGAATTTGCACTTCTGAAAATAATACTTACATTTTTTAAATAACAAACTTTATTCAAAAATTGCTGTCCCACTTTCTCACAGCACTATTGAAACACTGAGTTTTAGCCAGTAGGCGGGGCCTTATTTAGCCACGCCCCTGCATTTTAGAGCAGGAGATGAGACTTCATCCCTGTGGCCAAATGGTGGGCAGTTAGATCCCATTGTTTTAATTATTCTTATTATTTTCTATATTATTGATGAATTATCATATTTTCTGAAGTCAGTTGTTTGCCATAATGTAATTGGTCTGATATCTAGACAAAGTATAGCATTGTGGCTTTATTACTGTATTAATGTATTACATCAGTGTTAACTTTCCCTCCCTGCAGCTGCTGGACCTGAGTAAGAAGGTCCTGGGTCAGAGCGCGTTCGAGAAGCTGATGAAGATGACGTTCTACGGGCAGTTTGTGGCGGGAGAAGATCAGGACTCCATTAAGCCCCTGATGGCAAAAAACCAGGCTTTCGGCGTCGGCTCGGTTCTGGACTACAGCGTGGAGGAAGACCTCACGCAGGAGGAGGCGGAGAAAAAGGAGATGGAGTGAGTAAACACACTCGGCTCCTCCCTCATAACCACATAATATACACGTTAGTGTTTAACTGATTAATAACTGAGTAATAAAGTCAGTAAAGCTCAACTGACCATGTAGTTTCACTTTGTAGTTCTACAGTTACAGACTGTAGTCCGTCTGTTTCTCTGCATACTTTGTTACCCTGTTCTTCAGTGGTCAGGACCCCCATGGACCCCCACAGAGCAGGTGTTATTTGGGTGGTGGATCATTCTCAGCACTGCAGTAACACTGACGTGGTGGTGGTGTGTTAGTGTGTGTTGCGCTGGTACAAGTGGATCAGACACAGCAGTGCTGCTGGAGTTTTTAAACACTGTGTCCACTCACTGTCCACTCTATTGGACACTCCTACCTTGTCAGTCCACCTTGTAGATGTAAAGTCAGAGACGATAGCTCATCTGCTGCTGCACAGTTTGTGTTGGTCATCCTCTAGTCCTTCATCAGTGGTCACAGGACGCTGCCCACAGGACGCTGTTGGCTGGATGTTTTTGGTTGGTGGACTATTCTCAGTCCAGCAGTGACACTGAGGTGTTTAAAAACTCCAGCAGCACTGCTGTGTCTGATCCACTCGTACCAGCGCAACACACACTAACACACCACCACCACGTCAGTGTTACTGCTGAGAATGATCCACCACCCAAACAATACCTGTTCTGTGGGGGTCCTGAGGGGGTCCTAAATATACTGCACTATCAATAATAAAACAGTAGACATACAGATTAGTGTTGCACCACTGCCCACACGCTGATCTCTGTAGGGACAGGATATGGATAGTTTACATCCTGCTGCTCTTACTGATCCAGGCTTGTGGAGGATGAGCTCTCATTCCTCTCTGGTGGAGTGAAATGTTAGAGAAGGGTCTCTGCCTCTTTCTCCACAGGGGCTGTTGGGTCTATTCCTGTCGTACTACCGTACTGGCCGGCGTTCAGCTGGCTCGCTCTCATGCCCTTTAATTTAAAAGCTGCTCACGTTCAGAGAACATGAACGCTGATATATCAACAGCATTAAAAATAGAGCTGCAGTGACGCTGCAGGTGCTGATCTACAGCTCTGCCCTTTAGAGACCTTCTGATTTTGTTCCTGGAGCTTCAAGAAATGGGCTGAACTTTCACATCTGAACACGGAGCTCTGTAAAAAGCATGACGGCCATGTAAATATATATATAACGCAATTACTAAAGCAACACGTGTACTCAGTTTGGAGTATTTTAAAAATAATAAAGTAATAACCTATTTACTCAGTTTGTAGCGTATTAAATTAATAAAGTAATAACCTATTTACTCAGTTTGTAGCGTATTAAATTAATAAAGTAATAACCTATTTACTCAGTTTGTAGTGTATTAAATTAATAAAGTAATAACCTATTTACTCGTTTGTAGTGTATTAAATTAGTTAAGTAATAACCTATTTACTCAGTTTGTAGTGTATTAAATTAGTTAAGTAATAACCTATTTACTCGTTTGTAGTGTATTAAATGAATAAAGTAATAACCCATTTATTCTGTTTGTAGTTTTTTAAAAGAATTAATAAAGTAATAACCCATAGCAATAGCAATACTACCACATTTATTTGGGTTTGTAGTTTTTGAAAATAGCAATTTAATATTTTTAACATATTTTTCTAGTAAATAAGTAATTTAACATATATTGTTTTGTAGGAATTTAAATGATTATACTTATTTGTTGCTCATGTACTCAGTGTGTAGTGCTTGAAATCAGGGATGCAATGATATCAGAATTATATCAGTATCATAAAATAATTGTTTAAAAAAAAAGGATCAGCATCAGGTTTAACGAACTCCAGTGGAGCTGAATGTGAATGTAATGTTGGGTTACTGAACTACAATATCTGCACTTTACTCATTTTACTGTATTTATTTCTCCCCAAATCGCTAACTCAGGTAGACTTAGCACTAATTTCTACATTTTTATGTATTAGCATTGGGACTGACAGATGAGCACATGAAAAATATCTGATATTATAACCAACCCACAGCCACCATATCACTTTGAGCAATAACCTAGTAGTGCTTGAGAGTGTTTTTTTAGTTTGTAGTGATGAACACATCCCTTTTGCCTGAGTATAAAAGTTTTTACTGGACGAAAAAAGCCCTAAGCCAGTTCAGAGCTCATGTCCGAGTGATGTTTTTGTTCGGGTGATCATCTCGAATGCGACATTCATATCTGGAATCATGTGAAGCTGGTGTTAAGTGTCTGCATGAGTCAGAGTTTCTATATGCGTCTTCCTGTAGTTATGAAATGTGTTGTGCAACTGAACCAGAACCCTGTTAGCGACTGTCGGATGTGGTCACTGTAGCTGTAAAAATTCGGTCAAGCATGCTTTATGGCTCACCAGACTGTCCTGTCCGTTAAAATCTGTACATAGGCAGCAGTATGGCATCGCAGCACAGCCATGTGCTCATAAACTCGGCCAGCTTTATGTCCACAAAAGTGAAAACTATTCCCAGCTCCTGAGCCCTGATTGGTCAGTTTGGCCAAGGCCCCCCTGTTTGATTGGCTGACTTAATAGGAAAGTGTTTACACCCCCCACACACCCTCTGCTTGGCAATCAGGTCACATGAGTGTGAGCGAGCACTGCCTGTTACAACACTCAGCCACCCTGCGGGAGCAGCGCCGGTTATATAAAGAGTTTAGAGTAAGACGAGATGTGCAGTGTTTTGTTAGGTGTTCCTGTGGGCGCTCAATGAAACTAAGCAGTCCAACTTGAGGACACAGTGTGCAAAGCGCTTTAAAACCCCCTTTATAAGAAGAATGTTATGTGGTTGGAAATGGAAAAGCATAAATATAAATGTACCTATATGTGCATTCAAAACTCCTTTAACCAGTCCAGCCAGTCTCTGCTACTGCTAATGACACTCGATAATGCCGGAGGCCACGACAGAGACGCAGACGGCATAACTCACTTCAGCGAGAGAAGCTTTCTCTGAGGAAAACGTGGTGCATCTTTATCGACGCAAACATTTTTGAAGTGTGGGGTGGTGCTGTGTGAAATAATCTTATCAGAGCTTATCTGCCGCCCTCAAACACAGTGAGGCTCTGCTCTTTTCCAGGTGCAAGTTCAGAGATATTTAGAGAGCTGGAAAATGACACACCGTGGGTTTAAAACCTAAATATATCATTTTTATGATATATTGTATTTTTAGGACATAAAAAAATATAATAGATATTTAGACCAAACGCTGGGAGCCTGTGAACAGCAACCACACGGTCGAGTTCAGACTGCATGGCGACTTTGAGTTGATTGTATTCGGGCCCCCTGGGACATTACCTTTTTGTTATTTAGCAGTTGTTTCTTTTTTTCGTCTGTTGTACACATTGGCCGTTCGTGTAAATGTCTTTGTTTGGTGTAAAATATTGCTTTTGTTCATCTAAAATAAGTTGCATTCTTTGAAGGTATATATTTATGTTTTTTATAGGTTGATCTGACAAACCTCTCAAAATGCACCAAATCTCTCAAATCCCAAAATGCACCAAATCTTTCAAAGCTCAAAATGCACCAAATCTCTCAAAGCTCAAAATGCACCAAATCTCTCAAAGCTCAAAAAACGAGTCCTGTGAGGTGAGTAGCTCTGATAGTTTGATTGGAGACTGTGGGCTGTAGTTTTGGGTCATAGAGAAAGAGACGCTCATTCTGTGTGCCAGAATATGCCGGACAGTGCTGGATTGGACCGGCCAGAGCTGACCGGCTCAGACTGGGTTTCTATCCTGAAGCCTGACACTGGCAAAGGATGGGGTGTTTTTCTGTGTGTGTGCGTGTGTGGCTGTCTGTCTTTGGCAGAGTTTTGGAGTGTGTACACACTGTGTCTGCTGTTTGCACGTTTTACTAAAACTTTGTAGGTCCTCTTATCATTTTTGTTGCTTTAGGCAAACAATCAAACTATTTACTGACAATCTAAACCTAAAAAGACATTAAACATTATAAGGTTATGACACACTTTTCCACCACTCATCCAACCTCTCTCTCTCTCTCTCTCTCTCTCTCTCTCCTCTCTCTCTTTCTTTTTTTGTTTTTCCAGCTCCTGCTTATCAGAGGCTGAAAAGGAAAGTCATGGTATGTATGTTACATTTTTAACTAATGTAAACCATAGTAACTTAGAAACTCCACACAAACAAACTGATAATTATGTTAATTTAATCTAGATTTACTCTAAATTTGGTCTGCAAAAGGGCCGATGTGGCTGCAGATTTTTGTTCAAACAGAGCAGGAGCACACCTGTTGTTGTTTTGAGTGATAGTGAACAGGTGAAGTCAGCTGGGCTCTTGCTTGGTTAGAATGAAAACCTGTAGCTACACCGGCCCCTTGCAAATACAATACCCCTGATTTAGAGGATTTCTGGGGCTTGGTGGAAACTGACCCCTGTAAAACTTCGTAAATCATTTTTAGCAGCTTTTTACTTGAAATTTTACATTTTAAACTGTATTATTACAGCTGACTATTGCTAGGTTGGTGATAAATAAGGCGGATTGATTCGTAAAGAGGTCCAAGAATCAGTCATATTGTGAGGTGGGAGCTCACTACAGAATGTGATGCGTTGTCATGCTGATGTCCCTGAAAAAGATGTTGTCTAGAAGGCAGCATATGTTGCTCCAAAATGAGTATATATCTTTCAGTGTCACTGGTGTCACAGTTGTGTAAGTTGCCTACTGATACACCCCTGTACCATCGCAGACACTGATTTTTGAACCCTACGCCGGTAATAGTTTGGATGGTCCTTTTCGTCTTCGGCTGTACTTTGTACATTATTTTCATAAGCAATCTGAAAGGTTGACCTGTCAGACCACAAAACATGTTTCTACTGTGCCTCAGCTGAAACTGACCCCTGTAAAAGCTTAACAGACATGTTACAGTGTAATATGGGGGAAGGAAGCAAAACATCCGCTCGGCAGCGTCCGTTCTGTTTCTTGGGGTTAATCTGTTTCTAGTACAGCAGGTCTGTAGAATTGAATATGAGTGGATCTTTTTTACAGGGAGCGTTTGGAGCTTGTGGAGCTGTCGTAATGTTTACGTAGATTCTTATTAACACCTCAGACCTTAGGGTTTCGTATGTGGGTCCAAAACGCAACAGGCACATGAGCCAAGCTTATTGCAAGGTGGGAACCAGTGGTGGACAGTAACTAAGTAAATGTAATGAGTTTCTGTACTTAAGTAGTTTTTTTGTGTATCTGTACTTTACTGAAGTTTTTCCGTTTTGGTCGACTTTTTCCTTTCACTCCACTACATTTCAAAGTCAAATATCTCACTTTTTACTCCACTACATTATGAGAAATCTGTCGTTCCTTTTGTTTTATGTGTGTATAAAAACGTAACGTCAAAATGAAAGAAGCGCAAAGCAAGAACACCAATCAGGGCACAGCGGTCACTTTGTTTTGAGCTTGTTTTGACCTGTTGGTCATACCGACCCAGTGCAGCACACGGTTCAACATCAGTGCAGCAGCGTAAAAGTTTGGGAGAGTCTATTCAACATAAATGATGAACTAACCTAACTTTGTGTAAACAGACCACAATATAGAAATATGTACTCATATGCAGTTGTGACTGACGTGTCTTTATTCTGAATTTATACAAACACATTTCATTTTATAGTGAATTAGTTTAGGCTAGTTTATGTTTATGAACAGAGACCTACAGATGCAGTTTAGTAAAGGAAACTCATTTGTGAATCTGAGTTTAAAGTTTTTATTAAACTTAAACTTGTAACTAAGTTTAAATAAATCTTAAACTGAAACTTTGCTTGTTTGTAAAGTTCTTTCAGAGCCACTCAGTTCTACCTGATGGAAACTGTTTGCCTTCAGTGTTTTGTGCTTATGATAATTTTAATAGACATCAGCGTCACTAATTAATGACTCTATTAAAAGACTGGTTTACCAAGAGAGACACTGGAGTATTTTCACCTAAAATGAGTTAATGAAGCGAGTCTTGTTACAGTAATAATAATAGGACATCAGAGTCATAATTAATCTTTTAGTACTTTTACTTTTCAATACTTTTACTCAAGTGGAGGTCTAAAAGGGAGGAACTTCTACTTTTACAGGAGTAATATTTTACCTTGGGTATCTCTTGGGTGATTTGTGTACTTCATCCACCACTGGTGGAAACTAACTGTGCTGTAAAGAACAGTTCATAGTAGTTACTGAATAATAAGCCTTAAGTGAGAAGGTCATCCAAACAAGCTAATGAGAACTATTAGCAGTTTATCTCTTCAGGAAAAATAGTAGTATGACATTGCAAATGGAGCAAAAACATATTTTATGTTTTACCTTTTGACTTTTTTATTTGTAAATATACACTCATTCCAAACATGAAGTCAAAAAAGGTGGGATGGGAGAATGTTTGCCTCTGTGTTACATCATCTTCTCTTTTAACAGCACTTAAAAAACATTTAGGCACTGAAGACACCAGTGGATCCCGTTTTAAAAGCGGAATGTTCTGCCATTATTTCATTCTGCAAGTTTTCAGGTGCACAACCATGTGGAACCTGCTTTGGCATGTTTTGTGCTTCGTTATGCACCTCACCTTTTCAATGGGTGACAGGACTGGACTGCAGGCGGGCCAGTTTAGCACATGCGCTCTCTGATTATGCACCCATGCTGCTGTAACACTTGCAGAATGTGGCCCTGGATTGTCATGTTGAAATAAGCATGGATGTCTGTAAAAAAGACAGCGTATATTGCTTGAAAATGTCACCGTTAATTGTGCTTTCACGGATGTGCAAGTTACCCCTCTACCGTCACAGATGCTGGCTTTTGAATCTGGATGATCTTTTCTTCTTTGGCCCAGAGAACACGACATCCATTATTTCCATAAACAGTCTGAAAGGTTGACTCATCAGACCACAATACAAGTTTCTAGTTTGTTTCAGACGAGCTTGAGCCCAGAGAAGTCGGCGGCGTTTCTGGAAGTGGTTGACATATGGCCTCCACCGTGCATAGTACGATCTAAACGTGCAAATGTTTGGCAAAGCAATGAGCTTTGATCCTTCTTCGCTCATAAAAGACTGCCTCATACCCAAACATGATTGCATCACCTGTTTAAGATATTTATGTATTACTAATCTCAAATTGCATCTGTCTCAACTGTTTTGGAACATGTCGCAGGCATCGATTTCAGAATGAGTGTAGGTTTACCAAAAAAATATGAAGCTGATAAGACAAAATATCTTGTCTTTGTACTCCTTTAGTGTAAATATAGGTCAATGGATTTACTTTTCACTTACTGAGGTTTGTACTCTTTAAGGCTGTGTTTGTAGCCAGATTGAAGTGGATAGGTGCGCCTGTGTGTGAAGGTGGTATGGAGCTGGTTTTGGGGGTGTGGTGGTAGCAGAAGCTGGATTTAACCCACAGTGTGACCCGTATCACTGTCCAGTAATCAGTTAAAGTGCCGAGGGTAGTGTTGTAGCCCTGCACAAATCCGTTCCGTTGTAAGCCGTAGCGTTTTGTTCTCTGTGTGTAAACTTAATCACTGTAACTCTGTAAAATCCCAGGCTTGTTACCTGCTAAGGCTTATTCTTCAGTAAGTACAGGGAAAACAGTGCAAACTGGCTGAGCGATTCTTAAGTTAGAGGAGGAATGGAAGTCTGGACTTGCCAGTGGATAACAAGGTTAATGACTCATTATGGGTTAAACTAGACTTTGATTTATTGTAATTATCAGTGGCTGTAAAAATCCATTCATTGTGCTCATTCAGTGTAATGAGCTTTCAAGCTGTTGAGGTTTTCACAATAGTTCCAATATATTATATTATATTATATTTTATATATTCAATATTCCACTGCTGTGTAAATAGTTCCTCCACACAGTGTTGTTTATTAAGAATATATTTAACAAGAGCATAGCAAACTAAATGATATCAATCTCAATATTGAGAGCTCGTGAAATATTAATCTTACTTCATATCACTGTGACACTGGAATCGCTTGATTGGTTGCTGTGCAGGTATTGATCACCGTGAGAAGAAGTACAAAGCACACCGGCAGTTCGGGGACCGGCGAGGGGGCGTGATCAGCGCACGCACATATTTCTACGCCGACGAGGCCAAATGTGACTGTCACATGGAGACCTTCATCAAATGCATCAAGGCGTCCGGTGAGTTCGACCTGAACGGATCTCAGTGCAGAATCTGAAGACGTTTTAAAGATTGACTGTTTTAGTCTCTTAATCTCTGTGGTGGGGATGTTTATGTGTGCGTTGCAGCCGGCAGCTCAGTGGACGGATTCTCAGCCATTAAGATGACTGCTTTGGGTCGGCCTCAGTTCCTGGTAACTGTCCATCCATCCATCCATCCGTCTTGTGTATTTCAACATTTTGTAACAAATAGACCAATACATTTTTATTAGCGATGTTAACAGATTGGGATGTTTTCCTTCCTCTGTACTGTTTCCACTTCAGAGATATGAGGTTTTCCTTCAGCAGTAACAACATATTGATCATCTCCTCTTTATCCCACACAGCTGCAGTTCTCAGAGGTGCTGGTGAAATGGAGAAGGTTTTTCAACCTGCTTGCCGCGCAGCAGGGGAAGGACGGCATGGCTGTGCTGGAGCAGAAACTCGAGTTAGAGCAGCTTCAGGTACCTTGTTTTCATAAGCCTTCAAAAACCTCTGTTAGCCTTTTTTATCCTTGGTTAGCTTTCGTTAGTCTTCATAAGCTTCCTAATGCTCTCTCTGTTTTTTTGTTTTTGCTATTATTCACTTTCATTACTCTCCATGAGCCTGTATTAGCTCTAATAAAGCTCTATAAGCTGTTTTTATCCTTCAGTACCGGTCGTTAGTGTTTAGTTCTTGTTAACTTTTGTTATCTTTTAAACAGCTTTCATTAGGCTTCATAAGCCTTCAAGACTCCTTGGAAAATTGGATCAGATTTTAGCTTTTGGATTAAGTGAGATTCCTCAGTTGTTAGTTATATTCCCTGCTAGGAAAACCAGCAAAGCTCATCAACAGCAAAGCCAGTGTGTTGTGTTTTGAATGCTGGTATGCTGGTCATCCAGTATGACCATGCTGGGTGACCAGCTAAATGTTTATTTTGATTTGATTTTAATGAGCGGTGTTATTACGATTACAGCACAGTTTCATGGCTGATTTTTATTATAAGATTTTGAGACAAGAAAGTTTATGTACACCCTGTGAAGAACAGCATCTGGCGCTGCTGCATGCGAACACTACTAAATGAAGTATCGTAAAGCAAAACCTTCGACGTGTCTCCTCTGGGAACGCCTGCTTGCCAAAATGAAATGTAAACGAGCTACAAACTTATCAGCCAACAGCTTGAGAGAACTAGCTATCCATTTTACACATTTACAAGCAAAAACAGAATCGGTTTAAAAATGTGGTACTACTGACTGGGCTGCAACGATTATTCGGCTTTGGCGACTAAAATTGACGAGCAAATTAATTGGCACCTAATTTATAAGTCGATTAGTTAGTGACATCATTACTCGTCTTTCTCGCGCTCACTTGGATTGTTTTGACGTTATCGCTCACTGGAAAGTTACCCAAAGCGCAATGGCCGCCTCAAGAACAGATTCTTTTCTTGCTAAGCTCAGTTGTGCTGTTTGTAAAGCTGACCTTGGCTGATGTGGGAGCACATCCTCCATGATGGAGCATCTGAAGAGGAAACTTGTCGGCTAACTGGATGAAGATTCATCGCAGTAAGATACGTCTCGTCCCAAATCGCATACTAGCTCACTAAACAGTGTGTAAAAATAGCGCATATACCATTAATAGGGCACTCATTAGTGTAGTGTGTGAAGCACAGAAGTGTGTGGTTTGGGACGCGGCGATAGTTGTTAGCTAACGGTAATGTCAGTGTTGAATTCCGTCTTACTGCATGATCTGAGTCGAGCTGGAACGGTTCCTGTTTTCGAAATGCACTTTCTGTGGAATCGTTACTGGAGTTGAAACAGAGAAGCAGGTAAGCATTATTCAAACTGATCCTGTTCAATTTCCAAACCAGCCACCGGTGCGAACGTAGGAGAATGTTTCCAAACAGTTGCAAACAGCTGTCTGTTCTCCGCGAACGTTTGGCTCCACTCAGAAACAGTTTCGGGAGGTAGTTCTCCGCAAACTTCTAGGCGAGCTGGACAAAGGGTCACTGCCGAAATGAAGTGTTCACACAAAATCGTTCAAATTTCACCCTTCAGAGAAGTTTGCCACAAACGTTCGCCTTTCCCATCCGCTCCGTCCTTCTCTGCTGAGGGGAGTATCCGCTCTCAGAGGAGAGCGAGACTCTCACAGGAGCGCAGAGAGATGCTGACCTTCCTCCGTTTCAGTAAAGACCTGTGACTGTAGAATTTAACTGCAGCAGAGTGTAGACTGACAGCAGAGCACAGAGCACAGACTGCACTGTTTACATTTGAATCGATGCTTTTCCACACTTGATTAAAGGAAAACATAAGTATTACGTTTTGTTATATTTTATTGCTGCTACTTTGGACATCTTTGGTTTAAAATTTTGACTGGAAAAAGACATTGGAGTTTTGTTTATATTTGGTGTTAGCAGGAAAGTTCATTACAACAGTGAATTTTTAAATATGTTATTCATCTTTATTTATCTTCGTCTTCATTGTTAGTTAGCGAATGCGTAAAAAACAAGTTCAGACTAAATTTAAAAGCTGTTAGCTACGTAAGAGGTATGCCGTAATGTAGTGATTCATAATCCGAATAATCGATTATTCGTTTCAGGAATCGATAGATTATTCAACTATCAGATTAGTCGTTTGTTGCAGCTCTACTACTGACTAAACCTCCAGCAGGCTAACAGTGTTCTTCTAAAAAGAGGTGGAAGGGGCCATACAGATTTCTCCACCTCATGGGTTAGTTTCTCATTTGTTTATGGCTTGTTCAACAACAGGCTTAACTGCTGTATTTAAGATGGAACGTCAACACAGTGCGACGTGTTGAGAATAGAAACGGGATGCCTGACAAAAACCGGCGCTCTGCCACTCACATCTGGGGCACACAGCTTTTTTGATGACGTTAGTCTCTGTCACTCACTTGGATAACTTGCTGTTGTTATAACTGTTAGATAAAAGAACTATAACAACAGCAGGCGACCTTGTTACTTGTGATCAAGTTGCGGTTGTTACAGGCAAATCAGGCGGAGTGATACTTGAAGAGATTTGGTTGCCATTATCGGAAGATACTGGCACACATAGAATGCCTCTCACTTTAACACCTCGTTTGCTCTTGTCTTCAGGACAGTTTGGCCAAACTGGGCGTGGGAGCCAAGCAGGACATTGAGAACTGGTTCACTGGAGAGAAACTGGGCTCGTCCGGGTAAAACATCTTTCTGATTATCGCGATAGTTACAGTTACCCACGGAATCCTTGCTTGACCACTTTTACTGGGCTGGGTTGGATTTTGAGTTTGAGTGTCTGTATGCAGGACTATCGACTTGCTGGACTGGAACAGCCTCATCAATGACAGAACGAAGATCTCCAACCTGCTTGTGGTGCCCAATGTGGAGGTAAATAAAGCTAAATAATGTAAATACACATCCACGCTCCATCATTACAGTGTTTTATTTACTATGATCATTTGAAACTGGAGATGACGCCACTTAGTGTCTTATTAGTGCCAAACTATAATAACCCAAACCAATCCATAGCAGGTGGTTTAGAAAAACAGACAAATGCTAAGTGCCAATGTTTCACCTGATGAAAGATTTTATCTTAAATTTCACAATCAGGAGTCAATATGCTACAAACTAATCCTAGCTCGGTAAGTTAAGGTGAGCATTTCTCACTACCGTTCTGCTCGAATATGTCCTCATCCTCCTTAAGTAGCTTTTTCATTCTGGTGCCTTGTTTATTACATTTTCCATTCACGTATGTAAACTGATACATCGGTGATGCAAAGAAAACAATATTGAACTCCGTAGAGCTGCCTGCTGTCCCAGTACAGGCATCTGAATGTGACTGCTACATCATTTAAGGTGGAATGGGAAATGGGCTTCATCTGACCTCTGTCCACTGTATGAAACTCAATCAGCAAACCGGGGCTAAACCATTTAAGGTGGCATAGGGTGCTGGATTAACCCCTAAGTTAATTCTTATGAGAACGTGTAACATTAGACACAAGCGCATTTGCATATTTGTAATCCTAATTTACTGTTAATTCTGTTCACTATTTGAATATCTGAACATTATAACCTGTCTTTGTTTCTCTTCTCTCTATACATCAGTCACTATATATGTATGTATGTGTGTGTGTGTGTTTTCCCTCTAGACGGGTCACCTGGAGCCTCTGTTGAGCCGATTCACTGACGAAGAGGAGCGGCAGATGAAGAGGATGCTACAGCGGATGGACGTTCTGGCCAAGGTACACTAGAACACAGTGCAGCAGAGTAAATATTCAATCTAACCCAAAAGGGAATGTGTTATGGTGAATATCCTCATGGCCAAGAATTGGTCAGGCAGATCCTCGCAGCCTCATTCGAGTGTTCTGGTCATGTAGTGAAAAATGAAAACTACAGGAAACAGGTTGACACACACTGGTTACCATTATAAATGCTTTAATCTCTGCATGTTTTCATAGCATCTTTTTTCTTCTTCTTTGCAAAATAAGCCCTCATGTGTTTGTTGGGTTTTGTGAAGCTGAATTTTAGTCAGAAACCCTGTCTGAGATGAACAGGCAGCTGAGAAGAAAGGCTTACAAACTAAACACGGGTGGAAACAATGATAACTAAGGGGCGGAGCTAAGAAGACGAAACGGGGTTGAACAGAAAAGGGGGGCCGGGGAGACTGTGACAGTTCTGTTGCTTTTACATGAAAGTGTTTCAAGAAAAATCAGACAGAAACATCTTTAAAACATGTTTCTGATTGAAACTTCATTCCTTGGCCGGACAGCGTTCTGAAAGGCCAACACAAGGATTTGGTCAAACCCAAAAGGCTCATGATAGCAGCTGTGCTTGCGTTATTGATGTTCCGATGCTCGTGCTGATGATGGCGTTCCAAAAGGTCTGAGCCGTGACATCTTTTGGCTAATAAAACGTCAACACACGGGCCAAAGTTGCCGTTCCAGACCGTTTCTCAATGTCCAGCTCGTCACGTAGCTCAATTGATCCCTCAGTGGGGTGAGATGGGAAAACGGCGAGCAGGCAGTTGTGAAATAATCCAGATTAGGCTTTGCGTATTGTATTAGTGAAGAACACATGAAGGACGTTTGTCCTTTTTCTGCTTATTTTTGCTTCTCTTTCATCATGCTTTGTGTGCGTGTCGTCATTTGACACGGCTCTTCGCGGATCGATCGCTCTGTAATGATCTGTGTGCAGCTGGTGGTCAGAGTCGGTTGTTAATCTCACAGTCTGACGCACCGGAGTATCTCTGCATGTGTCTGGAATGTTTGCACATTGTAGCCGGTGGTCACCGAGTGATAAGCTGACTGATAGTAGCCTTAGCCTTGACCAAACGTGGTGGTGGAACACAGAATGTGTGTGTATGTAAAGCTTTTCGCTTTATCGTTCAGTTGTTATACCCTCACTTGGTGGTTAAGTGGGCGACTGCAAATTGTTTTTGTTAAGATTTTGTCTGTTTTCTGATCCAAACTCTAATCTGGAGGCTTCTAACTCGTGCTTTTAATATGATATATCTACGTGAGTGTGATAGGGACGTGCACAGGCACTCGAGTATCCGGTTAACCAGTGTCTGGTTAAATGTGTGTGTTCTTTAGGTCAGGTCTTGTTTTCCACTTCACATGCTTTTATCCTGCTCGGCTGTTACCCTGGAGACTGAAAATACCATGTGCCCTGTTCGTCCCGGGCGTTCAGCCGGATGAGCTGCTGTCGTTTCTACTTGATTTTTGAGTTTTTTGGCTCATTGAGAACAGGTGATATCTTTCTCTATGCGAAAAACGCTGCGTAACCAATAGTGACGTACATTCGAGGTGCCAGTACTCAAATCCTGAAATCACTGTTCGGGCATTTGTGGCTTTTGATCACAGGAAGACGGAGGAAACGTTCACACTGTCAGTTTTTAGGCTTTAACAGTGTTAAAATGTGACAGATTTGTGAGTAAGTGTTCAGTTTTTATCTTATTCAGTGTGTTTCAAACTGTCTTTTTGAATATGCATAAATACATCAGATTTTTTTGTTACTCAAAACAATAATAAGCGCTCATCGAGCCCAATTCTGTTCTGAATGAGCGCGCACAGTCACTCCGAAATAATCACAGCGCATTATGGATTCACGGCAATAACGGAAGACTCATGCATCTTTATCGGAAACATCGTAGCGCGCATGAAGTGGCTTAAGTTAAAGAAGCCAACGGCAGATTTTCAGAAGGGATCTCCAGCGAGACGCTTGGTTCCATAGGGCTAGTAACCAAACTGTTAACAGAGTTCAGGGTCATTTCTTGTTACAGACAAGGTTCAAATTATAGCAGAGGTCTCAGGGGCTCCTCTGCTGTAAAGTCTGACTATGAAGTGACTTATGTATTGTATATTTAAACATAGGGCTGGTAACGATACTTATCGCGATATAACTTTTTTCTCGATAGAGCGATACGACATGTTCGATAAATGTTCGATATAATACGCCATTCTCACACTTCCACGTTCAGCGAAAGCCTTGGTGGCGTTTTCTACTGCAAGGAAAGCTTTAGCAGCGTTACATCACATCTGCAGTGCTGCGTTACAGCGCCAAACCGTCGTATGTTAGTATTAGTGCTTTCCCGAGCAGCGAAAGTGAAAGAAAGAAGTGGGTTCATGTAAATTACAGCCCTGATTTAAACGAAAGTAAACTGAGGAAGCTGTGAGGCATTGGAGAGCGGGAGAGCGCTATCTTTCCAGACTAGCTGTTTTTAGCAGCTGGCTAACTTGAAGCAGCGCTGTCACTCGCACAGCACATAGAAATGATGATACTGTAGATCAAACAAGACACAAAATCACCGCTTTCAGTTTAAACGTACCTAAAAAGAGGACTCTGTTTGTCTGGCATCAGATATACTGTGGTTCACCACTTAAACTATTACGATAGAATAGAGAAATCCAGACGTCGCCAGCTGGTGTCTGAATACTGTGATGTGTTCTGACATGGATGTGGTAGGAGTGAGGCTGGCTAGGTGGCTGTGTGATCCATCACTGACCTACCGAGCCAGCTAATTTTTTCTGTTCGTATTAAGTTGACGGTGCAGCTTTTGTTTGAAGATGGGCAGAAGCGCTTCAGCAAGCAGTGATGTCATCTTCAAATGTAAGTTGTTCTAATTTTCTGGGGTATTTATCTGTTTTCTAGTCATAAAGGTGCACAAATAGCCTATACTTTCTGCGTTTGACCACAACTATGGTCTATTTTGCTGTTTCATTCAGAGCAAATACAATTAAAATCGCTATATAAACTGCCAGAGCAGATCCATGTTGGCTAAATGTGATTCTGCCGGCTGAGGTAAGTGAAGGCCGGTCTCGTGCAGTGGGCGGGAACAAGCGGCGACGTCACTGCTGTCTCATTTATCTGCCTTATAAGGACAGATGACAGTTGGAACGCTGCCTACTTAGACAGCTGCCTATGTAGACAGTGGCTACTTAGAGAGCTCACTAGGTTTTGAGACACACCCACTTTCTCCCACTCTCCCATGACAGATCTGTGAAATGTTCCACTGTTTGAGTGTTTGTTGTGTTCTGACCATAAAGAAATAATGATTTGACATTTATCGCGGTATGTATCGATATCGAACGATATGAATTTTGTTTATCATAACATTTTTGGCCGTATCGCCCAGCTCTACTTATACATCTTACTTATTTATGTAGTTTTTCATAGATGTAACCTGGCAGCAGACTTTTAACTTTATATCTGTATCAGTTCAAATGATTTTTACAGATGAGAAGACACGGAAAGTAGGTCTGAACGTCTATCTTTTCTCAGTTAATTAGATAAAATATATTGTTTGGGTAATAAGAAAAGTGATTTGGTGATCAGCAGGTGGTTTTGATGGGTCCCATAAACGGTGAAACCACATTACAACTCAGTTTGCCAGACAAATAGGTTAAATTCTGGTCATGTGTTGGTTGTCGTGCAAAAACATGTGATATCACATGATGCAATAACCTAATGTTAATGTTGCTCATTGCATGCACCTTATGGTGGATCTGGGACAGCCACCCCTCAGTTCGAACCCTGGTTGAGAGCTGGACTGAAGAAAGCAGTGTTTTCCACTTTTGGTCTTGCGATGTACCTTCACAGTTTTGTGTCTGCTCGAACGCATCTGATTCAGTCGTAGAAGGACGTGATCTTCACGACTGCAGCTGGTCTGGCTGTTTCAGTATTTGAACAATGCTGGTGTTTCAACAATTCTGCCACTCTGATGCCTTTAATGCCCTCTATAGTGGACCTGGGTAGTAATTCATGCCTGAATGCATCTGTGGTTGATAGTGTTTGTACTCTCTGAACAAATTTACAGGTTACGTAACTAAATCTAACAGAAATGGCAGGAATGAGGCGATAATGCTCTCACCTGGAGGCCCAGATTAGCCATGCCTGAAAAACACAGAGCCTTACAGCTGGGAACCCCAAGCCTAGACACAGCGTGTCAGTGTGTACAGAACAGTCGACTCTTAACTCCTAAGTAGATGAGCAAAAGACCTCCCTTCGTTTATTTCATTTCCAGTCAAAACGGCCAAATTTTTCCTTCTTCCGTTCCGGAAAACAAATATAATGCTTCAATGCTATATTGCTAATATAATGCTAAATATAATATCATATTTTTCAGTTCTACATGTGTCCACTCTTTACATTTATTACAGCTTTCGTTCTTTTCAGGAGGCTCACTTTCAGTTTTTCAAAGAAATCTGCAGACACGCCTCCAAAGCTCAGTCGAAGTTGAAGTTGAAGTAGAAGTTGGTTTAGCATTTTCTGCTTCTCACCATCCAAATAATCACATTCAGTGATGTTGAGGTCTGGATTATGCTTAATTTTTACACAACCTTCATTTTGAGTACACAGTTACAAGATCTCAGAAAGCCCATCACCAGTTCTCTGTCCAGTCCTCAGGGACCCTAGCAGATCCGTCCAATTCCAGCGACAGTGATGACTAATCTGGTAGTCTGAGACCGTAAAGCGTTGATTACGTTCAATTCTAGAAAAAAAAAGTACTACATTTATTAGACACTCTTATCCAGAGCGGCTTACAATTTGATCGTCTTACACAGGTAGGTGAAGGTGGTGTTAGGAGTCTTGCCCAAGGACTCTTATTGGTATAGTGTAGGGTCCTTGCCCAGGCAGGGGACTGAACCCCTGTCAACAGCGGGCAGAGGTGTTACCCACTACACTACACCAGCCCCACCAATACCACCTCTGTCTGCCTCCTGAGTTTTCGTGTGGGCCTCGACTGTTGAACTGAATGCACTGCATGATGGACAGAAGTCACCAAATGTCAAATGCATGATTTAACCCCTTATAATCCCAGGCTTATTACAGACCAAGGCTTATTATTCAGTAACAACAGGGACTTCAATGCAAACTGATTGAGTTATTCTTAGGTTATAGACGTGTGTAATAAAACTTTGTCCTTTTAAGGGGTTAAAATGATCTGTAGGTTCTGCTGAAATGAGTGAATAATTCAACAACAAGCGTTTGGTGATGATGGCAGAGAGTTCACGACCCAGCTCGGACACAGAGAGAGTGATCTGCACTCTGAGCAGTGTAACAAGCCCTGTTTGGAAATTGAGATTGTGGTCTGTAGACGGCAAAACTGTGGAACCTCGAGATAAAGTTGTATGCAAGCTATGCAAACTGCAGTCAGCCCACCATTCCAGCACTAACGACCTGAGGGCACATCTCAAAACTATGCACCCAGATGAGCATGACCTGACGTCAGCCAGGTCTCGACTCACCGCAAGATCACTATCTCCAGCGCGACAAGAGTGCAGATCCCCAGTGGGTTGGTTATTGTTTCTTGTTTCATGTCAAGGAAACGATAATTGTTGTTCCTTATTAATCAGAGCACAGTCCACTCGGACCGTTGAATGTCCGTTTTAATATACCGGACTTTCCGTAACCTTACTTCATTTGTTTTGTAATATGTAGGCATGTAGATCCTGTTTATGCCTACACAAGTAGTTATGTCTCTCCTTATATTGGTTTGCCCTCTTATAGACATAATTCAGTTTTACCAGCCCTGAACTGGAGTAGAACAAACATGCGGCCTGGCTGGGGGCTCAGATATCCGCAGAGATGCCGTGTGGTCCTCGCTGTGTGTGTTTTATATTGCATACTCAGGTTGCTGTGGAAAAACACACGTTACATAACTGTTCCCTTCTCTGTATGTTTGCATTACAGCATGCCGTTGAGAACGGCGTGAGGCTGATGGTGGACGCCGAGCAGACGTATTTCCAGCCAGCGATCAGCAGACTGACCCTGGAGATGCAGAGAATCTTCAACAAACAAAAACCCATCATCTTCAACACTTATCAGTGCTACCTGAAGGTATGATACACACACGTCACGGCCTGTGTAATATTGACGGCAGCAGTTTGCAGTAAGCTTTTAACCAGTTGCAGCTCCGTAGGAGTTTTAATGAACCATGATCCGACAACTGTAAACAATTTCAGGAAAAATAATACAGGCCACTCTTTGATTATGTAATATCAAAGGTTCACCAGTGTGTTTTACTGTGTGTGTTAATTTTGATTGATCACATTATTGTGTGTAGTTAATCTCAGAGTCAGAATCACTTTATTTCACCACGTTACACGTACAAGGATTTTGTCTTGGTGAGTGCACACGTGTGACATATAACAAACCAGTTAAGCACTGTTGACAGGTAGTGACAAATAACACAGAATAAAAAGAAGAAGAGACATAAAAACCTGTACATAACATTCGCAGTTGATCAAATTTGACAGATTTTTTTTTAGTTTATAAAGCAGCACAACTTCTTATAATTATATGAGTGGATACAGTAAATTTCAGCAGAATGTATTTATTACTTTCAGTAATTCAGAAACATTATTTTGATCATGTGAATGCAGAACCTTCACGTGAAAGTCCAAGTTTGAGTGTATATATCATATATACTAGGGCCGCAGCGATACACGGTATATCGTTGAACTGTTTGGGACGCCCCCTACGGTTCAAAACGCACACGTGAACTGCAGTATTATGAAATGCCTGTTACTTTCCTGTAAGTCCCGAAACTTGCAGACAACATGCGCGTTGTACGTCCAGATCCGCAGAACGTCTCTGGAGCCTATGAGAACTTCCCTGGAGACAATCAGCTCTCTGTGTGCAATTATGAGCTGGAGAGGAGAAGGGAGACTGAAAACAAGCTCCAGCATGTCAGTGGAGAGCGCCAGCCACTGCACACTGGACAAACTGGACAAAAACCTTGTTTTTAATGGAGGTTCATGTAGTGCCGCCAGCAGCCAGTCTTTTAGGTACACAAGCAATCTCTAATGGTTCGTTACCTCAGCTAATGTTACTAGCCTAGCCTTTCTTAGCTCATATCTTTCAGCGTAAAAACATCCCGTTTGTGAAGAGGTAGGAAGCGTGATGAGTGATGCTGAACACTTTATTTCATTCAGTTTATACAAGTAGAATGAATAAATGAACCTGAGACCTGAGATTATTGGCTCTCCCTGCCAGTGTTCTGTAGCAGCACTCTGCTACGCAACGCGGCTGTCCAGTGTGTTGTGGCCTTTACAGTGTCCCCTCCCGAACTCTATGAAACGTCACTGAGAGAAACTGAAAACAAATTGACTCAGACACTCAGTCTAGCTCCATATAGTTATTTACAGTAGAGAAAGCAAAGCACAGACAGGTATTAAAGCTTAGAAGCACTTTTAATATTTTGCTCCCCTTGATTTCATACAGTACCGACAGAAACCAGACCTAGTCAGTCATGCTGCTGTTTCTCTGAATGGACAGTTTTATTTGTTTATAAGCAAAATGGAGATTTCATTGTTTAAAAGCTGCACTTGGACGAGATGACTACAGTTGCGGAATCTATCATGGCAACATACAGCTGGGCTTCAGCCTGCACTACTAGGAATGGTTCAAATGCCATGTTAACTTGGACAGCCCCAGCAGCAGCATAATAACAAGATTTTATCTTGTTCATATCGCGCTGCCTTTACCCTGTTTTGTCAACATTGCCAACCCATAACCATCTTCAGCACCTGCCGACTCAAATGTGCCTTGTTTTTCTGTCCATTGTGTATAAACTACAGCTTGTTAATCCTGAGCCTAAATATAAACCCTCAGTCTCTGTTTTGTAGTAGACTGATTCGAATGTTGGCGCTGGGACTGACTCAGCACGAAGCCCAAGCTAACTCGGCTCTGCTGCAGCCACTCCTGTCGCCCAACACATACTACAACTTTGGAGGCTTTTTTTACAGTGAGCTTTATGGTGGAGCTGAGTATCATCTGTTAGTGTTGAATGAGCTCAATCCTCATGAAGTTTGCAGTGAAACCCAGTTTTAAACACTGCGTATGTGCTTTCGTGTAGGAGGCCTATGATAACGTGAGCGTGGACGTGGAGCTGTCCCGCCGCGAGAGCTGGTGCTTTGGGGCCAAGCTGGTCCGTGGGGCTTACATGCACCAGGAGAGACAGAGAGCGGCCGAGATCGGCTACGAGGATCCCATCAACCCCGACTACGAGTCCACCAACAGGATGTACCACAGGTAGCTCACTGAAGGAGTAATTGCACTATAAAATGTATTTACAGTTTTAGTGTCCAGAATTTGATGTAAAAATCACGAAATCTCCTAGGAAAAATCCCACTGGACCCTGATTGGTTTTCGAGCTTGTGATCTTTTTCACTTTATGGTTTCTCATTTTACAATTACCATTAGAGAACTTCCAGCGGATAAAAGAAATGAATACACATATGAACAAATATAAGGACAGAGACTGTCTAGCTGATAATATACAATCCCATTCCTTACAGGACCCTTTTAGTATAATATAATAATATAGTGTAATATATAACAATTGATTACATGTTAATATGGTAGTTTAAGATCCATTTCCCCCAGTATTTTGTAAAGTGTTCCATCCTCTGTTGTAACATAAAACATAAGTCTTTTCATTGAACAGATTTTGTGGACAATTTCAGTCCAATTTTTTTTGTTGGGGGGAGGGGGATCCTGATGCATCCATTTCTTTGTTATGGTCTTTTTTCATGCCTGATTCTTGTGTGCTTTAAGGTGTCTGGAATATATCCTGGAGGAGATCAACCACAACAGGAAGACTAACGTCATGGTGGCATCGCACAACGAGGACACTGTCAAATTCACACTGGAAAAGTAAGACGAAGAAAACAGAGCAGATGCAGTGCAACACCTGCACTGTGGTCTGTGCGTGTCACACCGTTTAATTTGTGCTGTGTTTTCTGTGTGCAGGATGAATGAGATGGCACTCTCTCCCACGGAGAATAATGTCTGCTTCGGCCAGCTGTTGGGCATGTGTGACCAGATCAGCTTCCCTCTGGGTGAGTACCGTAGAAGGTTGGATTATTTTAAAGCTTGATTAGATTTAATATTCCACCGCTCTGAAATAAAGCAAGAAGCCGAGGCTGCGTGTTACAGTGATTTTACCACAAAGCTTTAATAAAATAGCAAAATTAATAAAAATGCGGCAATGTTCCATAAATCATAAAATAATAATAAAAGTAATAAACAGTCATCGCACAAAGATATGGAGACTGTGGTTGCCAAGCAATGGAACAGTTAGAGATTATTTTAACAAATCGGTGCCCTAAACTCAGTTGATCTGTGTGTGTCCAAACATGGTCAGTGCAGAAACATCACTAGGCGTTTCGAGTCCTTTTTTGAGAACAAAACTGAATTTAGTTAATTGCAATAATATTTATCCACTAAATTCTAAATCCACTTCTTGATTTCTAGAATGAAAGTTTACGTTTTTACTGTATTAGTTTCATGTCCCTGGTCATATTAAACAATTCATCATAGCAAACTGTTTAAAAGGCAGAATTATTGATTCCCAGTAATCTTTGATTGTGAATGTAATGATTTCGCACACATCTAAAACATCAGCTTCTGTTTTGATTACGTCACCTTGCATCAACAGGCAGGGAAATATATTAGGTCTCACTTTATTAGGTCTATACTTTAGGTTTTGGATTGAGGTTAAGGTTAGGGTTAGGATTAGAGCCAGGTTTAGAGTTAAAGACAATTATGGTCAGTTTAGTAGATATTTAGTTGAATGTAACTTGAAAGTAAATTAAGTATCTACAAAGCATCTAAAGTGGACTAATCCAAATAAAGTGTTACCAAGTAATGTCAGCCAATAATATCATGCTTGTACTCCTCCTCCCATCTATCATGGAGAGAAGTATGTCATAATATGGACAGTAGTGGACGAAGTACACAAATCATGTACTTGAGTTAAAGTAGAGACACCCAAGGTAAAATATTACTCCAGTAAAAGTAGAAGTTCCTCCCTTTTAGACCTCCACTTGAGTAAAAGTACAAAAGTATTTGCCTTCAAATGTACTTAAGTATCAAAAGTAAAAAGTACTAAAAGATTAATTATGACTTTAATGTCCTATTATCATTTTCTGTAACAAGACTCGCTTCATTAACTCATTTTAGGTGAAAATACTCCAGTGTCTCTCTTGGTAAACCAGTCTTTTAATAGAATGTCATTAATTAGTGACGCTGATGTCCATTAAAATTATCATAAGCACAAAACACTGAAGGCAAACAGTTTCCATCAGGTAGAACTGAGTGGCTCTGAAATCACTTTACAAACAAGCAAAGTTTCAGTTTGAGATTTATTTGAACTCAGTTACAAGTTTAAGTTTAATAAAGACTTTAAACTCAGATTCACAAATGAGTTTCCTTTACTAAACTGCATCTGTAGGTCTCTGTTCATAAACATAAACTGGACAAAACTAATTTACTATAAAATGAAAGTGTTTATATAAATTCAGAATAAAGACACGTCAGTCACAACTGCATATGTGTACATATTTCTATATTGTGGTCTGTTTACACAAAGTTAGGTTAGTTCATCATTTATGTTGAATAGACTCTCCCAAACTTTTACGCTGCTGCACTGATGTTGAACCATGTGCTGCACTGGGTCGGTATGACCAACAGGTCAAAACAAGCTCAAAACAAAGTGACCGCTGTGCCCTGATTGGTGTTTTTGCTTCATGCTTCTTTTGTTTTGACATGTTATGTTTTTATTCGCACATAAACCAAAAGGAAGGACAGATTTCTCATAATGTAGTGGAGTAAAAAGTGAGATATTTGACTTTGAAATGTAGTGGAGTGAAAGTAAAAAGTCACCCAAAATGGAAAAACTTCAGTAAAGTACAGATACACAAAAAACTACTTAAGTACAGTAACTCATTACATTTACTTAGTTACTGTCCACCACTGAATATGGAAGGTGAATGCATTATGATTTCCCATTCATCAAAACTGAAAACAACATTTGAAGAAATGGTATTTCAAAGGATGAACATGCGTATATAATGTAGTTAAGCCTGTGTTTGTGTGTATGTGTTTGTAAACAGGTCAGGCTGGGTTCCCTGTGTACAAATATGTTCCGTACGGTCCAGTAAATGAGGTTATCCCATACCTGTGTCGCCGGGCACAGGAGAACCGCGGCATCATGAAGGGCTCACAGAGAGAGCGCAGCCTGCTGTACAAGGAGCTCAAACGGCGCATCTGCGAGGGACAGCTGCTCTACAAGCCAGCCTGCTGAAGAGCTGTTATAGATCTGCCTGCTACATACCAGTCTTCTCTCACAGACTGCTCAACTGAGGAACTCCTGCAGATCGGGTCTCCCATTATAGACCAGTCTACTATAGACCCGTCTTCAATTATAGATTTGCAACTATAGCTGCTGTGTAGACAAGTCTACTATAGACCATTCTTTTGCAGACCTGTCTATTATAGACCTGTTTTCTATTACAGACCTGCCTACTATAGACCGTTCTTCTATTGCAGACCTGTCTACTATAGACCTCTCATCTATTATAGACCTGTCATCTATTATAGACCTGTCTACTATAGACCGTTCTTCTATTGCAGACCTGTCTACTATAGACCTCTCATCTATTATAGACCTGTCGTCTGTTATAGACCTGTCTACTATAGACCTGTCTACTATAGACCATTCTTCTATTGCAGACCTGTCTACTATAGACCGCTCATGTATTATAGACCTGTCGTCTATTATGGACCTGTCTACTATAGACCATTCTTCTATTGCAGACCTGTCTACTATAGACCTCTCATGTATTATAGACCTGTCGTCTATTATGGACCTGTCTACTATAGACCATTCTTCTATTGCAGACCTGTCTACTATAGACCTCTCATCTACTATAGACTTGTCTACTATAGACCATTCTTCTAGTGCAGACCTGTCTACTATAGACCTCTCATCTACTATAGACTTGTCTACTATAGACCTATCTTCTATTGCAGACCTGTCTACTATAGACCTCTCATCTATTATAGACCTGTCGTCTATTATGGACCTGTCTACTATAGACCATTCTTCTATTGCAGACCTGTCTACTATAGACCTGTCGTCTATTATGGACCTGTCTACTATAGACCATTCTTCTATTGCAGACCTGTCTACTATAGACCTCTCATGTATTATAGACTTGTCTACTATAGACCCATCTTCTATTGCAGACCTGTCTACTATAGACCAGCGTTCTATTGTGGACCTGTCTATTATAGACCTGTCTTCTGTTATAGACCTGTCTACTATAGACCATTCTTCTATTGTAGACCTCTCTACTGTAGACAAGTCCTCTGTTGAAGACCAGTCTGCTATAGGCTAGTCTTGTATTATAGAATGTATTTGAGGTTTGCTTATTAATTACAATTACAGCACAAGACAGTTGAAGGCCAGCTGTTGGAATGAAAACCTAGAGCCACGTCCTTTGTAGCACAGCCATGCTGTGCAGTCTTAATGCTTTTTATGGAACGTGGCTCCTGGCAGTCTCCTTGTGTCTGTTACTGTGGTCAAACTGTTCATCACACGTGTGCAGACTGTATTGAACACAGGGGGTAAAACACTCCACTGTAAACATGAAGGTAGAGTGTTGGACAGCCATGTATTCAAGCTAACAGTGTTTCTACCTGATTGCTCTGGGAGAAATGAATGAGTGATTTGCAAATCAACACTGGTACAGTTAAAGCCTGGGGCGCAGCTATTAGAGCCTTTAATGCAGCGTCCCAGCCCTGAAGGGTCAGTGCTGGGACAGTGCCTAACACGAGGCAGTTGAGGCTCATCACTACTGTGCCTTAAAAACACAGACCTCATTTTCTACCGGCCTTAAATTGCCGTTTGAAAGCCATAAGTAGCGCGAAACTGATGCAGAGATCAGCTTAAACTTAACTACTGATTTTTAAATGGTTCAGATGTAAACAGAGTCATTCAGAGTGGTTTGGTGTGAAACGCTCAGTTCTAGAGAAACTTACAGAGTCAGAACTGTTCACAGTGGTGGTGATAGGAACCAGACGTCCACCTCTAAAAGCTCCATCACAGAGAGTTATTAATACGCTTCCTGGTGGAGGGATACATGCAGAGTGTTGTGAGGCAAAGTAGTCCCCAAAGAAAACACATCTTTTCAGATTTATGACTATTTCACCATCATCTACATTCCATATAAACTCAGAAGACTCGTGTAGGTTCACTGGTGGTTTTGGACAGTAATTAAAATGTCTTGTAGTCATGGCGACCCCTGGTTCCTATCACCACCACTGTAAAGACATCTGAACCATTTCACACCAAACCACTCTGAACGACTCTGCTTTCATCTCAACCACTAAATTTTAGACATTTTGAAAAATCCGTGCTTTTTTGTGCCTTTTCAGTCTCCATACTTGACCTCTGAAGTGCTTAGATTCATACTGGAATGTAGAGAAGCTAGAAAACCTACATGCCTTCTCAACCAGCCGCTGAGCATTTAGCGTTTTGTCTTATTTTGCGTATTTATTTCTTTGGTCCTACTTAAGCCTTCCTGATTTTACATGCAGTGTTTTAGCAGCTGTTCGTTCTGTTAAAGTGTTTTAATGGTCGAATGACTAAACCTAATGATATGTTACTGTAGTTAATTTGAGATTTCCTTGATTGTGAAGCAATAATCATTTATGATAATTCATTTTTTAGCTGCATATAGTTTCTTTTAAAAAGCATGTATTAGAAAAGTTTGTTTTTTTAAATAATGTTAATGAATACAAACATTGTGGGGAAAGACGAGCAAAGGCGAGGACTTACATTAAGACTTTATTTTACTTTCTTTATTTCATTTTTTTGATATTTTATTTCTCTGCTGTAGATACTAAACTCTTTTTTCAGAATATTGAGTGTGAGAGATGCTCATTTCTATGTACAGAGCTGTATTTTGATCATTTGTGATTAACTGTCATGAAATTGTTGTAAAAGGGTATTTCTGTCTGTGTAAACTTATTCTTATAAAATAAATTATATATAAAAAAGGTAATTTTTTAATTTTTATTTTTGACACCTGTGTTCGTGCGTATGTTTTCAGATATTTTGATATTTTTATATCTGAGTGTGTGAATAATGATTTTTATTACCCATAGAGTCGCCATATCAAAGTGTGGTGTCTTCAGTTACATTAAGTAAAGATGGTCTCGCAAAAAAATAACTAATAATAATGAATAAGAAACAATTTGAGTAAAAAGTAACAGTAACAGTGAAAGTGTCAGGCCCAGGCAGCACAGGAACAGTATCAGCGCAGGAACAGATGTCTGTTGTTTGATTGTTGTTAAACTCTGTTCTTCTCTTTTTGGATAATTTTGGTCTAAAATATATTGTTAAAATTAAAGGTTAGGAAAGAAGTCCAGGTAAATTTAAACCCAAAAAAGGGAATGAGGAACTAAATGTGAAGGATTGAACTGCATTTCTTAATAAACCTGTAATTATATATATATATATATATATATATATATATATATATATATATATATATATATATATATATATAAAAGCAGTATTATATAAAACAAAAGTTGCGATATAGCGACATCTAGTGGTGCTGCTCGGTAAAGCCCTAAAAAGGAAAAAGGAAGCCTGTGACGATTATTAAGTACAGCACTCGGTCACGTTTTTACCATAAGACAAAGTCAGTGTCCTAATATGATGTTAATATGTTTATTAACATAGTTAGTATGTTTTGAAAACATGAACAAAAACGGCGTTATTTCCACAACTCAATGTCCATCTCCTCCACAATCCTCTAGGCGGAACTCTTCGCAGTCAGGCCCCTTTTTATTTTCCGAACCCTTTTAAGAGTTACACACGAAACAGAAACGCATGGTGGCTGTTTGTGTCAGGAATGGTCAATTATAACTATGTAAACACAAATTAAACAGCTTTATTTTATTATTTATCTCAATTAACACATTTCTTTACATCTATACTGTTTTAGTCATTTAATAGCAGCACTTTCTTCCGTAAAAAAGAGAGGAACTCCTCACAGGTGAGTATGAAGCGATGTAGGTTAACAGTGCATTTATTCGCCAGTTTCTTGTTCGAATATTCCCGTTCCACCTTAAATGGTGCGGCAGTTACACTCTGCTACGTCCACTACATTCAGTGGTGCAGCAGGCATTTAAGGTGGAACTGGAAAATGAGGAGAAGAAGCTGGAAATCGCTTGAAACACCAAAAAATCGTGTTTTTTTCTGTCAGGCACTGCCTGGTGTAAAAATGTCTAAATGGAAGGGAAAACATGCTGGAAGGAAGCACCGAGCTAAGGCTAAAGGAGAGAAAGAGGAGAGAAGTGTGGAAAAGAAAAAGACACAATTTTTTCGACGTGTGAAGAAGAAACAGAAACGGAAAGAGAAGAAAACCGCGCACCTGCCGCCTAAAGAGGCTCAGGCCTTTTCAGCCAACTGGAAAAACCTTGCTGGTGTAAGTTCTTACCGAGCTGTATTACAGTGTGTATATGAGTTAATATACACTGTCCATTTCATCAGCTCCACTGACCATACAGGACCACCATATAGAGTTTTTAAACACTGTGTCCACTCACTGTCCACTCTATTAGACACTCCTACCTTGTCAGTCCACCTTGTAGATGTAAAGTCAGAGACCATAGCTCATCTGCTGCTGCACAGTTTGTGTTGGTCATCCTCTAGTCCTTCATCAGTGGTCACAGGACGCTGCCCACAGGACGCTGTTGGCTGGACGTTTTTGGTTCTCAGTCCAGCAGTGACACTGAGGTGTTTAAAAATTCCAGCAGCACTGCTGTGTCTGATCCACTCAGACCAGCACAACACACACTAACACACCTCCACCATGCCAGTGTTACTGCAGTGCTGAGAATGATCCACCACCCAAATAGTACCTGCTCTGTGGGGGTCCTGTGGGGGTCCTGTGGGGGTCCAGACCACTGAAGAACAGGGTAACAAAGTATGCAGAGAAACAGATGGACTACAGTCTGTAACTGTAGAATTACAGAGTGAAACTATACGGTCAGTGGAGCTGATAAAATGGACAGTGAGTGTAGAAACAAGAAGACAGTTGTAAAGTTGTGGCTGTATATATGGTATCTTACCTCTAGTTCAGTTAAAGGAGAATTCCACCAGTTTTTCATGATCTCTACATAATTAAAAGGTTTAGTTGTAAACACAGTCATTCTAAATGGTTTGGTGTGAAACGCTGTGTTCTAGAGAAACTTGCTGAATTAGAATCGTTTGCAGTGGTGGTGATAGGAACCAGACGTCTGAAGCATTAGGCCCGTTGTTTTATGGTAGTTTTACAAAAGGCTTTTGGCGTAAAACCTATTTTTAAGTCATTTACAGCAGAGAGATACATGCAGGGCACTGTAAGGCAAAACAGTTCCCAAAGAAAACTTTGTACATTTAAAGCATGCAATGGTGGTGATGGGAACCAGGGGCCGTATTACAGCTGAACGGGTGTCTGTTTATTAGGAGGAATAACGTTAGCACGCTTGGCTAAAGCGTTTGGGAAATGGAGACTGAAACTGGAGATGGCGACGCTCTGATAAACAGCAGGGGGCGCTGAAACAACATTCTTAACTTTCAGTTTATCGTGCTTTAGTTTTATTTGACTTTCTTTACACCAGTAACGGTAGCTAACGTAGCTGTCTGACTGACTAGCTTAATTACATGTTTACGTTTCAGCTGTGCGCGTAGGGTCGGTTGCTAGGCAACAGACACGACAGCTGATTATCGACTTCAGTCGAGTAAGTTAGAGTGGAAATATGGTAAAATAGTGGAAAACCTGAAATAATAAGTTTTCTTTGGGGACTATTTTGCTTCACAACACACTGCATGTATCCGCCCACCATGAATGGACTAAAAATATATATTTTAAGCAGTGTTTCAGATGAATCATGCAGTGAATTCATAACCATTTCACGGAACAGCTGAGTTTCTGTGAGGGAGCTTTTAGAGGTGGACGTCTGGTTCCTATCACCACCACTGTGAACAATTCTGACTCTTAAGTTTCTCTAGAACTGAGGGTTTCACACCAAACCACTCTGAACGTCTCTCAGCAACACACAAAGTCACAATATATTGTTTATTTGTATTTATTCTAAAGTGTTTTTTGAGGGTTCGCAGCCCAGATAAATAGCTCTCCATGTTATTTTCACAGGTGTCTTAAGACTTGCGCGTAATACAGTACATATTCTACATATACACAAGTGTACAGTGTGGTGCAGAGTGCAAGTTCAACAAAATGCACAGAAACAGGACAAGCAACACACAGAAATGTGTAGTGACAGTAAACAGAGAATATCAGGACAAAAATGTGTAAAATTAGATGGTAATTACATTGCTATTAATGTAATAGAGTACACAGGATGTTAGACTGAAGTTTTCAGGTGACCGCTTGTATTGTGTGAATAACGGCGTGTTCATGTTGCAGCTGCTGAACTGGAAACCGACTGCAGGGACTGAAAAGAGCGCTCTGCAGAAGGAAGAACCGAAGCCCCAGTCAGCAGTGAATAAAGACTCTCACAGTGCAGCACAAAAAACAGACAAAAACGTAAATAAATCAGGACACAAACCCCAGAAGACCATCAATAAAGCATCGCATGATGTGAAAACAAAGAGTCCAGAGGACGCTGGAGCCCAGCAGAACGGGAAGGGTCCTTCAGGCCCCAAACAGCATAAAGCTGAGAAGAGGAAAGCGAAGGACAGTGGAGGTGGAGATAAGAGGTGGATAAACAAAAAGAAGAAAGCAGAAGAGGCGGAAAAGCAACCGACAGAGTGCGTATCTGTGTTCATTTAATCATGGTCAAAAGCAAAAAACAAGAAAACGAGAAACGGTGATTAAAAACGCTGTTTGTGTTCTTCACTCTCCTGCGCTGCTGTCCGACCAACAGCTAAAATCAAACACGGTCCACTGCAGCTGCGCCTGGACAGTCCTTAGAGCTCTATCGTTAGAGCAGTAGGGTGCATTAGGAGTATTAGGACGAGAAGTCGTGTCGGGAGATATACTGGTATAAAAGTGAATACTGATGTGATGTTTTCTCATCATGTGAAGTTTATCATATTATAGATACGATGAGGAGCCCAAAATAGGCTCCCAAGACATTGGGAGCACATTTTTCAGCATTAATGTAATTCTTTAATGGAATTAATCTCAAACACTGAGCAGCTCAGCATCTTTTTCACCTCTGGTTGCTGTAAACGTGCATCCGTCAGATCCTGCTGGTGTGGGTTCACGACTGTTTCTTCTCTAAATGTACCTAAATGGGACAAGTGAGATGATCATGCAATGAGAAGTCGTGTCGGGAGATATACTGGTATAAAAGTGAATACTGATGTGATGTTTTCTCATCATATGAAGTTTATCATATTATAGATTATAGAGTCCAAAATTGGCTCCCAAGACAAATTAAACATGAACTGAAACAGCTTAAAGAGCCCATATGATATTTTGTGTACTCATTCATGTATTTTCATTGAGCTATTTTTACATGACCGTTTCCAACCTCTCGTTATCCCATTATTATGTGTAAATGACCTTTGTTCTCATTGGCTGTGTTGGCAGCCTGAACTGAAACACTCCTTATAGCTTCAGTGTGAGTGGGCGGGGCTAAACTGCTGTATAGGTGGATAAATGTGAGTGTGTTGTTTACTGTCACACTACAAAACCAATTCAAAACAGGCTTTTTCCATTTACGGACTAGGAAGTATATGGTACGGTGAACGTGAATGAGTGTGTTTACATACACTTAATAATCCGATAACTGCAGAAAATCAGATTTTGACAGTAAGTCGATCAATGTGTTTACATGCACTTGAGTTGCAACCAGCCAATAAACTCACAGAAGAAGACGTGACGTAAACATAATGTAAAACTCAAACTTCATGCTGCAGCTTTTTTTTTTTTTTTAACATCTCTAATCTAATGTAAACATTGCGCCAGTTTACCTGAAAATATGATCTAGAAGATCAAGAATATTTAAATTCTTCATTTTGTCAAGCATGTAGTTGGTTTCACCGTTGCTTGTTTTGCTGCATCTCACTTATTTCCGGTACCACCGTCTGTTTTCGCACATGCTCAAACTGAGAAGACTGAAAGAAATCAGAGTAAGGGTTTACATGCACTGAGAAATCTGATTACTGAGCCAACATCCAGCCTCTTTGTCAGATTTCTGAATCGGATTTATAGACCTCACTCCAATTTAAGAAATCAGAGTGTGCTGTATGTATGTATATGTATATTATATATGTATGTTTATTATATATGTATATATAATCTCACACAGTCAGTGAAATCCAAAACGGAATTAAAAATGTGTGGGGAGAGGAAAAAACAGTGGTTAATGTAATTTAAACATCATTTTTTAATGTATGGTTTTTTTTTATATTAAATAGTTTATGTCCTGAAAGTACCACAATATAAATCTGAGATAATATTGCCCACCCCTGTTGTGAAGTAATGTCTTCTCTGTTTTCTGTTTAAGGTCGGATATCTGGTTTGATGATGTCGACCCTGATGACATCGAGGCTGCACTGGGCTCGGAGGCTGCAGACCTCGTGAGGAAGAGGAGCGGTGTGGCAAAGAGCGATGTGGAGAGTACGGAGAGACAGTTGGTAAAGGAGCGCGCTTTTGACGGGTACGCCCCTAAAACTGCTCACCGCGCTTCTATGTGAAGAGAACTTCACTCACTAGTGCCTCAAGTCAGAGACCACCCTTCCTTTATTTAGTTTCCAGTCAAAACAGCCATTAGGTGCAAGCTATTCATTTTTCAGCATCATTTAAAAAAAAAAGAAACGTATCGCTGTTGTCAGAACAAAACCTTAAAATCTCCATTTTTAACGTTTTCCAGTTTTTGACATAATTTGAAAATGTCTGTCACCCTTTACATTGTATGTAAATTTCATGATGAATGGACCAACAGAAATAATCCAAAATGACTTGGAAAAACTCTGGTTCCATTGACTTACATTAAAAGTAAAGTATGTTTTTTCCTTCTCCTGTAAAGTTACCATTTTGGAGATGCGAGGTTTTGTTCTGAGAACAGCGATTATATTTAACACATATATTAAACAGAAGCCTCAACAGCTATATATAATTTGAGATTTTCAGTATTTAGTGAGTCACTCTTTACCTTTATTCCAGAGTCTCACTTTCAGTTCCTCAAAGAATCTGCAGACACACCTCCAAAGTTCAGTCTTAGAAGCTGGTTGATCGTTTTCTGAAGTAATCAAACACATTCAGTGATGTTGAGGTCTGGACAGCAGATTGTCCTGAGAACGCCAGTAGCTTCTTTATGCATCTCTGTCTTCTTAGCGTTGTGCTTAGGGTCGTTATCTTTCTTCTCCTGAGTCACCAACACATTCTCAAACACTCTGCTACAGGTCTCGGTGTTAAATCTAGGCAGTTTCTCATCACGTTGGGATGCAGTTGGCTTTTCGCAGACACTCGTATACAGTCGCAGATTGGTTTGAGTATTAGAAGCGTATGAACGCAGTAGTTGAGCGCACCATAAAGCTTTAGATAAATACAGTAATCCAGCTTTGAACCTGGCACCCTCATCAACCTGCATTGGTTGATGAAAACATCACTAGCAGAAATCATATTAAAGTTATTTTGGTTATTATTGCTTCTGAGTGTAAAGTGAGAGATGGGAGTCAATTTATTTTCTGTTTTAAGTAAAAAAAAACGACAGAACCTTTTTTTTTCTTCAGAACAAGACTGGACACACAACAGTAACTTTTTCATCGAATTCAAATCATAATAAAATATCATCTCTTCTACTTAAAAAAAAATACTGATGTTATGGATTAAATGTGTCCACTTTCATGCAGTTTCTCCAGTCTTTCAGTGAGCTGTGAGTGAAAAACAGTGTAATGTTTCATCATTTTTGATGAAAATGATGTTAACATCTCTGCATAAGTACAGTTGTGTGTAAAAGTTTAGGCAACCATGCTGTTGTTGATTTTCTGTGTGAAAATAAGTGAACACGACCTCTACAGAGAACACACTTTAATGCACACTTACTGTTTATATGCTGAATTTAACTAATTGGGGTGAATTGGGAAATAAAACATAAAATGTGTGCAAAAGCTAGGGCTTTTGTGTTTTTTATTTATTTATTTTTTTAACCAGTATGTTAAATTTAACAAAATACACAGTAATTGTGCATTACAGTGTGCAGAAGTTCTCTGCAGAGGATGTGTAACTTATTTTCACAGAAAATCAATAAAGCATAATTTGACTGGGGTGCACAAACCTTTCCATACGACTGTACATCTCTAATGTGAAATCCTCGCTCTGTTCCTGTCCTTTTCTCTTTCTCTCTGGCGGTCATTGCGATGTGCAGACTGACGCACGCAGTCGCTATGGACTGTGAGATGGTGGGGGTGGGACCCGACGGAGAGGACAGCATGCTGGCGCGCGTCTCTATCGTGAACTATTTCGGAAAGTGCATCTACGACAAATACGTCAAACCCACGGAGAAGGTCACCGACTACCGAACAGCCGTCAGCGGCATTCGCCCTGCGGACATCGAAAGCGGTGAGAGAGAGGAAACACGTTCTTTCCTTACGAAGTCTTGACAGATTCTTTCTTATATTGTGTTACAGTCATAGTCCTAATATTAAAGTGATGGTTTGGTGTGGTGAAAAATCAATTTGCCTAAAGTTTGCTGCCGTAGTTTTTAAATTAGAGCTGTGGAGCTGAAGTAGCTGACAACTAAAGGAAGCCTATAACCCACCAGTTAGCATAGTAGCAAACTGCAGGACTCAGTCACACTTATGCATACCGGTGCATATACATTTCTGCCAGTGGCGAACCATGAATATTAGAGCCTTCAGGCCGTAAATATAAAAACTCGGTTGAAACATGAGGAGAAAACCCGCTACTACGATAATGCTAACGTCTCCTAGCGTCCCTGTTGGACTTTAGTAGTTTGTTAGTGCTAAGCTAACGGCGATCCCCGTGAACGTTTTTTGTTGTCTTAGATCAAACACAGACCTCCGAAGCTTCTAAAAGACACGTTTTACTTAAAGATTATGAGAGACTTTCTGTATATCACTGCTGTCTGAACAAAACCTTGTATCTCAAATTATAATTTTACCAGAAATGGAAAAAACCTACTTTACTTTTAATGTAAGTCAATGGAACCAGACTTTCCACGTCATTTTGGGCTGTTTTTTTTGGTCCATCCATCATGAAATGTGCCTGTTGACCTTACATTGTGTGTACTTTTAAATGTCACAAACTAAAAATCAACAAAAATAGAGATTTTGTTCCGACAGCAGCAAGAAAAATAAATGAATAAATAAATATATATATATACACACACACACGTGATATTTTGCGTTGTAGAAGGTTTCCAGTGACTCTCAGTGAGGGGCTGGTCAGCTGCTGCTGCTGTTTCAGTTTCTAATAGCTGATTACACTGCTGTTCATATTTAGTCAGTGATGTATCTAGAACTTCCAGAATATTCCGTTTTTTTCTCACAAAATTGGTCCCATTGTAATTCTAAATGTGATTGGTTGACTCTTCTGTCATGTGATTATGCTGATCTAACATGTCGTGGCTTCTCTTCAGCTCCTGAAGTCTTAACCAATCAGAGAGCTCGCTTAGATATTTCTACCTATGTGCTACGGAGAATTTTGATTGGCCAACTTTCCTCTTTGCATTTGAAGAATTTAACCCCTTTGTTTCCATCCACAACTTAACAATGAAACAAGAGAGGTGCTTTAATACTTGAAGACGTTAAATTCAAGCATGATTCTGTTGAATAAGAATATCTAAAGTTCCAAAAAAATTTTTTTTTTTGGTTCCCAGAAATCATTAGCCCTTCCCAGAAGGCCCTGAGGGTTCCCCTCTGGTTTTTACTAAAATGTGTTGTTATTAAGTCACTGTGTGTTTTACAGGGGAGGACATCAGCACAGTCCAGAAGGAAGTGGCTGAGATTCTGAAGGGGAGAATATTAGTGGGACACGCTATTCACAATGATCTAAAGGTGCAGTACACTGTGCTTCAGTTTGGATGCTTTAATTTAATCAGAAGTTTTTGTAAAGTCTAACTTTCTGTCCCTTTTTGTGCAGATTCTGCTGTTGGACCACCCAAAGAAGATGATCAGAGATACACAAAAGTATAAAGAGTTTAAGAAGATCACAAAGGTAGTAATTGATCGATGAATATTTAATATAGATCGTCTTTACTATTTAACTCTTACTAAACTCTCTCTCTCCCCCTCTCTCAGAGTTCCCGTCCTGCGCTGAGAGTTCTGAGTAAGAAGGTTCTGAATGTGAACGTGCAGCAGGGCGAACACTCCTCTGTACGTATTTCTCAGTACTTTTGGACAGTATTTTGAACACAAAGTGCAAAGAGAATTGTTTCCTTCTGAGGCTGCTCTTCATTGTCCTTGTAAAGCACAAGTATGTTTTGAAATGCTGGAATGTAGAAGTGTTATGTGTCAGTAACGGACCTGTCCAGGCTCTGCCCACACAAGCGTTCTTTGATAGTTACTGTTGTGAAGTTGAAGCTTTGCAGAGCTCTGGTAAAAATCTCATGCAGCCTAGAGAGGAATTCTAGCACACTCAGTTTCTGAGAAATTCCCAGAGTCTAAATTTGAAATGAGATGAGAAATGTTTGTGTGTTAAAGGGCACACTGATCGAGCTCACACCAGCGTGGTGATAAAGTGTCATTGTCCTTTCTCATTGTCCTTTTCTTAGCCTCCCTAGTTCAAGATCAACACCATAGTCAAATTCATCCCATACTCGATTGAGCATGTCGGGTGTCGCTGCACTCACGGCTTTTTCAGTGCGATTTCAGAGATCATCCAGTGTTGTGGAACCGGCACCGAACGCTCTGAGCTGTTGGAGGTTCACTGCAGATGAAAATCACGCTGCACAGTTATGACGGATTCACTCTTATTGAAGTGGAGAACGCAGAACTCTTTCTGATCAGGGGTCTCATCTCCTCACAGACTGAGGGGAGCCATCATCCACTGACAGTCAGAAACTCTATGACCCCCTCTTTCAGTTGGATTGTGATTGGTTCCTAGGTGCCTCACAGTTGTAAAAAATGGCGCTTTGAAATTGGATGAATCTTTTTGAATCACCCTGTATTTTCATGTCGACGGGCAAAACTGAGCTGTTTGGAAACGTAGACGTTATGCCATTAAGTTCTGTGCATAGTTGTTGCTGTTTTCATTTACTAAGCGGTCAGAGTCCGCCTGAAATGGTTGATGACTGGTTTGTTTCTGTCTGCTCGGCAGTTCGAGCATCAGTTCTAAGATATTTTAAATGAAGTGTCCCCTTGGTTGCAAATGATTTCAAAAGATACATACCTTATTGATCATTAACCAAAGTCATTATTCAAATGCAAAAATGAGTTATAGAACTAGACAAACTCAACTTGTCTGCCTGATCAGGACAGTGTAGCGGATTCAGAGATGGTGGCGTAGCAATGAAAAAAGAAACATAAGCGAACAAGCAGTGGAATTTTTTAAGCTTTTATTTTATAGCAGAAACCGTAGTGACATTGAATAGGAGGTCTGACAGTCAAACAGGCCTTCTGTATTTGTAATATACTTTTTTAGAAAATCTCTGCTTCAGATTCCCAGTGCACTGTGTTTTGCGCGGTAGACCTCTGAAGTTGTCATCATTCTGTGGTTGGTGTGACCCCACATTAGGAACTGCAGGTCTAAGCTGGTTTTCTCTACGTGGGAAAATGAATGTTGTTTAATGGTGGACTTATCAGTTTTCACGCAATATCATTTCAGTGTGCAGAAGTCAAGTTTTCTTGTAGGATGTATGCAGTATTATTCGTATTTTGACTGCCAAACAACCACCAACAAAACTTGTCTAGTTGTGTACTATTTATTTTACCACAGCAAATGGCAGAACCATTCAAGTATGTGCATGTCTTACAGGTCCAGGATGCCCAGGCCACTATGCGTTTGTACACAATGGTAAAGAAACGGTGGGAGGCAGAGCTTAAGGCCGGAAGGAAAGCCCAGAAGAGCCCTCGCAAACCCAAAGCCGACAGCTGACCTGAGAGCAGCTCCTACACAGCATACAGTGAGAGAACAAACACAGTCTCAGCTGACCTCAGAACAGCTTGGACACGAGAGACGAACACCCCGTTTCAAAACCCACTTCGACAGTACGGAGCTGTAAATCCTCTTCAGTGTTTGACTGATGACGTTTTGTTGTTTAAGCAACAGACAGGCTAAGACGGACTCTGCTGCGTTCCCATTACTGAGTGCTTTTTCCAGCCAGAGTTCCAACACCGGGACCGAATGTGACGCTAGTGCCTTTTTCTTGTTCGTATACATCAGGTTGTTTGAGGATCACAGGTTTCACTCCCACCTGCCCGTCTTCTGCTCATCATTTCACAGGCAACTGTACGATGTGGGAGCACACAATGTTTTCCAGATCTGTTTCCTGGTAACTGTTCCTGTGGTTGGATTGTGTGTGAATTTGCACATTAGAGCTCAGTTCTCACTGTTCAGTCTCTTTTTATAGTGACCATTTTATTGATGAACGTCCCCCCCATGTTCAGAACAAAGCTTGTCAGACTGAACTTTTCTATGAGGATTCTCTCCCTTGTGTTGAATATGTAATATTAAAAGGAATGTGAAATCCTCACCTGAATGACTTGATTGTGACTCAGATACACTAATGTAGTGGTTGTCATTGTAGTTTTATCACTAATCGTTCAGTTATTAATCTCTGTATTTTGGTTTGTCCATCTGAATTTACATGACTAAATCGTAAGGCAAATTATTCAGTAACTGCATGAAATAAATGTAAATTTTTATTTATTTATTTTTGTAAAAGCTCCCCTCAAACTAACAGAACATGTGTTTTATGATCACACATATTGCGATATGCTTACAATTTACTGCTGAAAGCCAAAAATCTTAGACGTTCTTTGTATTTTTTTATAAAAATAATTTTTGCAAATCACTGAAGAGGCGCCATCTGTTTATAGATTATAGGCCAGACTTGTGGAAAAATGGGTCGACTTTCAGTAGACAAAAAAATTGAGTTCAGCTTCTTTTATTATAAGAGTTTAAAATACATCACCCATCTATTTGACTGGAAAGAAGACAGTTTCAGCTCTCATACGACCCCCACCTTTTGAATGTAGCTTATGAAATATGAAAGTTATGAAGAATATGATGAAGTGCCTTTTGGAACCAGCTGTTATGCACATTACTTTAAAAAAACATTTTTTTCAGCATGGGATCCTGAAGCATAAGCCAATAGAGTAAATAAATTTACTTACCAGGGGTGTCATTAATGCAAAGTACCAAAAGCTATGAGTGCTAATAGCACCCCCTTGTGGAGAATCTTCAGCCTGCTAAATATGAATGAGCGAGAGAAATCCACAACAATTTGCCATTTGATTTTTAAAGAATGTATGATTTACACGTAATTTGGCCACTTTTATTGTCCATTCTTGTCCATCACTTACTGTTCATTTACTCAGATCTACCATATTGTTGGATTTTTGTAGTGCTACAGCAGGTATTAATTGGATGGTGGATCATTCTCAGCACTGCAGAACCAAGAGGAGGCTGGAGTCCAGCAGAATGAGAAAAAATCTTGAGCACCCAAACAGCACAAATTCCAACTAGGACCGTGAAGATGTTTCTTTTATCATGGTTCATACTATTGAAATTGGCATCAGGGCCCAACAAATGGACATACCTTTGTTGCCCTTCCGACCAGAATTAATTCAGAGCTGGTTTTAGCTGGTTTAGGCTCATCCAGTGTTGGTTTAGCTGCATCCAAAACACAATATATTGATCTAGGTGGTGGCCAACATATCAGTTTGCTGACCAGTGTACCAGCATCTGCCAAAAACATTCTTTACTTTTAATGCAAGTTAATGTAAAGCTGTAATTCCAAGCGATTTTGGAGCATTTCTACTGGTCCGTTCATCATTAAATTTTCATACAATGTAAAGGATGATGTGCTCAAATTATGTAGAAAAACAAAAAAAATGGAGATACCTGGGTAATCTGGCTTTAGGATGGTAAAGGGTTGATAAACTTTGCTGAATAAGAACTATGGATCAGATACTTTGTTGTGGTTACTTCAGTGGTCCTTTCATTTATCCGTCCCTAAATCAGGTCACTCTAGCTGTCCGGACAGTGTTTTAGCATGACGTGGTCATAATACTGAACAGCTGTACTGCTACCTTGAAGAAAAATAAAAAGCCAGTGAATCGGCTGTAAAAGGCAGATGAATTTATTCTGTAGTGCATGAAGCGGAAGAACAAGAACAATCAATCACCAAAATTGTCAGACAATGTAAAAGATCCAGTTTAAAGACCATCTTCGCATCAATCCCACACTGATTCTACACACACATGCACACACACTTAAGTACGATCAGAACACAGAAATACAAAGTCATGCTTACAGATTTTGGTGTCTCAAGTTTTTCCCTTTTCCTCTGAATCAGTTTCTGACATGTCTGTGAACTGTGAGTAGCATATTGTACTGTGGTAACGGGAAAATAACATCACCCAACAACGCTAACGCGGCTAACAGTGTTTTGAAGCTACGTGGGAGCCGGTTAGCACGTTTCGCTTGCTATGCTAGCTGGGCCCTGCTTTAGTTCATTTGTTATTAGCAATGTTAGCCATTTTGAGTGTTTTACTGAAGGAATACTTTGGTAGCTTGGCTGACAATGAAGGTTAGCTGTTAGCAAGTTAGCTTCCGTCCACAGTTAGCCAACTCCACTTGTCTTTATTTGTAGCTCATTTAGCTATGTGGTGATTACGGCCCAAACAGGCTGAAAACACAAGATTAATCTTTTTGTTCAGTAGGCGACAAACACAAACTTGGTTAATGCTTCAGTAGGAATTAGCAGCATGCACTCAGTACAGTGTTAGGGCAATAACTTGGTTGTGTACCATCAGACAGAAAACCTCAATGTAAATGGACGGCTAGCGTACCACACCTGTTCACAACATATTTACAATGCAGCATCATCCCGAATTCACAGTTGGTAACGTTACTGGCAACAAACAGACTGTTAACAGGCCGTGGTCTTCACTCCAAGTCCTGGAAGGCCACAATATTGCACAAGATAGAGTTTTCCCTGCCTAAACGCACCACTTCAAGTGCCTGATAGGGGCCTGAGTTGAATTAGCCATGTTAGAGGCAAGGAAAAACCCACTGTTCTCAATCTGGGGACCTTCTACATGGAACATTGGGTGGTTTCCCTGCTCCAAACCATCCAGTTAGTCTCATCAGGTGCATATCTGGCCTTTCATGCGCTGAATGAGGTGTCTACACTCTTTAAAAAAACAGTTCTTCAAGGGTTCTTTAGTAAAGGAAATGGTTTGATTCCATCGATTCCTATTCCATTAATCTGAATTACCTTTTCATCATGCAAACATTTAGATTGATGGAGACTGTGTTGTATATGGTTCTATATATCAAGGGTTCTGCTATTGTTACGATGTTAAGCTTGTAACAATAGAAGCACCCTTTTCAAAAATGTTCTATATAGAACTACACACAACACATTCTCCATCAATCTGAAGAACCATTTCACTATGCAAAGAGTCATTTAAGCATGAAATTGTTCTTTATAAAACTCCTGACAGAGGCTCTGAACAGAACCACTGCCTTCCCTGAAGAACACTTGAAGAACCTGTGCAGTACAGGAATATTCTAAGACTGGGGGTGAAGACGGACTGTGGTTTATAGAGGTCAGTGAGACTACGCTTTAAAAAGAGTTGATCTGAACCGAGGAAGCTGGTTTATCTGCTGGTCTAGTTTGAACTCTTGCTGGTTTTGTTATGGTTTTACTGTGTAGTGTGACGGAGGTTCACCTGTCATTAGGTGAACCAGAGGGAAAATCTCAGAGTGTCACATTTCCCCTTCTTTCTCTTCACGTTCTACGTTGTTGCGCTTTTGCTTCATTTCGTTTAATGAAAGGTACCTGAATAAAGTTAAGTAACTTCTCGAAGATGATCCACTTTGTTTACGTTTTGGCCTCACAAAAATGACTCCTCCGAGCCAAACTACTTCAGACGTGAGCTGTACCTGATATTTACTTCTTCCTGCAGAAAAACACTGTAAAATGATCTGAATAGTTCGTAAAAGCGTCTTTTAAAGCTCGCTGAGACATTTTTTCCCTAATTCTATATGGTCTGCTGTGTAAAGCTAACCCAGCTAAAATCTGACTGAGCTCAACAGTAGCTACTAAGCTAATTCTCCAGAGAACGGCTAACAGCTAACACCCGAAAACAAACATCACACCACAGAGCGGAGGTAAGAGTCATTCTCAGTTCAGAAGAAAAAGAGCCCTTCAGGTCAGGAACCTTGTTAAAAGATGGCTTTAGGAGACGGCTAAAGTCCCGAACGTGCATAAAAAAGCTAGTTTACCACCAGCCCTCCTGACACAGGCTAACCAGCACACTCAGCCAACAGGCTAGCATGCTAACCACAAATACATTCATCTTATTCAAAGGTGGCCATCTTTAGGTCAAATAACGCGTGGGAACAGGTCAGTTTACGGAAGGCTATTCTCTCCTCTGTTTCTGGTGGATGTATGTCCAAATTTTGACTTAGTATCTCTAAAAATAATGACTTTTTTCCCTAAAAATAATATTCTTAAAAAATATTGACTTAGTATTTTGAAAAAGTGACTTATTTTCTCAAAATTGACATTTTCCTGAGATGTAAGACAAAATGTCAGCATGCTGTGTCAAAATAACGAGTTACTGAAATTAATAAAGGGATTATTTCGATATAAGTCAATATTTAGATAAAATAAGTCATTATTTTTGAGATATGAAGTCAGATTTTTTGACATTTCAACATTTCGTCAGAAACAGAGAGGGAGAAAAAAACGGTGTGATTTTTTTTCTTTTCTATCTGGCGGAAATATTGTATTTATTGTATCTTGGCAAGTGAAACAGTCGGCATATCAAATATTGCTCATTTTGAGATTAGATTATTCTAATCTCTAGATATTTTTTACTTGTTTTTTGGGTCATTTTATTTAGAGAACTTGTCTAAAATGCTTAAAACAAGCAGATAATTTTACTTGTTTTAAGCATTATTTCTTGAAAAAAAAAACAATATTATCTGCTAATGAAATAAGACACTTACACTAGAAACTGAACAAAAAAATAAAAATTAAAATGTGTTAAATAATATGATCTCAAAATGAGAAATATTATATACATTGACTAGATTTAAGATGATTTCATCTGCTAAGATGCCATTTTTTGCAGTATAACTGTTTAAAATGACCTTGTTTGAACAAGCGAAAGTAAAAACAGGTGACCAGTGAATAAGATGAACAGAACATTCTAAATACAGGTCGCTCAGTTTAGTGTTCCCGAACACTCGTAACATTCTGACGTTCTAGAAGAAGACCAATGTTCTAGAACATTTGCACACAGCATTCAAGAGCGGGACAGATTTCCTCACTCTCAAATGTACAGTTAAAGGGGAATTCCACCAGTTTTCCAAAATTTCTGTGTAATTCAGTGGTTAAGATGTAAACAGTCATTCAGAGTGGTTTGGTGTGAAACGCTCTGTTCTAGAGAAACTTACAGAGTCAGAACTGTTCACAGTGGTGGTGATAGGAACCAGACGTCCACCTCTAAAAGCTCCCTCACAGAAAGCGAGTATACAAAATTGTTGGAAATACACTGTCGTATGCCTACACAGTAGTTATGCCACAAGGTTTTGGCCCAAAACATATTTTTAAATAAATTCATGGTGGAGAGCTGAGGATACTTCATAACCATCATCAACATTCCATATAAACTCAGAAGACTTGTGTAGGTTCACTGGTGGTTTTGGACAGTAAATAAAATGTCTATATTTGTGTTGTAGTCATGGCGCCCCCTGGTTCCTATCACCACCACTGTAAAGAAATCTGAACCATTTCACACCAAACCACTCTGAATCACTGTTTACATCCCAACCACTTAATTATGCAGGAATTTTGAAAAAGCGGTGGAGTTCCCCCATAAGACCATGTTTCTCCTCAGCCGTGTGCACTTTGGAGCCAGACTGGACTCGAATACACTCAATCTCCAGTCTTAGCTACGCTCTCTTTTGTGAGAAGTCATAAAGAGAGAAGGTGGGTGTCGTGGAGTTAGAGCAGCATAGTGAAGCGTACATTCTTCTCTTTAATCACGAGCGACGTTTGCAGCAGGAAACGTGTGTAAAGGCAGATCAGTGAGCACACACTCGTACGCACACACGAAAGTCGTCCAGTAGGGTTAGTTACGCAGCTAAAGCCCTCTTTAAATGACCACACCAACCACACATGCACTTCCACTGGAGGAAAACTAACATTATTCTAGCTCTAATATCACGGATTTGACGGCGTTTGGTAGAAAAGTCTCATTGGCTGACATTCCCAGTACCCTCGGTGAGTAAAGGTGTAGTGACAGATGGACAGGAGATGACCGATACGTCAGTGACATGCATTCTGCTCTTCTGTTTGGACATGGGAGCGTGAGGTTACTCTTGATTTAGTGTCTGCTTCATAAGTTACGGATAAATAAGGAAGAGAACTTACAGCCCATCAAACCAGAGCCACCTTCCAAAACAACAACAAAACAACTCGAGAGCTCAACCCTGATGTTTCAAAAGAAAAAAAAAGAAAATTCCACATAAATAAAATCACAAAATCACTGAACGCAGAAGAGCAGGAGTCTCAGGGAGACGGAGAGAGGGGTGGGAGAGGTAGAAGAACGAGGGATAACGGAGGAGGAGGAGGCGGGGTCACGGGGCCGCGCCGTCTGTCGTACCGGCCAGTTTCTCTTCGTCAGCCTGTTTCTGGTGCTGCAGCCGGGCATAGCTGACCGCATCGCCCCTGAGAGAGAGAGAGAGAGAGAGAGAGAGAGAGAGAGAGAGAGAGAGAGAGAGAGAGAGAGAGAGAGAGAGAGAGAGACAGAGAGACAGAGACAGAGACAGAGAGAGAGAGAGAGAGAGAGAGAGAGAGAGAGAGAGAGAGAGGGGGTTGTGGGTAAGTGTGTGAGTGAGTCAGTATATTAGGGAGACATTAGCCAGGGCACACGACTTCACGTTATAATGTAGATAATATCAATGTTAAAAAATGAAAATATTAAATTGAACAAATAGTGAAACCAGTAATATTAATGTTAAAAGAATATCAGTAGTAAAATAGTGAAAAACACAAATTTTTATAGTAAATTAAGAGAAAAAGAAAGAAAATTATGAGTATTTACACAATTCCATTCACCATGCATACTTGCAGCATAAAACAGTGCAGGAGTGTTTTGTCTAGATGTTTACCAGTATTTGGTAATTTGGTATACTAAAATATTAAATATGTACAGGCATGTTTTGTCGATTTGTTGATTTGTTGTAAATAAGGTAACACATTCTGCACAGAGAGCACACTTAAATCAATTTCAATTTCTAAAAAATATATATTTGTTTGCTTTTATTTATTTCGCTTAATGGGCCAAAACATTTGCACAAGCCGCATTTTATGCTTTATTTTTTTCCCAATGATACATTCAGCTAATAAACATTAATTCTGTATTATGTGTTCTCTGTAAAGGATGTGTTCACTTATTTACACTCAGAACATCAACATAACACGGAATTTGACCAGGGGTGCAGAAACCTTTGCATACAACTGTACGATATACAAACGGTACTGTACATCCTTTAAGACTTCTGCAATTTAGTCAAACGGGCTGCAGTTTCAACTGAGAGTTAGGCTTTAAGTTGAAACATTTACTAAAAGATTAAAATAAAAGAAAATATGTCGCCTACATTTACGTAAAAGCTTGAAATGCCTGTGTGCAGACTCTGAGCTGTGCAGTATTAAACCTTGTTAACTTGATGCTAATTTAACATGGACAAAGCAAGTGATGGGCTAACAGAAATTAGCATTATTGTAGTGGTTGATGAGCAAACACTACTTATAATGTACAGACTTCTATACTAAACACTGTTATACAGCAATACTAAATTGCTATACTGTACCACTGGAATACCATAGCAACCACCCAGGATAGCACCGCAGTGGCCTAGCAACACCTTGGCAACATAGCAATGGCTTAAGAACACTTCAGCAACTATTTTGGCTTACATTGCAATGGCTTAGCAACACCTTAGCAGGCACCTGGAATACCAAAGCAATGGCATATCAACACCTTAGCAATCACCTGGGAAACCACAGCAGTGGCCTAACAGCACCTTACCAACCACACAGGATACCACAGCCTAGCACCACTTTAGCAACCACCTAGGATAGCAGAGCAATGGCCTAACAACACCTTACTAACCACATGGGATACCACAGCCAAGCACCACTTTAGCAACCACCTGGGATAGCAGAGCAATGGCCTAGCAACCTTTTGGGATAGCACAGCAAGGGCAACACCTTAGCAACCACTTGGGATTCCATAGCAATGGCTTAAGAACACTTTAGCAACCATTTTGGCTTACATTGCAACGGCCTAGCAACACCTTAGCAGGCACTTGGAATACCAAAGCAATGGCCTAGCAGCAGCTTAGCAACCACCTGGGATAGCAGAGCAATGGCCTAACAACACCTTACTAACCACATGGGATACCACAGCCTAGCACCACTTTAGCAACCACCTGGGATAGCAGAGCAATGGCCTAACAACACCTTACCAACCACACGGAATACCACAGCCTAGCACCTCTTTAGCAACCACCTGGGATAGCACAGCAATGGCCTAGAAACATCTTAGCAACCACTTGGAATTCCATAGCAATGGCTTAAGAACACCTACGCAACCATTTTGACTTACATTGCAACAGCCTAGCAACACCTTAGCAGGCACCTGGAATACAATAGCAACCTTGCAGCAAAACCATAGCAACTAGCTGGATTTACTATATAAAGCGTTCTGCAGCTGCTTTAACCTGTGAAACATTATTAACTGGCTTTGTCAAACCAACATAAACGTCTGTTCACAAACGTTCCTTTTAGTTATCATGGTATAAAGTTTTTATTTTACATGCCCAGTTTCATCATAAATTTATGCGTATGAACGATTTTCTCACTTTTTGCCGAGGGATGCGAGTCCGTAGAGCACTCCGGTGGCGAAGGCAATGGCGTTCCCAAACAGAGTGGTCAGGGTCAGACTCAGAAAGACGGGGAAGAGGGCCATCCTGGGGAGAGAGAGAGAGAGAGAGAGAGAGAGAGAGAGAGTTTGTGACTGAACTGTATGGTAGCCTTATTTGCTCCTCAGAGGGAAGGAGAAGGCTGTGTCCCTAATTACTAGGTAATTGCTAGTTAGGTAACAAGGGCTTTTGGTGACAGGAACCAGACGTCCACCTCTAAAAGCTCCCTCACAGAAGGGAATACATGTTTACTGTCTGATGCACGAGACATTGTTTTATGATAGTTTTGAGGTCTGCATGTACGTTTAAAACGTACATGCAGGGTGTTGTGAGGCAAAAACAGTCCCCAAAGAAAATGTATTATTTTCAGATTTTCCACTATTTTCCCATCATCAAAATTACATATAATCACTCAGAAGACTCGTGTAGGTTCACTGGTGGTTTTGGACAGTAAATAAAATGTCTATATTTGTGTTGTAGTCATGGTGACCCCTGGTTCCTATCACCACCACTGTCTTTATAATCAACCATTTCACACCAAACCACTCTGAATCACTCTGTTTACATCTCAACCAATGAATCCTAAAAAATCCTCAAAAAGCAGTATCTGTATGTCTCTCACTCACCCGCAGTAGAGCAGCGCTTTCTGCCAGGGCCGCATGCGGTCCGCCCGGTCCGCCACCGCGTTCGCAAACTCCACGAACTGACAGCAGAACGGCACCTCGCAGATGAACAGCACACATGCCGTCAACCTGAGGACACACGGACACACGGTCTGATCACCACAAACACTTATTTAAAGCAGTAAGTATGTTTCTGCTTGTGAAACACCATATATCATTAGAATGGATGCAAATCAACATAAGTGCAGTAACAGCAATTTACTGTTTCCAAAAAAGCAGTTGCTGTCTTGTGAGCTCGTCTGAAGAACAAAGTTCCAGATTTCTCCAGACATCACATGGATGAATTAAATTCCATCATCAGCACAACTTCATGAAGTTAATGCTGGGCTTCCTCTCGGAGAGGATTGGAAACAGGCAAGCAAACACATTTACATGCATAAAATCACTCCTTATTCCATTAATGGTACTCGTATTTATTCTAATATTAGTGTTATTTGAGCAAATAAATCCCTATTGACCAGATAAACAGCTTTATAAACATCATTTTCTTTCATACTGTACTGTGTGTATGTATACTATATAACGTAAATTCATTCGACTGAACTGGTTCAACGTCAGAGTTGAAAACACATTTGGAACTTCTAACTGATCTTGGACTTTAGACTAAAATCCTTTAGCGTCTGAGTGACCCTGTACCTTAATTGTGTTAATTTTATTAAAATAAATAATTGACCGCTCCATTCTGTCACTACTAAAACAATCATAACACTACCGAAAGTCACTACTGAAACATTTGGTAAAGTTTTGGTAGTGTTATGATTGTTTTAGTGGTGACAAAATGGAATGTTCAATTATTTGTTTTAATAAATGAACATAATTAATGTATAGAGTCACTTTAGCTAATTTTGTGCAGAACCAGAGATGTTATAAAGGAGGAGACGGTCACTCATTGATATATGAATGGGAAAGCTGGTAACGGTCAACATGGAATCCATTTGTGGAGGAAATCCCGCCCTTCAATAAAATTAGCCAGTCAGCTTGCTGGTTAAACAGCTAGCGGGAACACCCCCCAACCACCCCCCCACGCTTGTTGAGATCTGCGTGAAGTGCTGCAGCCAGAACAATCCAAAAAAAAAACCCACATTTTTTTGCATTATTTGAGCCAAATGCTACAAAGTATGTGAGTTTTGACAGATTTTACCAGCGATTTCAAATTTTGAACATGGAATTTCTAAGGTGTCTCCTCATTCAAAAAGACAGAAACCCAGACTTGTATGACTAAAAATATCTGCCCAGTGGAGCTGCCACTGAGGTGCAAAAAATATATATATGCCCTCAAACCAATTCTGGACAACTTGGGCCTGATGGCCCGATGGCTGGAATGTCCATTGTGGGGGTTATATGAAGTCCATGAAGGGCTGCAAATGGTCACCAACCAGTAAAACATAGCATTAACCAATGTTCAGGTGGACCAGTGGACCCAGTCCTTGCCATGAGAAAACACCCCACACCAGTATGGAACCACCACCAGCCTGCACAGTGCCTTGTTGACAACTGGGATCCATGGCTTCATGGGGTCTGCACCACACACGAACCCAACCATCATCCCAAAACAACTGGTACTATGACTCGTCGGACCACACCACATGTCAGTCTCCTAGGGTCCGGTTAGCAACCTCACGAGCCCAGGAGCAGCACTGTGTCCAGTGTCATGGTGTTAACAGAGGCACTCTGGTGGGACTTCTGCTCTCATATCCCATGAAAGCTAAAGACGCTGCACTGACCTGCGGGATATGATTGTGGGGCCTTCTGCATTGAACATGGATGCGATTTCTGCCAGGGTTGCTTTTCTGTTTGTACGAACAATTCTAGCCAGACGCCACCGGTCACGATCATTAAGTACTTACGGGCAGCCACTGTACTGTCCACTGTGGGTGGTAATGTCTTCTATGACATTTTCCCTATTAGTGATACTGTAGATCGAGGAACGTTAAATGCCCACACAACTTCGGAAATGGAATGTCCCATCCGTCTGGCACCCACTATCATGCCTCGATCAAACTCTGGTAATTTACATTGCTTTGCAATAAGCATGCTGACCAGTGTTCAACCTCGCTCACAAGATAACACCTCACAGCTTAGACAAGTGTGGGCATCCCAAGCCTGAGGAAACGCCACTTCATGATCAACACCGATCAGGCATAACATTATGACCACCTCCTTGTTTCTACACTCATTGTCCATTTTATCAGCTCCACTTACTATATAGGTGCACTTTGTAGTTCTACAGTTACAGACTGTAGTCCATCTGTTTCTCTGCATACTTTGTTAGCCCCCTTTTACCCTGTTCTTCAGTGGTCAGGACCCCCAAGGACCCTCACAGAGCAGGTACTATTTGGGTGGTGGATCATTCTCAGCACTGCAGTAACACTGACGTGGTGGTGGTGTGTTAGTGTGTGTTGCGCTGGTCTGAGTGGATCAGACACAGCAGTGCTGCTGGAGTTACTGCTAGTCCAGGGCTTTTGGCACATCAGTGCATATGACAATAGCTAAATATGCTAAAAGTACTAACATTATGAGTTTCTCAGTTAACTTGATGAGCCCTTTACACAATCATTATTTTTTAATACAGCGATCAACACGTCATACTATTGCAGTTTGCATTCTGGTGGTCATGTATTAGTGCTTTGTGGCTGCATCCCAACCTGGAACAGTAAACAACAGATAAATAACACTGCTTATGGCAAAATAAACAAACAATCCAAACAGAACTCAGTCACTGTGTTAAGTTTCATTACAATAAGATCTATAAATTGTTTCAATAAATATGACTCTGCTTTCTTCTAGCACTTCTTGGAGTTATATAGGTAGTGTTGTTATGAGGATGACACCTAATAGTGTACAGCAGTGCCTGCTGTCTTGGGTGACGCTCGCGCATACAGGTTTCAACAGTGGACGTCGGTACAAGACAGTGGCTGTGGTAGGCTGGCTCGTAAACATACAGAGCATCCAAAACACATAAAACAGAATGAACTAGGAGTACTCACACCATCCAGACTCCTGCAGCGATGTTTAAGGGGTGCACCGTCACACAGTTCCAAACCCCCATCACTGCACAAGCTAGAGAGAGAGAGAAAAACATTAGAGTGACCAATAAATTAAGAACTGATAGCAGAAAAAAAGCACTGTAATTCACTTTTACATGACCATTTTCCAAACTCTTGTTATCCCTTATAACTAAAAAACTTTGACCATTTTCCAATTAGACTTGAGTTATATAGCAACAATAATTATAACTGGAGTTGTCCATTCTTCGGTCAAAGTACGGTAGATGGGCGTACCACTTCTGCACACCATTCATTCCTATGGGGAAAAAACTGTTATTTAACGTCGATTCTATGAAAAGCGTATGTTGGATCAAAAAGCTGCATACGAGCACACCATTCCAGATGGAATGGTGTCGAGAACTGTGGAAGAGTTAGCGGACAAAAAAATTGTGTACCAAAAAGAATAAGGAAGAAGATGATGCTGTTGGATAACAATAGTGTCAGTATATAATATATGACAATAGTATAGACATATATATATATACACACACACACACACACACACACACACACACACACACACATTATAATTTGAAAATACCTGTCATGCTTTACTTTGTGTGTAAATTCCATGATGAATGGCTCAAATTGACTTCTGGTTCCATTGACTTACATTAAAAGTAAAGCAGTATTTTTCCTTCCCCTGTAAAGTTCATTTCGGAGATACAAGGTTTTGTTCCGACAACAGTGATATATATATATATATATATATATACTGTATATATATATATATATATATATATATATATATATATATATATATATATATATATATATGTATATATATATATATGTGAGGAATCTGCAGTCGAGAGACCGAGAATCTTACAGGCCACACTCACATTTTTCTGAGGTTTTACTGAACAACTGTGTAAGTCACTGGGGTTATGGCACATAGGCTAGAAAGAACAGAGAGCTATTCATGAGGGCTGAACACTCACCCCAACCACCCACCCCCCACACACTATGCATGTGTTGAGGTCTTGTGCACACTACAGCTCTGTCTCCCTATTGAATTATACTGACTGCGTGGTGGACGCCCTCTGCTCTCCTCGACTCTGTGTGCACGGTTGTGCATTTGAGGTATTTACTGTTAAAATAACTTTATTGTTTCGTTTCTCAATCTGGAATCACAGTTGCTACTTCAGCACACTAGGTGGCGATACATGACTTTTACTCACAAGACAGGCCAGAAGCAGAAGTCTAGCCATTCACTCACAACAGCACAATCCCATGAGACAGGGGCACAGTTGGCTAGTTAGTTAGCTAGCTAGTTGCCCCCCCAAGTGACCCTACATGTAGGGTTCGCGAGCATGGGTGGGTGCTCGGCAGAGCAAGCTCTATGTCTGTTAGAGGGTTTTACACATGTCCATCCTCCCCATTACAGAGTTTACAACACTTATCGTCAACTATATCTCTGTGTATCTACGATATTCCTAAGACTCATTGTACATAGCAATCTGCTATGAATGACCCGAAAAGCTCTGAGGCATACCAGTATCTTCATAACAGTAAGGCTGGGCGGGTTCTAGTGAAGACGGTAGACAAACAGGTTCGCTGCACTTTGTAGAGCAGTTTGTGATCAAAACATTTTGTCTTCAGCTACTGATTTAGCTTTGCTTGCCTTGACAGCCACGAACCGAGCATGCAGTCCCAAAACGTCAAACACATCTAGCATAAAACGAAACAACCACTTAGCAAGCTAGCGCCGCTGCACCGGCTTTGAGAAAACAATGTTTAACAACTCTTCTGTTCACAACTGCAAGTTAGCGACTGAATACATTTCACAAATGAATGGTGTTCGGGGTAACAGCCTTTAGTTTAATGTTAGTTTAGAGCTGTGACTAATAACAGAGAGGAACAAAGAAGGCAGAGAGGATGAGAAAGGAATGAGAGCAGAACAGAGAAAAGCTCAGTTGCTATGACAGCTGTGTTGCCATGACGGTTCTCAATTGAATGGTGTCCCAACAAAGAATGAAAGAAGAACAGGCCTGGACTCATAAGTGTTCCTTTCCTCAGGGCCCATAACAGATCAAATACACTCATAAAGCCCTTCACTACATTGTTCAGTGAGCTTCTGTCTCGCTGACACTGCTGGACACAAACATTCAAAAAAACAAAAAAAACAAAAACACATTTATACAATTTTCTGGACTTTTGCTTCGAAGGTTTGTGTACTGAAGATGTATTCTTGAGAATATGAGAGAGCTAACGTTATTAGCCTAGCCACATATTTCACCTCATACCTTTCAGCTGAAAATAGTGGGTTTGTGCAGAGTTAGCTAGCCGATACCAAACCTGACAAATCCGCTGATACTGGAAATTTTATTCCATTAAGTCTATACAAGCAGAGTGTAAAATGAAGTTGAACTTTGTTTCTTTATGAGCGATTTTCTGCAATACTTCCTATGTGCTACAGTTCTGTCTTTTCTGCTACCTGGCGCTAAAAACTCGGAAGTGCAGACAACAGTCAGGTTTCAAGATGGCTTTTACTCTACTATATGGCTAGGCTAAAATATGTGGCTAGGCTAATAACGTTAGCTAGCTCTCAGAAAATCGCTGATAAACAAATAAGTTCAACTTCATTTTACACTCTACTTGTAAAGATTTAATGGAATAAAACTTGCAGTATCAGTTAGCAGATATATCAGGTTTGGTATCGGCTAGCTAACTCTTCACAAACTCACTGTTTTCAGCAAAAACGTGGTGAAATATGTGGCTAAGCTAATAACATTAGCTCTCTCATACCCTCAAGAACACATCTTCAGTACCTTTAGTTAGGGAACATAATTGTACCATATTTTGCTGCATTTATATATGCCTTGTCTTTACTCCAGGATTTATGTTTTATTGTTGTATTTTAAAATGTAACGGTTATGAAAAGATGCAAATATGCACCTTTTCTCCAGGAAAGTGAATGTAATAAACCTTTGAGGGTACATACACTGTTTGTGCCTTGAACAAAAATATACCTGTAAAGAACCCCTTTGTTCTAATGGTGTACTATGGATTTGTGGTCTAGGTTTAATATAGCTCAGGATTACAGAGATGCTGAGTGGCGTCACTATCTCTGGTCACAGTCTCCTGATGCGTCTGTGTGCGGTAGCCCATAGCGTTCAAATTCCTGTCTAGTTTTTAGGGGGTATTCAATCATTTTTGGAATAATGCCTTAAAAATTTGAACCGAATTAGACTGAAATGCCCATTCCTAGTTATGAGGAGCCTCTACCTGTTTTTTTTTAGTTCCAACATGTCTAATAAAACACATCAAGCCAGTCATCAACACAAGTTGCCCAGGTCTGGGCCTGAGGGTCACTGTTGTAATATGCCCTGAACTGGCTTCCCTGAGAAAACACCCTGCTTTCATGCATGAACATGAGGAGTGTGGCAAAACTGAAGTGCCTTGTAAGGCCCGTTTGCAGGAGACCTGGTGGGTCTGGGGAATCATTTGACTGATCAATGGTGCGGAGCCGCCTGTCTGTCAATGCACCTTTGTCCAGGGAGACAATCCAATCAACTTTATTGATCACCAATACAACTGTCCACTCACTTCAGTGGTCTGCCCTCATTGTATTGTCAACTGCCATAATGAAAAAATGATGTAGTAGCTCATATGTTAAAGTGTGTTCATTCATTCTTCAACTGCTTTCTTGAAACGTGTGTACTTTATAACACGCCTTTCTGGTCGTCTGCAGCAAGAACCAGTTTCGGTGAATGAGTCATTTCATAGCTTTCATAGTTCTTTCATAGCTATTGTTGCTAGCTGGCCATGCTAGAACAGCTGATTACCAGTGCTGGTATAATGCAGTACAAAGCATATTGCAACACGTTCCACATTAAATTCTCATAGTTACCTTACAGTCGCTGACTTAAGAATTACATTACTTGTGTTGCTCATACTTCTCTAAGAGAACAATATTAATAATATGCAGGAGTAGAGCAGTGTTTCCCACACGAAGGCTATACCTAGGTATACTGGCAGCCACCCAAGAATGTTTTGTCCCATTTTACCAATTTTATCCCACTTTTACAAAAGATGTTTTATGTATAAAAAAGAGCAAAATGTCACAAAATGTGATGCACTTATGTTTTCTCTTACTTTTCAATTCCAAACTATAAGAGTCTTATTAAAATACCCAGTTAAGTAAACAGACAACATGCTTCAGTACCAAAAACCGGTTAGGTGTGGCTTTCAAGAAGGGAATATTACAAACATTACACTGATAAGAATACTGCAATCACGTCAGCTATCACAGATTTTGAATCGATTTATGTTGTTTTAATAATAATGGATATTTGTGAATGTGTGTGAAAGTTGGTCTGTGGTTTGATAAAAGAGAAAAATTGCAAAAAAAACAAAACAAAACAAAACAAAAAACAAACAAAAACCAAATCTATAAGGCAAGCTTTCAATGTTTGGTCAAAGTCCATTTTTAGGCAAAAACATGAAATATTATGGCCAGGGGCACCGAAATAGTGACGATCCACGATTATGTGCAATGCAAATAGAACAAAAATTTAATGTGTGCCAGACTGCGTGACTTTGATTGTGAATACAACCACCTTTAAAAGTTTCCAGGATTTTTTATGGGGGTGAGCAATATGGCATTATTTTATCATTATCGTAATAAAATATGTTACAATATGCTTTTCTGAACATACTGTGAATATCATCAGTACTTAAAGAACAGTGACTTACTACATGCTTCATTACAAAGTGAGCATAACTAGTCTTGTTTAAATGGATTTTGTGCAGTGCAGTTACTAAATCACTGTATAAAAATCATTGTAGTTGTAGGTTTATTATTATTATTATTATTATTATTGTTGTTATTATAGCATTACAGGTTCTATTTTGTTTGTTACAACTTATTAAATCACAAACAAACTTTCAGCCTTCTGTAAAGCTCGTCCAGCCTAACAGTAGCTAGGAAAGAATGCGTTTGTGGAAATCCCGGTCTCTCCCCTCACATCCAGTCCATGTGTTCACTCCGATCCAGCTCTCAGCACCCTTGACCCAATCATTGAGGAGCCCTGAGCACCGGTGACAGAGTGAAAACATGGACTAGAATCCGGATCCACCTGCATTACACTGAACACTGTGCTCTGGCACTCTGCAGAGGCCACCTCCAGTCCTGTAGGCCACCTACACTTGCAGTTTCATACATATGTATGACAAAAGTATGTGGACACTTCTCTTAATGATGAAATTCAGGTGTTTCAGCCACACCCATTGCTAACAGGTGTATAAAATCAAGCACATAGCCATGCAGTCTCCATAGACAAACACTGGCAGTAAACAATGTCATATTGAGGAGTTTGGTGACTTTAAATGTGACACTGTCATGGGATGGCACCGAGACACATGTCAGTCTGTGAAATTTCTGTCCTGCTAGATCTGCCCCAGACAACTGTAAGTGCTATTATTGTGAAACGGAAGAGTCTACAAGCAACAGCTCAGCTACAAAGTGGTAGACCACGCAAACTCACAGAGCGGGGTCTCAAAAGTACTCTCTTGATTGAATAGGGCACAAATTTTCACAGACACACTCCAAAATCTTGTGGAAAGCTTTCCAGAGGAGTGGAGGCTATTACAGCTGTGAAGGGAGGCAACTCTATATTAATGCACATGGTTTTGGAATGGGATGTTTAACGAGCTTATATAGGTGTGATGGTCAGGTGTCCACATACTTTTGGCCATATAGCCTATTTCACTGCTTCTGAAAGAGCGGTGAAACTGGCTAAACCTAAACCTTCATCTTTAGGTAACAATGTGATGGTGAACTACAGGAGTGACCCATGTTTAATATAACAGTAATAATAGACTGCCATACGTACAGATGCCACCCAGGACAGCAGCAATTTTGCAGATCCACCGGTACCACCACGACATGCCATCGTCATCGTTGGCTGTTTTGGCTGGAGCTGTGGCCTCCTCTGAGCTCATCTTACAACTCAATTATTCACAACACCTGCAGATCACCAGTGCACACGGTCACTGAGTCCTTCTCTGCTCTGCTCCACTTCAGTCCAGTCCAGTCTAGTCTAGGGAAGGGCAACATGACAGTATATAACATTACTGTGATAAATTATATCACAATAAAATAAGCTTTTTTTTAACATATTGTGTATATCAGCAGTACTTGGAAAACACTGACCAACTGCATGTTTCATTATGAAGAGAGCAAAATTAGTCTCGTTTAACTGGATTTAGTGCAACACTATGCCAAACACTAAATAAAAATCAATGAGTTCAGAGTTTTTGATAGTATTTTTGGCCGATTTTTGGAAGTTTTGGGCCAATTCTGGTTTTCCGATGCGATTGTTGGGCTGATGTTAGGCACGCGGGCCAGAACAAGGCCAGATGTCGAACAGCTTTGCACAGTTTTACCTTGTGTCTACATTTGTGGGCCAGTGCCATCAATACTGTGGACTAAACGTGTACTTAGACCAGATGTGGGCCACATCCACTAGATCTACTCATTTTACAGTGTTTGGGCCGGATCTGGGCCAGAACAAACCCAAAGATGTCCACCAAGTGGGCCATACAAATTTTGCTGAGATATTATATATCATGAAAATTTCTTTAAGTATCGCAATACTATATTTTTGCCATATTGCCCACCTCTAATCCAGTCCAGTCCACTGTAGTCCAGTCCAGTGCTTCTCACAACGCTTTCAAAGTACTAGACAGCCACAGTAACGGCTCCAGTAGGTTAAACGACAGACGTTATCAAACCAGTCGACGGTGAAAGGTCCTCAGATGTGTCGTCTGGTGATCCAGATGGCAGAAAAGTGAGAAACAGTGAGCCGCCTGTTTATCTGCCTGCGTCCTGCTTTATCATCGGCACACTCAGGCATTAATAATACAGCAAACCCAGCCGGATAACTCCTCCAAACTGCAGCCGATCCTTCCGCACTTCAGCGTTTGGAAAGCTGTAAACCTGATCTAACAATCCCCGCGGAGCTGAAGCTCCTCCGATGTAAAGGCTGACTGTATTTTCTCGGGATAATTCAGTGGCCCATTGTTTGGCTTCTTCTCTCGGAGGTTCCCCCGGTTGCGTTGCGTTATGGGCGGAGTCTATACTACGTCACTGCGCAACGTCACCCGTTTCAAGTAGACGATGCACGGGTTTTCTGGAATAGACTCCGACTCTCGACTCCTGCCAATGGCATCGACTCCACTTTATTTTGAGCAGCTACAGATTACGGTGATATGATGAAAATTTGGAATTATACCAAGTAATATCGTCGATAGCCTACATGATTACAGCTGACTAATGTTTCGACACGTCTTACCATCAGCATTTACATTATTTCACATGATGACGCTGCTGAAGGGGCCAGTTAGGCAGATTTAAGGTAAATTTGTCCAGTGCAGCTGTTGTTATCTTCTTCTTCTTTCCACGAGGCTGAATTTGGCTACTTCACCAGTTTATTGTTCGAATATTGTTTACTGTTGTGTTTTGTTTTCGCTCCTCGCTTCAGTCAGAAAACGCGGAGTCGACAGAGTCATTTCCAGGACTCGACCCCTGCTCCCAGTCGTGTTGGAATCACAGAATCGATTCTTTTGGAATCGACTCTCCGTCTGATGTCTATTCCCAGGCCATCTCTGAACACCTCACGCCCAGTGGCCCCCCACAACAGCTCATCAACGGCTCACACCAGAACAGCTAACGCTCCACATATACCACTATCATATAACTCCAGATCCCCCGCGACCCAGAAGAATAAGCGGCTTAGAAAATGTGTGCTTATCTCCATTTTTTGCCGTTTTTCGTTATTTGACATAATTTGAAAAGGCCAGTTGCCCTTTATGATGTGTCAAAATTTCATGATGGCCCAAAATTATTTATCCATTTACTTATATATATCTATATATCTATATCTATCTATATATATCTATATATCTATATCTATCTATCTATATATATATATATATATATATATATATATATATATATATATATATATATATATCTTTTTGTACATATTTTTCTAGAATCTGCCACTTTGTTCATTCATGCACTTCTATTAAACACTTTCTGGTAGATGCTAAACTGTAGTCTGTTGCCTTGTACCTGTACATGCAATAATCTCTATCTATCTATCTGTCTATCTTTCTATCTATCTATCTATCTATCTATCTATCTATCTATCTGTCTGTCTGTCTGTCTGTCTATCTATCTATCTATCTGTCTGTCTGTTTATCTAACAGTAGCTGCTATGTTATACACTGCACTCCTGTATACACTGGCTGTTTCAGTGTTTCACTTTCTATTTGACAGGACTGTATATTTTTAATATTGTGTATTTACACCATGTGTTTGATACATATATACATTGCACTGTATTTCTATTTGCACTAATACTACATACTGTGAAATTTCTTAAGTCATACATTTTACTAACACTTCTTTTTTACATAATAAAAGTAGACAATCATTATCATGTTAAATTACATCACATGTCACAATATGCCTCTTTGAGTATGTCATGGATAGGGTCAATACATCAAAAACGCTGATCAGCTGCATGTTTAATTGCAAAGAGCTCATAATTAGCGCTGCTAATTGGAATTATTGCAGTGCAGGATGTGAAATGTTGAATATGAGTCATTGTATTCATTGTATTTAATGTAGCACTTCTGGTTCTTTTTTGTCTGTTCTGTTCTGAACCTGCTTTACCTGAATTCTCCTCAGAGCTGTGCATACAACCGCTGGGCTTATTTCCATAGATTCACAACTCATCTGTACACACCCTCCCATGAGGCCCTGGGTGTGTTTAAACTGACTCAAAGGTCCCTACATAGTGGACTACTATCCTCAGAACGAAAGTGAGTGACCGGACTAGGCCTAGAGTTACGTCTCAAATCACTCCATTGCTCACTTTGTTGTGAACCAGTACTACAAAATAAAAGCAGGCTAAGTGACCTGATTACCAGTTTTAGAATAATAGAAAGTGCCATGGATATACATGAAGGAAGTGGTTGAGATTCAATATTAAATGCAATCTTTGGTATTGGTTTGATAATAATAATAATAATAATAATAATAATAATATTGATAATAATAATAATAATAATAATACATTACATGATTACCTGTTGGAGTTCCAAAAAGTCAACATAACTGCAGAACAGAACATGACCAGATTTTATTACCTTCAAACCAGAAGACTAATGGGGTCTTTGGACAAACCTTGTAAACTTGGGACAGTAGGAAAAGTCATAATTATGAAATACTCATTATTATAAGACTTAGTCATCAGTATGAAATGCTAAGTCCTAGTAATGAGATGCTACTTCATAATTATGAAATACTAAGTCGTTATTATGAGATAATAAGCCATTATTATGAGATGCTAAGTCACAATTATGAGATACTAAGTAATAATTATGAAATGCTAAGTTGTAGTAATGAGATGCTAAGTCTTAGTAATGAGATGCTAAGTCATTATTATGAGATTCTAAGTCATTATTATGAGATAATAAGCCCTTATTATGAGATGCTTAGTCACAATTAAGAGATACTAAGTCATAATTATGAGGTATTAGCTCATAGTTATGAGATATGTCATTATCATGAGATGCTAAGTCATTATTGTGAGATACTAAGTCATTATTATGAGATGCTAAGTGACTATTATGAGAAACTAAGCCATTATTATGAAATGCTATGTCATAGTAATGAGACGCTAAGTCATAATTATGAGATATTAAGTCATTATTATGAGATAATAAGTCATATTTCCTGGATACTTAGTCATAATAACAAGATGCTAAGTCATAATTATAGAAAACTTTCTCATTATTATGATTTTATAAATGTCTGTATGTTTTTTCCAGTGACACAAACGGGCTTCCGCAATGTTATGAATATTGATCATTGGTTTGAGGCGGTTTCGTCAGAGTGAGGTCATCGTGAGGGGAAGTGAACGAGGGCGCGATGGGAGCGACTCGAATCGAGCCTCCCTCGTCAGATGGTGTGTAGATCTGCGGAGCTACAGCGCAGCAGCCCGGACTGCCATAAACCCCCCGAAAAGAAGAAGAGCATCCGAGCTGGGAGCTGGCTGGAGTCCCCCCGCCTGCACAACCGTCACACAAGAGGATGAGTTTCTTATTGTGAGTCCCCGAGAGTCGCTAACGCCTGTTTTTGTTGAGAAACTGTCCTAAAATGTCAGAGTTAGCTGCGTCTCTGTGTTACTGAGCTAGGCGGTTAGCCAAACAAGCTGCTGTGGTTCTAGTGCTGCTTAGCCTGCCTAGCTACCACGACCAGCTTAGCTGTTCGCTGATACAGTAATTTGTCTAATTTGACACGAAAAGTCTTAATTGGACAGTAAATGTCCCAAATGTTCCGGCTGCTAAAATGGTTTTCTACGAAGCTTCCTATTCGCCAGCTTCTTATTTGAATTTTCCCGTTCTACCTTAAATGGTGCAGCAGTTACATTCTGGCGCCTCAGGCGTTACAACACTAAGTGCTGCACCATTTAAGGTGGAACGGGAAAATTCTAACAACGAGGTGGCGAATAGGAAGCCAATGTTTGGTTGGCAATATCTTATGTAATAAATATATGTTGCCGCTCAGTTTCACCTGTTTTCACTCTGAATTCGTTTCTTGAACAGATAACCCTGCTGGAAAAACCCATAGAAACCATTAAGTCTTGGTTCCTGATGGTTTTGTAATGTGTTTTGGCTTTTTTGATGGGTTGATATCACGATGTAAAGGCCATAACATTAAAACCACCTCCTTGTTTCTACACTCAGGAGCACTTTGTAGTTCTACAGTTACAGACTGTAGTCCATCTGTTTCTCTGCATACTTTGTAACCCTGTTCTTCAGTGGTCAGGACCCCCATGGACCCCCACAGAGCAGGTACTATTTGGGTGGTGGATCATTCTCAGCACTGCAGTAACACTGACGTGGTGGTGGTGTTTTAGTGTGTGTTGCGCTGGTCTGAGTGGATCAGACACAGCAGTGCTGCTGGAGTTTTTAAACACCTCAGTGTCACTGCTGGACTGAGAATTGTCCACCAACCAAAATATCCAGCCAACAGCGTCCTGTGGGCAGCGTCCTGTGACCACTGATGAAGGACTAGAGGATGACCAACACAAGCTGTGCAGCAGCAGATGAGCTATCGTCTCTGACTTTACATCTACAAGGTGGACTGACAAGGTAGGACTGTCTAATAGAGTGGACAGTGAGTGGACACAGTGTTTAAAAACTCCAGGAGCCCTGCTGTGTCTGATCCACTCGCACCAGCACAACACACACTAACACGCCACCATCACGTCAGTGTTACTGCAATGCTGAGAATGACCCACCACCCAAATAATATGCAGGTCCTGTGGGGGTCCTGACCACTGAAGAACAGGGTAACAAAGTATTCAGAGAAACAGATGGACTACAGTCTGTTACTGTAGAACTACAGGTGCTCCTATGTGGTCAGTGGAGCTGATTAAATGGACAGTGAGTGTAGAAACAAGGAGGTGGTTTTAAAGTTATGGCTGATTGATGTACAGAGCTTTACTAGACTATGGCAGCCTAAACTGGTGATTGGTTTGAGCTGACTGACCTGAAGTTGGCTGAAAAATCAAGAACTTGAGTTCATTGTCTTTGCAGTCCTGTTGGACAGGAAGGAGGACTTGGACGGAAATGTTGTGAGGAAGCAATGCGTGATGTGAATAACCCATGACTGCTCTCTCAAGACATGTCAAATCATGAAAAGGGAACTGCTTTTCTGTCCACAGTGAGCAGCTCAACAAATGGAGCTTTTCTCTGAGTATACTTTCCCCGAATTGGGGTTTGCGCATTCTTGTGAAACGGCCCACATCATAGGAAACTGAATTTCCTCTTTTGTTTTTGGAATAAGAGCTCGATGTAGGATGTAAACGTTGTTAAAAGTTTAAAAAAGTGCCAGTTCGTAATGTGCATACATGCAAAATAATCTGCGGCCTATTTTCGCTGTATTTGTGACGTCAAAAAAAACAATATATTTACATATATCTACCAGTTCAGTGAGCTTGGAAGATAATGTACATTTAGACAGACTGCAGAATTATTGTGATTTACAGAATCCTTGTGATCCAAATTCAGTTGTAAGCATTACAGAGCTGAAACTTGCATTTTCCCTGATGTTAACATAATTCCCATATAATTACCAATGGGGCTAACCTCTGATAGTACTTAATAAATCATTTATAACAATAACTATATCGCTGCTGTGGGAAGAAAACCTCGTATCTCCATTTTTGTCATTTTTCAGTCTTTGACATAATTTGAAAATGCCCAAAACGGCCCAAAATTACTTTGAGAAAAGTCTGGTTCCATTGACTTACATTAAAAGGAAAGTATGTTTTTTCCTTCTCCTGTTAAGTTACCACTTTGGACGTTTTCTGCTGACAACAGCGATAAAATTGTATACTATATGATTGATAACTATATTGGAAGGCACCCTTTTCTGACCAAGTCCCTTTTATTCTCTGCTGAAGCTCAGATCTCATTAATCAGAGTTTTATTTTGTTTCATTTGCAAGCCCATCATTCTTTGTCTGACCGAAAATCTACGTTATAATCTGGTTACACTTTACAGTAAGTGATGACTAACTGATATTACGGAAAGCATTTGTTAACATGAATAACACAAGATACTACATTAACAACGATTAACTAATTAAGTAAACAAATAACAGTTGCATTAATTTGTTACTAAACATGACATTTTCACTTTACATCAGGTAAATTTAGTACTGAGAAACCCATTGGAGCTTTAGTTGAGCTTCTTAGTCCATTTAGGATCTTCTTTGTCCATTAGTACCCAAAAATGGCTAACCATAATTATGTAGAATCTGATGTGTTTTAGTCATGTTAGTCAACACTTACTCTGAAAACAACGTTAAGTAATGCAGTTGTTACTTGTTTACTTAATATTAGCTAACCATTATTACTGTAGCACCTCATGTGTTGTTCATATTAACGAATGCATTATTTAAGCAATAGAACACTCGAGGTGTGTTATCGCGAAATAACGTCACGGCTGTGATTTGGTTGCAGGCATGAGTCGAAGGCGAGTGTCGTAGATCATCACAGCCGTGATGTTATAGTGATAACACACTCCTCGAGTGTTCTACTGCTTTAATACAACAGTTAAATAAATAAAGTAATAAATTAATAAACTGGGCCGTGAACGCGGCGTTTAATATGTTTTAATGTTCGCAGTTCCTTCACCAAATTATAGTTCCTTAACGAGCAGCTCGTTGCTACGTCAGAGTAACGAGCTCCGCCCACTCGCTGCACAGCCGGCAGTTCGTTCTCCAGCTCCTTACACTAAATTCCCAAACTGTCATCACCACTGAGCAGCTTTTCAGTCGGCAGCTGTGACAGAAGAACAGCTAAACAACCTGGAATCAGCCAGAAATGAACCCAACACCATTCGCCAAACGTGTAGTCTGATCTTCAGAGTCTGACCAAATCAGACAGCCATAAAACTGCCGCAATATCAAGTTTAGCTCAGTTTTGTCAGTTTTTGCCAGATCAGTATTAATGTTGTTTTGTTCCAGCCAGTCTGTAAAGCATCTTACAGCCCATTTAGTTTGGCGAATGGTGTTGGGTTCATTTCTGGCTGATTCCAGGTTGTTTAGCTGTTCTTCTGTCACAGCTGCTGACTGAAAAGCTGCTCAGTGGTGACGACAGTTTGGGAATCTAGTGTCGTCTCATCTTCAGAGTCTGACCAAATCGGCTGTCGGTCAAATGTGATCTTAAAAGTGTCCGTTTTCTGTTTGTGGTAAAGTAAGAAGTAAAAATGTTCAAATGGCTTGAGCGTCTCCTACAGCTGTCAAAGTCGTTGCTTAGCAACGGCATCTCAACGGAGTGATACAGTGTTTGTGAAAAACATGCGATGTTATGGTGAAATAACAGCACAGTTAGAACGCCTCTCAACCAGTCAGCTTGCGTGGCCGGAACTAACTGTTGTATAATTATTATTAGTAAACACTTATTGTAAAGCGTCACTGTATGTTAGTTTTTCTAATTGATGCTCAATGTATGTATGTATGTATATATTTCGTTAATTAGTTGGTTTTGTTTGTGTAGTCTCTAATTAAGTGCATTTTTTTCGGTTTTATGCAGTTTTAACTAACTGTAGGTTAGAATAATTGTACAAAGGCAATGAGTAGATAAAGGTGAAGCAATGAAAAAAGAGAGAGCCTACAGCAGTTAGCCCCGCCCATTCACCCTGAAGTTATAAGGAGTGTTTCAGTCTGCTTTTTGAATGATACGCAGTCAATCAGAACAGAGCTCATTTACATATGTCAGTCTTAAAGGCACAGTAACAAAAACAGCCTGTTTAATTGTAAGGGGTAAAGAAGGGTTGGAAAGTGGTCATGTAGAAGTAAATTGTGACTGTTTTTGATAGATAAACCCATGTATAAGTTTATAAATGTATCTCTCTCTCTCTCTCTCTCTCTCTCTCTCTCTCTCTCTCTCTCTCTCTCCGTGTCCTCCCTCACGCCTGTCTGCCTGTGTCTGTTTTTCCTCTTAGTGGAAATCGCTCGTCTAAGACGTTCAAGCCGAAGAAGAACATTCCGGAAGGTTCTCATCAGTATGAGCTGCTGAAACATGCTGAGGCCACGCTGGGCAGCGGGAACCTGCGGATGGCCGTGATGCTCCCGGACGGAGAGGACCTCAACGAATGGGTGGCTGTCAACAGTAAGAAGGATCTTACATGCACTTTTCTCCCCTGCTTAGTCATTTACATTTCCCACCCGTTCTCTCACGATGCTACCAAGCTGGGAGGGTGAAGGCCAGAACTTCACATGCACATGTGTCAGGCTCCAGTCCTCGTGGTCCAAAATACAGCAGACTTCAGCCTCATTAAAAACACCTGATTCAGCTCATCAGCTGATTAGCAAGACCTTCATGAGGTCCCCAGTTTGACACGCGTGCTCCACTGCAACTAGAATGCCTTTTGAAACAAAGGCATTCACACTATTAAAAGAACATTGAGTGGCAAAACTTTATAGGCATCAGGTTCTGTGTTTTACTATTAAGCTCAACAAAAAAGCCATTCACTGGAAGAGGAAAAAAGGCAGGAACATGAAATATGAAATTGCCTCCCGCCAACCAACAAACAAACCAAAAAATAATAAAAATAACAAAGTGTTTGTTATAATGAGAGTAAGAATATGATAGTGTTTCTTTTAAAGTGATAGAATATTAAAAAAATGAAAATGTTTGATAGTTAGAGCGTGATTGGGGGAAAATAAAGCTCACAGCTAAAATGGGGAATTAGTGTGGAAGGACCCAAACCGTCACAGTTACTACTGGCAATAACGAAAAGCATGCTGGGATTTTGTATGAATTGTTTCTGACTCATAACTCATTGGAAGAAGTGGCGAAAGTGCAAATTCTAAACTTGCAGTCTGGACCACATTCATGTTTGTGAGTAGAAGAGCAGATTGTTGTTGTACAGACTTTGTTTTTCAGAAAGAAAAAAATATCCTTTCAGTGAAAAAACTGTCAAAACAGAATGTAATGTATGCAAAGTAACTATGTGGTTGGCATGACAATGTATTTACATTTCAGTAGTATAGCTCAACCACAGTAATAACTTCACCGTTGACAAATTCAGAATTCTGTCAGCGTTCGTTAGTGGATTTCATGTTGTCTGGATGTCTGCTGAAACACTGGGTTGGCTGGAGCTCTCCAGAGCACTCGGTCCTTTCAGATGGTGACCATGGCAACTGGCCATAGACGAAAAGGCAAATGTCACTTTGGCTGACCAAGTTCTTCAGCACTGGCTCTAGGACTGCTTTTGTTAAGAAGAATTCACTGTCCTGAAGTGTTTTAGGTGTCTCGTCAGTCAGATTTGGTGAATTGATCGTAAATTTGGCGGACTGGAAGGCTTAGATTGGTGTCGGCAAAATTCTAGATTAAAAATATTGCTTTACTCGCATCATGATTTTTCACTGAACAGTTGTGTCATGTTGATTTTTCATTAATTTCACTTTTACATTATGAATTACATTTACATTTGTTTTACATGTAGTATCACCAGTTCTTTCCCTTTTTAAGTCAAAAACATGCAAAAACATAACAAAAATGTCAAACGTTTATTCTTTTTTTTGAAACAAGACTTCATTATATAACTACATCATGTAACTTCATTATACTCGAATCATAATAAAATATGTCCTCGTCTTCTTACAAACAAACATGAGGCGATGTCAGAGTAGAGCTGCTTTTTGTTCCCTTTACACGCTGTTAGTGTCTCTGTTTACATGCAAAGATTTTCTCCAATCTGATTGAACACATTCCGATTATAGATTAAGACTGAGGTGTTTATTCTCACTCTACTCAACACTCTGATTAAAATCTCTGTTTACATGCTCGCTACAAGTAATCAGATCCAAAATGACGCACATGCATAAAGAACCGCTTAGTGTAAACGTTACCATGACAGCGAACATCAAGTGAGTCCAGTCAGAGTGAGATGAGCAGCAGTGAGCAGTGCTTGTGTTTTTAATAGCTTTAAAATGATGTCAGACTCAGGAAAACGTCCTTCACATGTCCTTATTAAAGAAGGCCGAGAGGAGGACGTCGTGTTCTGAGACACATAAGCTGGACGTCCGTCCCACCGCCGTCTTTTAAAGATCAGAGCATAAACTTCGTCTCCTCTGCAGACCAGTTTCTGCTCCGCCATGTTGAACGGTATAAACTTTCACCATGACGCGACGAACATGATCAGAACGTACTTAAACTTTCCGATAGGGAATGTAATCAGATACAGGCGTTTACACGGATATTATTCTTCTATTTAACAGATTATTTACAGGATTACCCACCTCGATCAATCGGATATAAACTGTATTCTGAATGGCCTCAATCAGACTAGACTATTCCGATTGAGGTGTTTACATGGACGCATTCTATTCCGATTGAGCCATTAGTCGGACTATTAACGGATTATTAGGCTGCATGTAAATGTGGCCACTGTCGGTAGTCCTTCGCAGTTACGGTGAAATAAGATCCAGTGGTAATGGATGTCCACGCAGCACGTTACAGCCGTCCTACTCGTTTTTAGTGACTTCATTACTTTGGTTTTGGTCTCGTTGTAGAGACGGGGTGGGCGGGGGATCACTGTGTCAGTAAAATATCTTTGAGACGGCACGTGTGCAACATTGCGCGAAAGCCCTGTTTCGCAACGACTGAGAATTGGCAGGCAGACTGCAGGTCACCTAGCAACAATGCGTTATTCACATTTATGAGCAGAGCAGTTGTTTTCCTGGTACGTTAAATCTGCAACATGAGACAGTCAAACACTAAAAAGTCGCAAAGATGAAGTCGCTTCTCTTCCGAATTTTCTCGTTCCACCTTAAATGGTGCCGTATTTACATTTCGGCGCCTCAGTCAGAATTTAAGGTGGAATGGAAAAATTTGAACAAGAAGCTGGAGAATGAGAAGCGACTTCAGCCTCGTAAGACAGCGGAAATGTTGAGAGACATTTTACAAGAAACTGCTCTAGTGCTCTAGTCTTCCTGGATGCTGTTCTCTTTGGCTTACCAGTGTTTTAACTATTGACCAATGCAAATCTGATATTTGGTCACTAAAAACTGCTAAGCTTTGATAAGAGCTGTTTTCAGTTGAAGCGCTCCACTTAAAGATGATGATCTTAAAGTGGTCTACAACGCTTTTGGGACGGGATTAGTTATGTCATGGGATAATGTCATTTTCACTGCCATTTCTCAGTGATTTTAGTCCTGTCTGAATCCACCAGGTCAGTCCTGTAAAGTCTCCTGTGTCTTTTACCTGCTACAAAATATGCCGTAGAAACAACCTCAGGTTGTATACCTCAACGTTTATTTAAAATTCTGCATAATTAAATGGTTAACATTTGTCAGCAAAGTCATTCAGAGTGGTTTGGTGTGAAATGCTCTGTTCTAGAGAAACTCACCGAGTCAGAATTATTCACAGTGGTGGTGATAGGAACCAGACGTCCAAAGTTACCTCAGAGAAATTAATTGGCTGCAGTGGTTCCAAATACAGCTTAATATTTTCAGATTTTCCACTATTTTACCATCATTAACATTCCATATAAGCTCAGAAGACTCGTGTAGGTTCACTGGTGGTTTTGGACAGTAAATAAAATGTCTATATTTGTGTTGTAGTCATGGCAACCCCTGGTTCCTATCACCACCACTGTAAAGACATCTGATCCATTTCACACCAAACCACTCTGAATGGCTCTGTCAGCATTTCAAACACTTGAAGCACCTGAAGAAGCGGTTACTTGTGTTTTCTGTGGCTCAGATGAAGCTGATATGTGTTGTCCGATCTCAGGTGTGCCTCTCTGAACTTTAAAACATGCAAAAAACAACAGAAAACGGCAAGCTGCGTTCACGTATGAGAGCTAGGTAGATGGTTAGGGTAAAGGAAACTGTTTTTATTTTGACATTTTCAACTGTTTTCTGGAGTAAATCGCATGGCCAGATGGTAACCTGGCATTACCCCCACCTCCTCATCCTGTCCCAATAGTACTTAAGATGATGAAACTTCTCACTCTCCTTCCCCACAGGAGGAACTACACATCACACAGTGCTTAGAGCTTATAGTTATGAGCTATGAGGGTCAAATATGTTCTTGTTTTCACTGACCATAGTAACCACGTTAGTGATTGTAAAACACTGTGAGACTTAAACAGGGTGTTGTGCAAAAGTAGAAGTGCTGGTGATCTGATTGTGTCCTGTTCTGAAGTGACCGTGTGGAGCTCTGTGCTGAATCTTAAGTAGGCTGCTTTGTCCTGTTCTCCATTCCAGTGGCACAGCCTTATTTACACAGAGACACACAGTCCAGAACCAGAGACACTCATTTCCGCAGCACACGCACACACATAAGGCTGACGGACAGTGTTTGACCCCAAACAACCCCCCCCACGCCCATCAAAACACACCCACTTTTAGATTGTTTGTAAAGCTTTGTTCCCATGAGAGGTGCATGGAGACTAGCCTTGGGCTGATATTTGATTTTAGTGGTAGGCAGTATAGCCTACGATTTAGATTACAGTATAATTGAAGTTTCTGACAGTTTTCATTATACTGGGTGTCCCAAAAAATTTATATCATTTCGTAGTCTAATAACAGCCAATTCTCCCTCAAATGATCTCAAATTTAAACAAAATGTGTAAAAACTAACCAAGTTTAATTTTTAATGTTTTTCAGGTTGAAGAATGGTGTTCACTAGAAATGATCATTTTGTGTGTTAGAATGTGTTCGAACACACTCAAACGAGAGTGTGCAGCGTGCATTTTCCAGAAAATTCAATAAATGATTCTGATTTCATACAAAATCTTTCATTAGAATTGATATCGTCAGCATAACAATACAATTTCAGTAACAAGTAGAATCTTACCTAGTATCTAAAGTTTGGACATGAATTTCAGAATTTGGTACAGTGTGTCCCTCTGTTGCTTTAATGACACTAGAGCTGCCAAAGCCTCTGATCAGTAGATCAGATCCACCTGAGAGTCGTTTAAACACGAACTTCGAAGATTTAAGACTAAAATCTAGAAGATTTTAATACTATAAAAGAAATCTAACCTTGACAATCGTCAATGTGACAAATTTGCTTGAATTTAAATATTGACCAAGGGAATAGTGCAGAATCTTGAATATATCTTCTTCATTTTATCATGATTTTTTTTTTTAATTCTACTCCTTACTATTATTTTTATTTTATTTACTATATTTACTTATATTTACTTACTACATTTTATTTTATTATTTACATATTTTCAGGTTTAAATAGGTTAAATAGGTTTTCTTCAATGTGGTCTCAGACTTGTGGACCCCACTGTGTGTGTGTGTGTGTGTGTGTATGTATATATATATATATATATGTATATGTATATATATATATATGTATATATATATATATATACACACACAGTGGGGTAAATATATGTGTACACAAACATATTTCTAAAAATAAAAACGTTTTTAGATGCTTAAGCAATCATATTTTTGAACATTGGGCATTTACAAAATGCCAAAAAAGTAGTTTTGTTTGGGGTCGGCAACAATTTAAGTTTAAGTTGAGTTTGTGGTTTGCCTGCTGAAACTGCTGTCTTTGCTTTCTTTAGCCTACATATACTATCTTTAGTCTATTATGTTGAATTAACTGATTAAATAAAAAAAAACATGTTAAGTAACACTGAGCCTTGCCTTTAGGTAATAAACAACTTAATTTCCCATTAGAAATGTATGCTGGTTGGTACAGGTGTTACTGCTGCTGTGGGTTTCCTCCCTTTCAAAGATGGCGAAAAAAAACTCCTAATAGCGCCTGCATGTGGTACACATTAATTATTGTAGAGAAAATTAGTTATCTATATATTTCACAACATGAACATTAAAATACAAACCTTTTACATTAAAATGTCAGTTTGTTACACTTTATGAGATTAATACTTTTTAAGAATCATCTTATGTCATTTTTATCTCCGAGCTATAAATTTACAGCACTTTCAACGTTTATAGCACCGGTGCTAAATGCTCAAAAAAAAGTATCGCTGTTGTTGGAACATAAGCTTGTATGTCCATTTTTGCCATTTTTCAGTTTTTGAGATGATTTCAAAATTATTGTTGTCCTTTACATTGTGTGAATTTCATGATGAATGAATCAAAGGAAAGGGTCCAAAATTACTTGGGAAAAAAAGTCTGGTTTCATTGACTTACATTAAAAGTAAAGTACGTTTTTTCCTTCTCCTGTAAAGTTACCTAGCTTCTGACAACAGCAATAAGAGAATCCTTGGACAAAACCCCAAACTCTGTATTCTCCTACGTCTGTAACATGATTATGACTGTGAGTCACTCTGGATAAGAGCGTCGGCCAAATGTCATAAATGTAAATGTAACTGAATATCAGTGATGTCGTTTATTCAGATAATTCTGCAGACGGAGACCGTTGGTCTAAATTTACATTGCTGTGTAAACTTAATGGACACACAGAGAGCGCACAGTCGTAAAGAGTGAATCTCTGTGGTGTGTGTAGTGTTTCTCTCTCTCTCTCTCTCTCTCTCTCTGTTTTGCATGCTATTCAGTGATAGCTCTGACTGTTATTGCCTTTAAATGCACGTTAGAGTGACTGTGTTGTGTGTTGCATGTGTGCAGCGGTGGACTTCTTTAATCAGATCAACATGCTGTATGGGACCATCACAGACTTCTGCTCTGAGGACAGCTGTCCGGTTATGTCAGCGGGACCCAAGTAAGCCTCTGTGTGTGTGTCTGTGTGTGTGTTAGGCTGGGTGTACAGATTACCTTCTATATGAATGTTTTGGAACCTTTATATCAAGGCTGCACACTACAAGTAGAAATGAAGATTTTTGGCCTGTCAGCATTTTAAGATAAATTGTTTATATCGTATATTACCTTAAACTGTAATCAATAATGTCAAAACTCTGCAGAGGTACATTATATGGACAAAGGTATTGGGACACCTACACATCACACCCAGAGAAGGTTTTATGAGTCCTATTGTGAATCCATACACATTAATATAGAGTTGGTCCCACTTTGCAGCTCTAACAGCTTCCACTCTTCTGGGAAGATTACAAGTCTACAAGATGTTGGAGAGAGTCTGTGGGAATTTCTGCCCATTCACCCAGGAGCATTTGTGAGGTCAGACACTGATGTTGGATGAGAGGGTCTGGCTCACAGTCTCTGTTCTAGTTAATCCATAAGGTGTTTGATGGGGTTGAGGTCAGGGCTCTGTGAGGGCCAGTCAAGTTCTTCCACACCAAACTCACCCAGCCATGACTTTATGGAGCTCACTGGGGCTCAGTCATGCTGGAACAGAAAAGGTTCTTCCCCAAACTGTTCCCACAAAGTTGGAAGCATACAGTTGTCCAAAATGTCTTGGTGATGAAGCACTAAGATTTCCCTTCACTGGAACTAAGGGTTCTAGATCAACCCCTGAAAAACAGCCCCATATCATCATCCCTCCTCCACCAAACTTTACAGCTGGCACAGTGCAGTCAGGCAGGTAACGTTCTCCTGGCATTCGCCAAACCCAGACTCGTCCATCAGACTGATCGATAGAGAAGCCGAATTGGTCACTCCACAGAATACGTTTCCACTGCTCCCGAGTCCAGTGGCAGCGCGTTACACCCCTCCATCCATCGCTTTGTATTGTGCATTTTGATTGTAGTCTTGTGTGGAGCTGTTTGGCCATGGAAACCCATTTCATGAAGCTCTTAACGTGCAGTTCTTTTGCTGATGTTGCTTCCATAGGCAGTTTGGAACTCTTTAGTGAGTGACTCAACAGAGGATAGGCACTGTGCGCTTCAGCACTCGGCAGCTCCACTCAGTGAGTTTGGGTGGTCTAAGGCTTTGTGGCTGAGATGTTGTTGCTCCTAGATGCTCCCATTTCACAATAATAGCACTTACAGTTGTCGGGGCAGATCTAGCAGGACAGAAATTTCACCAGCTGACTTGTGGTGGCATCCTAGTGCCATGATTAAAGTCACTGAACTCATCAGTACAACCCATTCTACTGCCAGTGTTTATTGAGATTGCAAGGCTGTGTGCTTGATTTTATCCACCTGGTAGCAATAGGTGTGGCTGAAACACCTGAACTCAGTAATTAGGAGGGGTGTCCCAATCCGTATGTCTATATATTGTATATTTATTTTAGAAAGTTACTTCTCCTGTAAAGCTACTTTGTGACAACGCTTGTTGTAAAAAGCACTGTATAAATAAACTGTTACTTGTTCTGTATTGAAAAAATCTTTGCTGTAAATGTTGTTTAAATCAAGTGCTCTTTGGTGTCAAGGAAAAACTCACTGAGGTGAAAGAGAGGAAAAAACTCTCCAAACCAAGACACTCCTTTATTGTATTGACATGTCCTGGCTGGACTGTTAAAAATGCCCACATGTAGCAGCTCATGCCTTCTTTAGGGCATAATACAAATGAGCCGAGGGAGGTGTATATACATGCCCAGTTGATCAGTCAAGCCCAAACACAGGTGCCTATGATCAGTCAGATGAAAGGTGCACCAACTAGACCCCATTGCTTCATTGAAGCAATTTCATTGGCTAAACATTCCAACTAATTGATTTTGCGTGTGCAAAGATACTTACCCACTTAAAAGCAATAGCCAAAAAAACACGAAACAAAGTGACAAATGCGTAGAATATAAAACTTTTCAACATTAAAAATAGCATTTAGCATTTGTTTACACACATACAGAAACAGAAATGAGGTAAATCTCACAATCATCACAGTAACAGTCTTTAATTACGGCTTTAGCTTCGTCCAAACCCGGCACAACCATGCCATGTCATATTTCACTGAAAAGCTTGTTTCCTGTAGAGTCTAGCTGCAAATATGTCTATTTCCTTTGTATGACAACATTCTCATTCTAATGCAGTTCTAAGGCCCATCAACATCTCTACATTCAGGAACAAAAATCTCAGCTTCTGCAACACCTGCATTCATGAAGTTTTACAAGGTCATTCCTGGCCATGTTCTAAAGGATTGTACATACTAATATATTGTTAATAGCTGGATTTGTGCTAGATTTTTTACTACAAAATGGGCTGAAAAACATGTATCATGTTTTCTTGATTAAAGAAGAAAACAGTGGGATTTTGCGTGTGGCATTTCCGAGGGGCCTGGGGTGAATTTTAACAGCCCTGTGACTTTTCAGTAGGGATGGAAATCTGAGAATTATGATCTGATATCTGATATTTTATGTGTACATACCTTCTGATGTCAACATCATTTATAAAATGTCAAATTAGGACTAAATCTGTCTGGATTGGCATCTAAGAGAAATATAGCATTTATCTGTAGAGGGTCACAAATGCAGTAAAATGAATAAAATGCAGATATATTAGTATAGTAACCCAACTGAGCATTCTGCTCCTCTGAAGTTTAATAAATACATCAACAAATATCGGTTTGAAATATCGGCCAAATCTAAACATCTATCTGATTGTGTTGGTTCTTTTTTGTGCAAATATCTACTGATACCCATATAATTCTGATATCATTGCACAGCCCTAATTTCCAGCCCTCTGACACGCTGTGCATGTGCGCGTGTGCATTTGGCTTCCTAATAGTTGTGTGTACATTTTCTCACTTTTTGGCTTTAGAGGACCATATAAATGTGCAGGAACATTTGCTACTGAACACTGACATAACCGTGCTATAAACATGCCATAGCAGATGCCATAAGCTGTTCTGACAGCTTTTAACATCCTAATTTTTGCGATGTGCTCTAGTTAGCTGTCATGACATGAAGCATTTGTTGACGCTTGTTATGACAGTTCACAGTAGCAGTAACAGGATGCTGTTATATTACTGAACAGAATCTGTCATTGCAGCTCATGACAGCCTATAACACCTGCTATGATATGCTTATGGCATGGCTATGTTGGTGTTATGTAGTCGTGTGTGTATGTATGTTAATGGACGGCTGTTCTCCTAAACAGATATGAATATCACTGGGCAGACGGGACCAACATCAAGAAGCCAATCAAATGCTCTGCTCCAAAATACATAGACTACCTGATGACCTGGGTGCAGGACCAGCTGGATGACGAAACTCTCTTCCCATCCAAAATAGGTAAAGAAAGCTCTCAGCAAACCTTTAATAAGCGCTGCAAATTAGAGCAGATTAGTGTTACAGAAGGCAGCAGTGTACAGGTTAGACTCCAACCAATCACACAGTAGTTTATTGAGGGCTGTGAGAGTCCTGACTAAACCTCAGATGATCCAGATGAGTGTTTCTGTGGGAGTTTTGTTGAAACAGGGCATTCACATGATCAAATTATAATAGAGGTCTGTTTTTATCCATATCACATCAAAGGGGATTTTAATATACAGAGGATATAAAAAGTCTACACACCCCTGTAAAATGCCAGGTTTTTAAGATTTAAGATTTATTTCCACCGTCAGTGTGACCTATAATCTGTACAATTCCATTGAAAAACAAACTGAAATGATTTAGAGGGGGGGAAATAAAAATAAAGAACTAAAACAATGTGGTTGCGTAAGTGTGAACACCCTCTTATAATTGGGGATGTGGTTGTGTTCAGAATTAGCCAATCACATTTAAACTCATGTTAAATAGTAGTCAGTACACAGCTGCCATCATTTAAAGTGATTTTGAATAACCCATATAAAGTTTAGCTGTTCTAGTTAAGTGGCAAGACGAAAGCCTTTTCTAACAAAGAAAAACATCCAAGCCCGGCTATGTTTTAACAAAACCTACATCAGGTCTGCCAAAAGTATGTGGGAAAACATGTTATGGTCTGATGAGACCAAGGTTGAACTTTTTGGCAATAATTCCAAAAGCTAAGTTTGGTGCAAAGCCAAAACTGCGCATCAACAAAAGAACACCATACCCACAGTGAAGCATGGTGGAGGCTGCATTATGCTTTGGGGCTGTTTTTCTGCAGCTGGAACTGGGGCTTTAGTCAAGGTGGAGGGATGACAATGACTCAAAGCAAACCTCCAAATCAACAAAAGAATGGCTTCGCCAGAAGAAGATCAAAGTTTTGGAAAGGCCCAGCCAGAGCCCAGACCTGAATCCCATTTTAAATCTGTGGGTAGACCTGAAGAGGGATGCCCTCGCAGTCGGACAGATTTGGAGCGCTTTTGCAAGGAAGAGTGGGCAAAGATTGCCATGTCAAGATGTGCCATGCTGATGGACTCCTACCCAAAAAGACTGAACGCTGTCATAAAGTCAAAGGGTAACAAAGTAATAGTTTAAGGATGTGCATATTTATGCAACCACATTGTTTTAGTTCTTTATTTTTTATTTTCCCCCCTCTAAAAGATTTCAGTTTGTTTTTTTAATGGAATTGTACAGATTATGGGTCACATTGAAGGTGAAAATAAATCTGAAATGGTTCATCTTGGTCTACTTGTTTTACATGACGAAAACCTGCCACTGTATGTAATTTTATCCATATTGTGCAGAACGTTTGTAGAATATGCAGGAAATGTGAAATATTATATGCCTATTATAAAATAAGGCATTCAGAAAGCACTTTGTGGGTGGTCTACTGTAGTTTGGATGCATCATGAATTAAGCCACTCTTTAATGACTTCTTATAGTCACTAACAGGTTGGTGCTGATGCAGTCCATCAATGCACCAGTGTGATGCTGTCATAACTCCCTTGTATGTCTATCTTTCTCTTTCTTCTTTCACTTTCCTTCTCTCTCACTATCCAGGAGTCCCATTCCCTAAAAACTTCATGTCTGTGGCAAAAACCATCCTGAAGCGTCTGTTCAGGGTCTATGCTCATATTTACCACCAGCACTTTGACTCGGTCATGCAGCTACAGGAAGAGGCCCACCTCAACACCTCCTTCAAACACTTCATCTTCTTCGTACAGGTAACTCAGCCTCTTATTTTCTCTATTTTCCCACTTATGTCAACTGAACACTCACTAAAAAATTAAGATGAGAACAGTACTTGATTAAACGAATGGAGACTGAATGTAACGGCGCATGATGATGTATTTCACATTTTTAATTTCTGTCGTGGGGCAAAAGTAGATTATCTGCCTCCGATGTAGCTCGATATTAAAATAATCCAGCACCTGATTATAACTTTTTAATTATTAGGTGAATTGCTGTGCCATTATTTTGAGATAATAAGTCATTATTTTGAGATACCAAGTGATTACTTTGACACAGTGTCTCATTATTTTGATTATTGCTCATTGCTGTGTTTCTTCTCTTTTTATTTCTTCAGGAGTTTAACCTGATTGACAGGAAGGAACTGGCACCCCTTCAAGAGCTAATCGAGAAACTGACAACGAAGGACAGATAGAGAGAGACAAAAAGAAGAAAGCGTGATCCTTCTGTCATCTTACTGCTCTCTATAATATGCTCTCTCTCTCTGTCTCTCTCTCTCTCTCTCTCTCTCTGTCTCTTTCTCTCGCTCTCTCTGTTTCTCTTACGCTTTGTACAGACGCCATTCCCTGATTTGTACTCTATAGCACACGCTAAGCTAATGTTAGCTGGGCAACAGGAAACGCTACAAGAAACAAGTTAGCATGATGCTAATGGCTATAAAGGGAGTGTGAACTGGTCACTCTTAACTAGGCGATGTATTTTGTTGATTTGTTGCTTTACAAGGAAGGAAAAGTGTTTATTTTCTAACATCGAGCCTTGATTGTGTTTAGTTTCGCGCGGTTTGAGTGGCCCGCCACCTTGTGGTCGCTCATCGTTATTGCGTCGTATCCACCAGGTAGCGGTGAGGCTGCGCAGTGTCGATCCACTGAATACGTGACGTGCTCGTGTCTCTTCTCAGAGGGGATCTGGGTTATCGGTGTAAGTGAAGCTGACAGCAAAAGGATGCCATACAGATGAATATATAAAGTCTATTTTCCTATGCAATTATTGTGCTATTTTGCTTATCTGTTCTTAACGCTTAGCAACACTAGTCATTAATATCAGTTAATATTTTCTCCCTTAGTTTCTCTGCCTTTCGTTTATTGCATTCCTAATGGACAAAATTGTGATTGAATATGATTTATGCTGGAAATGCTATATGCTGACTTTTTTTAAATACAGATTTATTGGTGTTGTATTAGCAAGCACAGATCTTCACTGTTAGTTGTGTTATATTAGGTGAACATGAGCTTCGTGTAGAAAGAGCGACTCGCTATATTCTATACTTTTACGTTAATGTTTAATAGAGATATTAAAATCAGACTGACTAACTCAGGAACTTTGGGGCCAGAGCCTGTATAGTTTTCCGTCAGTGATTGGAGCTGCTGACTTGTCGACTGTGGACTGATTTTGCACTGATGTTTGGAGTGCAGAGGCCCTCTGTAGTTAGTTTTGTAGATCTGACATTGAAATTGCTGGTGGTGATTTAGGTGGGCATTGACCCTGACATGAATTCTTGGTGTGTTTCTCTCTTTTAAATGTCTTGTTTTTGTTTCTAGTTCTTATTTGTCCACTTTTACTGACCACTCTGAGTTTGTTTTAGTTTATAGAACACTATCTCTCTTTCCTTAGCAGTTTAGTTTGTTTACTTTGAATTGATTTCAATGATTTAACCCTAACAGGTCATTTTTTTCCCTCAGAAATATTACAGCAGGTGTGCCAACTGTTAACTCTTATTGGAAACTTTTAAATATTTATATGAATAGCAATGTTTGCCACTGAGAGATAGATAGATAGATATATTTTCCCTGGATTGTATAATATTTAGGACATTTTTGTTTGATTATATCTAAATGATATGTACAGCTGCGACAGCTGGAATGAGCATTTTACAAAAAGGGTTACTGATGATTGTTTTACAGTAATAAAATGCTGTATATTGGCAAGTAAAAATATAGTGGACGGGTTTTCATTTCAATTTATGGTGATAAGTGGTGCTCATGATATGATAGGATAACTTGGTGGGGACTGGGGAGGTGGGGGCCGAGGGTAATATGTGCAATCCTTATTTTCTCTGTGGAAATGAAATATCATATCATCACACCATTCACTCCCCAGTCCATACAGTCCATAAATGTAAATTGAGCTGTTTTCAATTCACTGGTTCTGTGATGTCACATTACATTCACATATATCCGCCTATTCAGTCTGCAGCGGTTTAGCTCCGCCCACTGTGATGAGGCAAACGTGTTGCCCATCACCAGAGGACTGTGTGTGTAGTACTTACCTGAACACCTACCTGTAATACTCACCTGTCGTCTGTTTCCTAACACCAGCACCAAAAGGGAGGCAGAGCAGACGAAGGTCACTCATGAGCGTGCCGGAGGGCCCACGGCTAGCTCATGAGAGGGGTGATGTGTCTACCTAGGGCACAGAAGACAGAGTGAGACAGGCTAGTCAATGCGCGCACTGTATGAAATGTCCCACCGGTAATTTCACGCGTCAAGACCTTGTGAGATGTAATTATGATTTTATTCACCCTTGTTCTTAATCCACTCTTATAGGACAGCAACACCCCTGCAGAGTGGAATGGTTCAGCTCAGGTGATGCAGGGGTGGGGCTAACCCTATAAGAGGCAGGGGAAGGGTTTAGTAGGGGGCTAGCTCGAGGATACTCACCTCAGACTGCGAGGAGACTGAGAAGAAAGGAGTAAGAGCTGAGCTAAAAAGAGTATAGTCCTGTGGCCCTGTGGCCTGAGACTATTTATACTTACCTGTACTGATCGAGTCGGGTGAACATTTTACCTACCATTTACTTTGTGTTTGTACAGTTTTTCTTTTGTGTGTTTCACCGTGTAAATAAATCTCACTCATTGCAAAGAATCATCCAGAGTCGTCACATCCTCAGCCTGCAACTCCATTCCACTACCCATTCAGTCACAAACTACCCGGTGACTTCGTGTCTCCTAACGGGGTTCGGCAAAGCATCGTCACACCCACTCACACTGAAGTTATAAGGAGTGTTTCAGACTTCAGACTGCTTTCTGAATGAGGCAGAGCCACTCAGAATAGAGCTCATCAGTCTTAAAGGCACAGTAACAAAACAAGCCTGTTTAATTCTAAGGGATAAAGAGAGGTTGGAAAATGGTCCTGTACACATGATTTATGACTGGTTTTGATACATAAAACCACTCAAATGTGATACGTGGAGCTCAGGTGGGGAAAAAATACAATGTAAGAAGAAGACATGGTGCTATTTATTAATGAGCATCATCCTCCTGTTCATGCTAAACCAATTCACAGATATGGTTTACAAGAATAGGACATTGTTCTAAAAGGGGAATTCCACCAATCTTTTTTTTTTTTTAATTCTGGTCATCTGGTCTGGTTCTTATCACCACCACTGTGAAAGATTCTGACTTTGTAAGGTTCTCTAGAACGGAGAATTTCACACCAAACCACTCTGAAGGACTCTGTTTACATCTCAACTATTTAATTACGTAGAATTTAAAGGGGCACTTTGCCCCCATTCTCCCTGTTTATTCAGTATAATCATCGTTATGTTTGGTTGAACTCCGCCAGCTGTCATGTCGAAAGCGAAAACACAGACTAACCAATCAAAATACTTCTAATGCTGACCAATAGGGAGCCTTTGCCGTACTGCCCGCCCCCCGTCTCCCATTGGCTGAATTTGTTTATCGCTCCGCCCCAGCGGTGCTTACCGCCAAAAATGAACCGCGCGCGTCGCCGTTGCCGCGCTTTGCTGTCAGTACAGTAGCAGAGCTCAGATCTGCCGCTAATATTAATAAATTTACTGATTAAAAATGATCCGGACCCCCAAAAGAGCCTGTCCCAGTCCTCTGAACGACAGTCTGGAGAAGAGGATCAAGCGTATTTCCATCGAGGGGAACATCGGTGAGTACAGAAACGACATTATATGACCTACGAGGCTGAAGTTCCTGCTCTCCAGCTCCTTGTTCGAATTTTCCCGGTCCACCTTAAATGGTGCAGCAGTTACAGTACAGCGGGAAAGACGAACAAGAACTACTTATTTTTCTGTTTCTTATGTTTTACGTATTTATTTTAGATCATATAACCTTCTCATTTGACGCTTCAGTGATAAGAAATATCTTGTTCGAATTTTCCGGGTCCACCTTAAATGGTGCCGCAGTTACAGTACAGCGGGAAAGACGAACAAGAACTACTTATTTTTCTATTTCTTATTTTTTACGTATTTATTTCAAATCATATAACTTTCTCATTTTACGTTTCAGTGCAGAAATATCTTAGAATCTATCTTAAAAAAACACCCCCTGAAATCCGTCAGCGCCCTTTCCTTCCTCTTTGGGTTAAAGTTAGCTAGCGTCAGCTAATGTAACTAACGTTAGTTGTTTTGTGAATATCGAATATTGTCGGAAGAAAACCTCGTATCTCTGTTTTTGTCGTTTTTCAGTTTTTGGCATAATTTGAAAATACATGTTGCCCTTTACATTGTGTGTAAATTTCATGATGAATGGAACAAAAGAAATGACCCAAAATGACCTGGAAAGACGTCTGGTTCCATTGACTTACATTAAAAGTAGAGTATGTTTTTTCCTTCTCCTGTAAAGTGACCATTTTGGAGATACGAGGTTTTCTTCAGACAGCAGCGATAAGACGTTATAGATGTTATAGATATTGGATATGAGATAGAAACTCCAAATTGCATTGAACAATGTAATAATTCACTTATTCCACGACACTATTAAAAAGATGGGTTCTCAAGGATTTTTAGTGAAGAAATGATAGTATATAGAACCGTGAACAGTGACGAAGAACCCTTTGCATGGTTAACGTTAAAGATCGTAAAAGGGTTCTTCAGATTGATGGAGAATGTGCTGTAGGTGGTTGTATATAGAACGTTTTTGAGAACGGTTCTACACAGCACCAAAAGGACTTACTGTTACGAGCTTGTAACAATAGCAGAACCCTTTTGGTGCTATATAGAACCATATACAACACAATAAATGGTTCTATATAGAGCTCGTGGTTCTAAATAGAACCAGTCCCTTTACTAAAGAACCCTCCGAGTGCACATAAGCGGTATAAAGCAAGAACAACGCATGGATTACAGTTCAGATTTGTCACTAATTTGCTGCAGTACTTTCAGGGTGAAACCTGACTACGTTTATTAAGTATTTATAAACACTCTGTAACAGTTAAACTGTAATTTGTTGTTGGTAAATGCTGATTTTTGTCCTCAGCGGCCGGAAAGTCCACTTTTGTCCGCGTTTTGGAGGCACATGATAAAGAGTGGGAGGTCGTTCCGGAGCCCATCGCCAGATGGTGCAATGTACAAACTCAGCACGACGAGTTTGAGGTAAGAGTCACTGGAGCCGGTTTACAGGGGAACTCCACCGAATTTTATAATTCAGTAGTTCAGATGTAAACAGAGTGCTTCAGAGTGGTTTGGTATGAAATAGTTCAGACTCTCTTTACAGTGGTGGTGATAGGAAGCAGGGGTCGCCATGACTACAACACAAATATAGACATTTTATTTACTATCCAAAACCACCAGTGAACCTACACGAGTCTTCTGAGTTTATATGGAATGTTGATGGTAAAATATAGTAACTGGGAAAGGTTTTATTTGAGGACTATTTTGCTTGAGAATGTATCCTTCCACCATGAATAGATTAAAATAAATAGATTAAAAAAACATTTTAAGACAAAGCATTTTCACAACGCTATCATAAAACAGTGTCTCAGACACCAGGTAGAGCTTTCATAACCATTTAATGTAATAACTTTATGTGAGAAAAAAGCATTTCA